AATGGCGGAAAACAGGGATGAAAATGCAACATGGCCATCCAGCCCCACCCAAGAACAACTCCTTGCGTACGGTAGGAGGCAAGCAGACTGGTGTCGCCTATGTCAGTTCCTATCCATGTAGGGCCATTCCTCACCATTGGTCCTCAGCCGAATATGCCACAGGCAGATGCATGACCGCTGCAGCCTATGTCCAAAGCAGATGGATCACCATGGGCAATGTCTACGGCTATAGCGAAAGGTCCCATTCGGTTGAAGTTCAACAACAAACGGCCCAACTTTTGTCTGGCCTCACTAGCCGCATAGTAGATGGAGCCCAGGGGATGCGAGTGATCTCTGGCGATTGGAACTTGGAACGACATAACTTACCAGTTGCAGACTACTGGGAAGCCAAGGGATGGTGGGATGCTCAGAAGTTTGCGTTGGCAAGATGGTCTCAAACGCCAAACAGCACATGTAAGCATGCCACGATCAAGGACTATGTTTTCTTGTCCCCGGAAGTCCTCCCATATGTTCTGTCAGTTGACGTTGAATGGTCCCACTTTGCTGACCATGCAGTCATCATGGTGCACCTGTCTGACCTGTCTCGTCCCCCTAATGTGCCGATGTGGAGAAAACCTGCACAGTTTGGATGGCCGACAAAACCCAAGCAGACCATTGATTGGCCACACCATGCGGCCCCCAGTTCGGACCCAGATGAGTGGTACCGGAGGATCTGGGAAAATGTTGAAGATTTTGCATCCTCTCTTTGCCAGGCCAATGGCCTACCGAAGTTGCACCCACACCAGAGGGGCCGAGCTCAAACCACGGAAGTGCAGTGGTCTCAGCAGCAAGTAGCACCAGTTAAACCAAACCGGAGAGGAGACATTCAGTCCAAGTTGTCCATGACATGCATTCAGCACAGTAGATGGACCAAACAACTTCGACGCCTTCAACATATGTCCAGATGTTCTGCACATGACACTGTCACCAACATGGAACATAGGGCCAGTCTATGGGGTAAGATCCGCCATGCACCAGGCTTTTCAGGTGGTTTTGTCACTTGGTGGGCTCACCTGCCCAAACAATTCTTTGAAACTCCGGCCTACCTGTCATGCCATCCACCTGGCGAAGGTGAAGCCAATGCCATTTTCTTGGAATTTCGACGGGTGTACAATGCCCTTGAAGAAAGCCTGATCCAAGCCAAAGCCATTCATGCATCCGAGCGCCGATTGAAAGACCCGCTCTTGATCTATCGTGATCTCCAGAAGGAGCGGGCAGAACCAGTACAAACAATTGTTGTTGACACCAAAACCCAGGTCACCCAAGTGGAATTTGTAGATGATGAAAACGCCATCATTTGCCTTGACTCCCAGTTGCCAGCGGGTATCCACAGCATTCCAGTTCAAGGAGTCCAAGTTGCTTTCACTCCACTGGATGAGCACACAATTGGAGTGCATCCCACAGTTGCAGCAGCGTGTGGCAGCGAGATCACCGTCCAACACACAGTTGCAGATGTTTCTGAAATTTTGGATGCTTTTGCCAAGGAATGGTCCCCTCGGTGGCAAAGGAATCAAGCCCAGAATGCTGAACAATGGGAACCAATCACTAGCTTCATGAAGCTGGCGATGCCACGACGCCATTTGAACTTCCCTGCCATCACAGCAGATCAACTCCGAGCCACAGTAGCTTCCAAACGTAAGCATGCAGCCATTGGCCCCGACGGGGTATCCAAGACAGATGTTCTTCATATGCCTGCCACCGCACTCCAAGACATGGCGCAGCTTATCCAGAGCCTGGAGCAAGGGTCCCCATGGCCCACCCAACTGGTCACAGGACATGTTGCAGCCTTAGCCAAGACACCGATGGCTCAGAAGGTAGGACAATACAGACCTATTTGTGTTTTCCCCATCTTGTACAGAGCCTGGGGCAGCATCCGAGCTCGCCAATGCCTTCAATACCTTGCTAGCATTGTCCCCAACACCATGATGGGTAATGTGCCGGGTAGATCACCCCAAAAACTATGGTATCAGGTGCAACAGGTCGTCGAACACTCTTTTGTGTATAATGCCGAGGTCGCCGGAGGTGTTGCTGACATTGTTAAATGTTTCAATGCACTCCCTAGGGCACCATTGATGGAGATTGCCAGCCACCTTGGTTTGCCTGATGCAGTGGTTATTCCATGGGCAGCCGCCCTGAAACACATGCAACGAAGATTCCAGGTGCAGGGATGTGTAGGTGCTGGCCATTGCCAACATCACAGTTGAACTGTGGATGTACCACCGCTATCCCACAGTGCGCATGTGGAGCTATGTAGATAACTGGGAAGTGGTATGCAGCAATGCATTGGAAGCCATCCAGTCCATTGAAGCACTTTCTCAGTTTTGTGACTTGATGGGAATGGCCCTCGATCCAGAAAAGACATATTTGTGGTCCACCACTCCAACCGGCAGACAGATCTTGAGGTCTCATGCTCAGCACACAAAACTGTATGCCAGGGATTTGGGGGGCCACATGAACTACTCCCGACTTCCCACCAATCGGACCATCCAAGACAAGATCAATGACTTGATGCCTTTTTGGAACCGTTTGGCCAAATCCCCGGCGCCCATTTCTCAGAAAACCAGGGCAATTGGGGTTTCTGCATGGCCTAACATATTCTACGGCATCAGCACCGTATGCATAGGAGCAAACCACTTTCAAAGGCTCAGATCACTGTGCACCAAAGCGCTGAACGTGAACCAAACAGGGGTCAACCCAGACCTCCAGCTGTCATGCGTGTGCATACCGCCGGTAGATCCTGAACTGCATAGTGTTCTAAATACTGTCATGGCCTTTCGACACCACCATGCCCCTGACCTTGCTCAGTTCACCCTAAACCAACTGGTAGAAGGTAACACATCGTCAGCCGGCCCATGCCGCAGTCTGCTGACCGCAATACATAAACTGGCCTGGCAATGGTGCGATGGCGAGACATGCCTGGACCAGGATGGCATCCCGGTCCATCTAGTCACATGCCCGAAGGACCTCCTCAAACAACGCCTGATTGCCGCCTGGCAAAGCAGGGTTCTTCACAATACCGAAGCACTGCGCACCACCATGACAGGTCTTGCCAACACTGATGTGCCGTTGACAATGCAAGTGTTTCAAAGTCTGCCTCAAGAACACCAAGGGTTGATGAGATGCGCGCTGAATGGCACACAGTTCACCCGAGACACCATGTTTTATGCTGGCACCGTTGATGATGCAAATTGTAAGTTTTGCGGCCAGTTGGACTCTCAATTTCACAGGCACTGGCAGTGTGAATTTTTTGCAGATATCCGTGCTCAGTTTCCCGCCACCAGAAACTATCAGGTTTGGCCCAAAAGTTTGCAATGCCATGGATGGTTGCCTGCTGCTAACAATTTGTTACAGTTTAGACAGCTGCTCACACAGCTGCCAGACACAAGTGCCAAGTTTTCTTGCCCTGCTGTGACAGATTTGAATTTGCAATTTGTCGACCTTTTCATGGATGGAGCATGCCTGTATCCGACAGAACGAGATACACGTTTGGCCACCTGGGCGGTTGTCCAGTGGACCGGTTGCATATTTTGGCCCGTAGCTTCCGGGGCAGTCCCGGGTTTGAAGCAAACCAGTCTTCGAGGAGAGCTGGTTGCGGCGTTGGCAGCTCTCCGTTATTGCGTGCAACTGGAAAGGCCGTGCAGGCTGTGGTTTGACAATGAACAAGTTTTTAACATGTTACAGGCTTGTGCAAGAGGTGAAAAGATACCATGGGAACATCGCCAAGATGCAGATTTGTGGGGGATGCTTTCTTCACAGTTTAAGCATGCTTCTCCTTTCGTTTCCATGGTTTTGAAAGTGCAGGCTCACGCCGTTCCAGACGAGCAAGAGACTGCCCTGGATGACTGGGCAGTGCGAGGAAACGCAGCTGCCGATGCTTTAGCAGCGTCTGCGAGATCCCAACTGCCTTTATCATTTTGGACAGTGCTGCAATCGGTGCGTGACCACAACAACAATATGACCCAGATAGGTACCCAAGTTTTTCAAATGTTTGTTCAGATCGCCTTGCGTGCAAGAAACACCTCTCTTCCTGACGAGTTGGCCTCTCCACAACTTGCAGACGCTAGGCCAGCGTTGGTGGATTTAGGAATCCTGTGTTTGGCCTCTAAAGAAGTAGCTGACTTCCCGTTGAAACTGCGCACGGAGGAGACGCATCATGTGCTGCAATGGATACGAACGTTGACTGATAGCTCTAAAGGGGTCTTCTGGGTTTCTTTTCATCAATTGCTGCTGGACTACCAACGACAGACTGGTCGGTGGGGTCCCTTCTCAACAGGGAAGCAATGGGCTGACAGACCAGCCACTGAGGAGTACAATTACAAGACTCAAGTTCAGTGGTTCAGCAGATACCTGCAATACCTGTCCAAAGCGGCCGAGACACCGCTAAAGACTGAACAACGAAAGCCGAGTAGCTTGGCTCTTACCTTCTGGTGCGGTGCCATCCAGGTTGGGTTTGAGCAGGATCGCATCACCCATGCCGATAATCACTATCGGCACCATGCAAGTAGCCTTCCGGCCAGGCAGATAGTCCGTGATCTGGCCAAAGTGCCGCCTTGTGCTGATTGAGCAGTTTCTTTTCACCGGGGCTTGCAATTGACTGCGCCCTCTCAGAAATTGCATCGGGAGAAAGTGAGAAAGTGAGGGTTTTGACCCATCCCCATATGAATGGGTCTGTCTGAAAGCCGATGAACTCGGGTATACCCCCCAAAAAGGCGCCATTTCCACAGGGCACATGATGATTAACCAATGGATTTCGGGTAGTCTATTACCTTCCGGTAAACTAACATAGCTATTTAACATGGCAATAGAAATAGTGAGTTTACCCATTAAAAATGGTTGATCTTTCCAGTTCGTTATGTAAACGTTTACCAGAAGGTATTTCAGACAAACCCATATGGGACAATTTTACAATCATCAGGTAGATTTTTCCCAAGGAGAGCTCTCCGCTCAACCTGGACCTCCAGGTTCGGCTTCTGCGAAAAACTGCCGCCCTTCCCTTCGGTGCTCCCGGGGAAAAACATCCGCGACAGCGCAGTGGCACCTGGTTTGAGCGTTGGGATTTTCACAATGGGGGATGCCCCATAAAGTGGTCGAATTTTCCATGGCGGTTTTTTTAGCCATTTCCCTCAGATTCTCAAACCATCTCGGGGGATTTGTTTAGCGGTAATTGATACCCTCTGGTAATTTAACATAGCTATTGAAAATGGCGATTTATAGTGGATTTTCCCATTGAAAATGGTGATTTTCCATAGTTATGTTAGTTTACCAGAGGGTAATTGATACAGAACCAGAAGTTTTTGACCAACTTGTCTGGGGAGCTGGGAAAAAAATTCTGGTTGGATCCGAAAAAAATCCTGTGAAAAACTGGAAGGTAACTACAGTAGCTGGTGATAGCGTTTGTGATGTGGAAAACATGGGGATTAGTATTTACTAGTCACATCTAGTCACTATTTTTACCCACTTAGTTACTGAATGGGGATGATCCACGATGGGTTATTAACCACAGTGGGATGATCCTGTCACCAAGGAAGGAGCGGTGAAAGAGAAGTGTGGCTTCAAAGAAACCCGGACTTTGCGCCTGTGATACCCTCTGGTGAACTAACATAGCAATGGAAAATGGCTATTTATAGTGGATTTTCCCATTAAAAATGGTGATTTTCCATAGCTATGTTAGTTTACCAGAGGGTATGGGATGATTGACGATTTTTAGTAGCTAAAATATGTGCAAGTCAATGGTATTGACTACTGAGGACTATTGAAGGTTTTCCCTTTTGATTTTGCCACTTCCCCCCACCAGCGGACAGCACAACACTCCACGATCTTTTTGTTCTTGTTTACTTGTTCTTCCCAGACTACCCGCGCAACGACGTACCGATGTGCCGATGTACCCTCACAAAAATAGAGGCCTAGAGGATGAATGTCCCCATTACTCGTTTTTGGTGGGGGTGAAGGCTTGAGGAGGGTTGGTAATTTAGGCTTCTCTGAACTAGCTTCTCTCAAGCTTTCTGGTTAACTGGTGGCTGGGATTTCTGGTTCTGGATCCGGCATGCCATGAAAATCCATATGAACCCATGAAAATCGCCAGAGAAGTGGCAGGATTCCAAAGCACCAACCCAAAGCACTGGTTCAATCTCTAAGGAAAAGACACTCACTTGGCACAACTGCACTGCTCCAGAGTGGTTGCAGCACCCTGGCTGATCATGACTGATTTGGGTGAACTTTGCAACAGAGGTGAACAGAGTCCAACAATTCTGACATGGACCCCAGAATGGTCAGATCCAACAGCAATGGAATCCTTCAAATCGACAGTTTCATCAGTTTCTTTGGGTTCCATGACTTTAAGGGTGTCAGAGAATCTCGACATGTGCTGTGACGATTTTGAGACATGTTTGTGGGTGAAGACACAGCATTAAACAACAAAATCACTTGACCTCCATTTTCTGGAGAGATTTCCACTAGAAAAAGCACTTGACCCTCCATTTTCTGGAGAGATTTCCACTATAAAAAGCACTTGGACCTCCATTTTCTGGAGAGATTTCCACTATAAAAAGCACTTGACCATCCATTTTCTGCAGAGATTTCCACTATAAAGAGCACTTGACCTCCATTTTCTGGAGAGATTCCACTAGAAAAAGCACTTGACCCTCCATTTTCTGGAGAGATTTCCACTATAAAAAGCACTTGACCTCCATTTTCTGGAGAGATTTCCACTATAAAAAAATACTTGACCCTCCATTTTCTGGAGAGAATTCCACTATAAAAAGCACTTGACCTCCATTTTCTGAAGAGATTTCCACTATAAAACGCATTTGACCTCCATTTTCTGGAGAGATTTCCACTATAAAAAGCATTTGACGTCCATTTTCTGGAGAGATTCCCACTATAAAAAGCACTTGGACCTCCATTTTCTGGAGAGATTTCCACTATAAAAAGCACTTGACCATCCATTTTCTGCAGAGATTTCCGCTATAAAGAGCACTTGACCTCCATTTTCTGGAGAGATTTCCACTAGAAAAAGCACTTGACCCTCCATTTTCTGGAGAGATTTCCACTATAAAAAGCACTTGACCTCCATTTTCTGGAGAGATTTCCACTATAAAACGCATTTGACCTCCATTTTCTGGATAGATTTCCACTATAAAATGCACTTGACCTCCATTTTCTGGCGATCTTTCCATGTTTTTCCACCCAAAATTGACGGATTCTCTTCGCCAACGCCAGCGCCAGCGAGGCTCTGGGACCCACGCGTGACCTCGATGGTGGTCCGCCACTACCGCCAGGATTTCCGGTGGTTGGGATACTCCACGGATCCTGCGAATCTCTTGCCATTGGAAAAGTCGCGAGTGAAGCTGGAGATCTGGCTATGGATCAATACCTATAGATACATTTTTAGTGGGATGAACATCCATAAATCCCAGCTATTTTGGGGTTCACTAGGTACCAGGGTTTTGACCCATCCCCATCTGGGGATGGGACTGGTGTTTCGGGAACATGTTTCCTACCGGCGCCATCTCACCTATGATTGCCGAATGGGAATGGGAGGTAGAACTGTAGCTGCAAAGCAGTTACTCGCAACAGGTGGCGGCCCCGCAAGAAGCCTTGAAGTACCTCCGGAATATGCAGCAGCGAATGATCAAGTCGGGGTCTGAGATGTGTGACAACTTCTGTTTTATGGAGAAAAATGATCGTTGTTAGTACTACGTACACCATGCACTTGTTGGAGACAAGAATCTGAGCCACAACCGCACGTGCGTGGGGTCAAATGTCAGAATGGAACCACCGACTTGGAGGTGACCACTTTGCACAAAACCAGGATGGGTCATCATTAGCTCCATGATCTCAGCTGTAGTTCATAGCCCCACTCATGTTTGCCGCTGCCTGAAGTGCCAATGAGTTTTGCCGCAGTCTGTATTTTCTTCTCATTTGCCCAGTTGCTCTGGAATCTGTTCGGATCTTTTGGATAAAAACTTTCAAATCTTGGGCAACTCCTGTGGGCTCTGCCTTTTTTTTTGGACAAAGCCATGTTGGAAAACACATTGACCCAGCGCCAAGTCTGCCAAGTTCAAGGCCCAACGTGGTGGCATGGTCGTCTCTGTTGTGGGCCTGTGCGGCCAAGGGTGATTCGGAGGCCGCCGTCCAGGGCTATGGCTTGCCGGCCGTGGCTTTTGGGTGCACTTTAATCATGAAATAAGGACCCCGAAGCATCCTTGATCATCCAGATAAAAAAAGTCATCTCTAGTGGGTTTAGCAGGGTTTAGCAATGGTTTAGCCATGCTTTGGGGTACAGCAAGTGTTAGGAAACACCCACTCAACGGCAGTTTCACTTGAGAAATGCATATATTTGGTGTGGCTGAAGACAGGGTCCCCCCCAGAACTGGGATAGATATACCCCATTTTCCGACACACCCATATTACCCGATGGTTAGATATAATATCATCATATCATATCACATTATATATATATATCTACCTCAATCTCATATAATTTCATTATATCTGGATAAATTATAGTGACCTCACGGTGACGTAACTGGAATGAGGGTTAAGATTCGGGGAATCCTTCCCAAGTGGCCGTATGATAACAGCTATTTTCAGGTTTGTAAATTATCATACTTATCATTCAGCCAGATTCAGATAATTCATTCCATATTCTGTTGTGATATTCCCATGATATTCCCATTAGTTGTTGGTTGAATCCCATTATTACATATACACATATCATATTCTATTATATTCCATTCTATTCTGTATTAAAAATATATTACATTACATTATATTATAGTTTATATACTATATTATATTATATTATGTTATGTTTTACTTTGTTATATTTTGTATTATACTATATAGTATATTATTTTATACTATATAGTATAATTATATTATACTATATCGTATATTATATTATACTATATAGTATATTATTTTATACTATATAGTATATTATATTATACTATATAGTATATTATATTATATTATATTATTTTATTTTAGACTATATTATATTACATATTATATTGTATTGTACTATATTATATTATATTGTATTAAATTATGATATTATGTGATGTTATGTTATGTTATATTATGTTTTATTATAGTATACTATATTATATTATATCATAATATAATATATTACATTTATTATATTCTAGTATATTACATTACATTATATTTTATTCTTTTATATATCATATATTAAATATGTATTATATATATAATATATTATATATATTATATGTTAAATATAAATTATTTTATTTTGTAGTATAGTATAGGATTTTATTTAATTTAATATAGCACAATACAATACAATATAGTATAATATAATATATTGTATTTTATTATAATATATTATATTATAATATGTTATGTTATATTATGTTATATTATAATATATTTTATTATATCATCAATATTATATTTATTAATATCATATTATGTTATATTATGTTTTTTTTAAATAATATCATTTTTTTTGTTTATTATATTATATTATATTATATGATATTATATTATATTATGTTATATATAAGCAGAAATATTACGAATAATATGTCTCCTCACGTAGTGCACTGTAGTGCATCGTAGTGTGAGCAACAAGTGCTTCCATAGCATTCGATGTAGACTGGAATTCATATCCATTGCATGAGGTCATGTTAAAATACATAGACCCTGGAATCCAGTTGGGTTTGTCTGAAAATAGAGTATATTCCCAATTATAGCCATGTAATAGGGATAATGATCATTAACCATTGGGTTTAGGGGTACACTATTTTCAGACAAACCCAGTTTGCTAGGACTGACATGCCAAACCATCCAGCTGGTCCGGGTTCACAAATGTTTACCACGGCCGTGCCTATTTGGCTCAAGACGTGCATTTGCCCAGGAAAAGGCTGCTGACCGCAGCCAGGGTGCCTGGTTGAGCCACTAGATTCTCCGGAATCTTTTATATAGAATTGAATATCTTTTTTTTATATATATATATAAATATCATATAATACTATATATAACATATTATATATGTATTTTATTATATACAATGTTATATTAAATATATATTACATTAAACAAATATTACACTAAATATATGTCGTTTTTTTTTTAATTCTTTTATATATTAAATATATATATTAAATATGTATTAAATATGTATTATATATATATTATTTATAATATAGAATATATATGTATATAATATATATAATATATATTATATATTATATATTAGATATTATATATGTCATATATTATATATATGTAATATTTATATTATATATAATATACTTATATATTTACATAATATAATTGTTGATTTATAAACCCATTATATATATATACACATACGATACAACGTATATATATTCATATGCCATTAAATATATCCCATGATATTCCCATGAAATCTCGATCCATTACTGATGTGGGACCTACCTTCAGCCATGCAGGCTTTGACCTTGGCCAAAGAGAGCCTAAAGGAGATGAAAAGCAACCAGCGTGGCACCACAGGGACTGGGACAGTCCTATATGACCATATTAATGAAGGTTTTTCCAGTGGGATAAGTAGGCTTAATCCACTTACAACTGCGAACTAACTTACTAACTTACCTTGTGCGGGATGAACCGCCACCAAGTACAGATATCGGGGTTTCTTTAAATGAGGGATCCCCAAAACCATGGGTTTCAATGCTAAATCATGGTCTAGTGACTTGGATGATTTGGGGTACCCCCATTATAGGAAACCTCCATATCAGGAAATCATCGTCCCCTATTTTGAGGGTTGTTTAGTTAAGGGGATGTGATGAATGTGTTCCTAGATGTTTTTCACCTGGAAGCAACCCCATTTATGTCTTCTTATTTATGTGACAAATGGTCCACATCACATGGCACGTTTTCCAGAACCTTCAGCATGGTGATGAACTCTGCCTCGGTATTCCTGTCAGGGTGCGGCCCAATGAGTACACCTTCACAGCAGTCAGAAAGATGCAACTTGGACCGATACGAGATATTGGTGTCGCAGCTACAACCAAGTCTTGGTGAGATATGTTCACTATACCAGTGAATCTTGCTATCAAGATAATATGCTAGCTATATCCAGGATCAACAGTACAGAATCTCGATGGAAGAATTGCACTGCAATTTGGCTCAAGCATTTTGTGGTTCAACTCCTGCACAAATCACAGACAGATGGCCTTCGTAGCTTTGCTATGGGCAGTTGCTCTCATACCAGGTGTCTCTGGCAGTTTGCGTGGCTTCGACACAAACCAAACAGAGCAGAATGAGACTCACCTGACCCTTAGGTCAAGCTCCCAGGGCCCCCAGAACCAGTATTGGGATGGTCAATGCTCCGCATGCCCGGCATATCTCTACCCTTCGCTGCATTGCGAGGCTGGAGGCCGACCAAAGCCTGGTTTCAGGAACTCCAAACCTTGTGCGGAGAACGTTGGCTTGTGTCAAGCCAAATGTGTTCGGCCCAACACTCCTCGTCCAAATGGTGGCGACGGTGGCCAAGTCCAGCCGGAGATCTACATTGACGGACAGTGCACTCCATGTCCTGCCTTCCTGTACTCGCACTGCAGGAGGGGTGGCCGATTGATTAGTGCCAAACCCTGTGGCTGGATGGGCATCTACTGTGAAGGTGTTTGCAAGAATCCAAATCCCAAGCCTGAACCTGAACCATCTAAACCCTTTGAACCAGTTGTCTCGGAACCTGGAGTGAAGACACTCTACCATGAGACCAGCCCAGAAGCTGCCGAAAAGATCTTGAAGTCATCTTTCCGGCCAGGCAGCTCTGGATGGTGTGGAGGTGCCATTTACTTCTACACAAGCCCCCGGATTCCCAAGTCCAAGTTAGGCCCTGACTCTCAAACCGGCGCCGTCATCCAGGCTGAAGTTGACTTGGGCACCAACATTCAACTGGACAGCAAATGTGAAGGAGCAGATGATGCCAGGAAGAAGTATGACTCTGTGTCATTCAATCCTGGAGATGGTCTCGAATATTTGGTCTTTTCCCCTGACCGGGTCATTTCGATGAGCCGCTTCTCCTAAGCTGCACAGATGAAAATTCACTGAGTCCGCATGCGTTGTGCCGCCTGCCATTGTCTAGCGGTCCGCCAGTGTGGCGCGGCATGGCCATGACCGATGTTTTCCACGAGCAATGTACAGTTATGGTACAGTCATTAGGAAACAGGACTCAGTTGATGAATCAAGTCTCTTGGAGATTGCTCACTGTAGGCCCTCTGCAAGTTTTTTAAAGCCTTTTGATTGATGGTATTTGCTCAGCATTATGCTGTGGCGAGCTTTGTGCCATTGCTTTTGCTTTGGCATCAGAATGCATTGTACTCATGCATTTTTTTGCATCCATTGCACACTGGCAGTTGCTTCAAACAGGGCAGACTCATACAACCGCAGGAAGAATTGCTCTGCACACCTTTTTTGCCAAATATGATCTGTGTGGATTATGTAACTGTATATGATATCATTGATATCATATTATAGTATATTATATGATGTCATGTTTTATTATATTATATTATGTTATACTATACTGCATTATATTGTATTATATTGTATTACATATATTGTATACTATCATATTATTATATCATATCATATTATATCATGTTATATCGTTTTATGTCATATTATTTCATATTGCATCATATCATATTATGTCTTATTATATCATATTATATCGTATTATATCATATTATGTAATATCATAACATTTTACATCATATTATATCATATTATATCAGATTATATCAGATTATATCATATTATATCATATTATATCATATTATATCATATTATATCACATTATATCATATTATATGGTGCAGAATAAAGATAATAAAGGAACACATCATATCCGCAAACACACTATTGTTCTTTGATGTTCTTTGATATTATTATGTATAGTGTCTTTTCTTGCAACCTCAAATGACCTCTCCATACATACTTTTCAGCGAACCAGGCGCCAAGTGGTCGCTTGGGATTTCAAACCCTATGGATTTAGGGCAACAAAATACCAGAAAAAAATGATTTGCGAGGTAAACGTCATGGTTCCCAACGTGGTCGCTTTTCCCATCTGAGGTTTGGTGCCGACGTCTATACCTTGCTGGGGGACATTGATGAGGCCGAAGGGGTCAGTTCAGCAGGAAGAATGGTGAACGAACAAACAACTTGAATGAGTACTTGGTGGCTCATCCCACTTAGTAAGTGGGTTATAACCCCAGTTATAAATGGGATAAGTAGGGTTAGTCCACTTAGAATTGGGGTTATAACCCACTTACTAAGTGGGATGAGCCACCAAGTAGGGTTACTGTAAGTGGGTCTAAATCTAAATCTTTCAACGCATGATGATCCACTCCAAAAAAGGGTAGTACTATGGTGAAGTACTTAGAACTAGAGGTACATTGCTGGCTCGCAGCATTACTTTAACACCATTAGTACTCCACTTTTTCAACAGACTATGTACTGCAGTTATTTCCAACAAAAATCCATTAGTACTTATTTCTACAAAACCATTAGTACTTATTTCACCATTAGTACTTCACTATTACTTTAACACCATTAGTACTTATTTCCAAAAAAAATCCAAACATGGTGAGTACCCATCCCCTCCACGTGCTTCGCATCGCAGGCACAGCCCCGTGTGAGGCGACGTATTAGCAAAGCCAGGTGCAAAAAACCGACCGCCGTCGCGGCGCTGGAGTAACTCCCATCCACCCAAGATGAAAACAACTCTATTCTGTAGTCCCAAATATGTGCAAATCCTGTAAACCATGATTTCCTGCGGGTGTTTAAGATTAGAACAAAGGCATTGTATATATATAATTATATATATAATATCAAAATGTGGTATACACTCAAATGGTATTTTAATAAGGAAATTTAGGATTAATCGGTGGACGTAGAGGTACTCTTTTTCAAACCAACTCATATGTTTTGAATTGGGGAACATGGTCAAGTTACATGGTTTGGGGCCCCTGGGGTATCCATCCCACAATGGGAATCCTTATCATGGGTAATTATATAAATCCCTGTATATATATATGAATTAATCCGATCCCCATTAATGATTCATTAACCCAATGATATACTTATATGAATGGTTATCATGGGTATATGAATCTCTATATATCCCCATGAAGATCCTATTAATGCATTGATGACCATCCCCCAATTAACCAAGTTTTGACCATGGCACCTTTTTGGGTCGGTCTGTCATGGTCTGTCAAAACATCACAGGGTAAGTATTCCTGACAATAGCCATTTGAATAGGCAATATTATGGTAAACCATTGGATATCCATTGGATGTCAGCGGCATCCCACTTTTAGACCAAAACCCATATGTTTTGAATGGGGGAACAGTAGATATACTATAGATATCAGTCACTGTTGGTCTTTAGGGCCTAGGCGAAAGTGAGAAATCGCACTGTTGCTAGTTTGGAGTTCCATCCCTACAGTAACAGCATCCGCATTCCTCTGAATTAAACCGGTTTTCGCAAATCATCCAGATTACAGTGGACCATTTTAGTATTCAAAGCCATGGTGACGACTGGGGGTACCCCCATTTTGGGAAACCCCGCAATAATGGCACTGTGCTGTTGAAGTTTCCTCCTGTGTCCTGGTGCCTGGACTTCACGTTGGGTCAGCAGAACTTGGGCTCGGTGCAAAAAAGCTTTGCTGAAAACCTGGTGCAAAGTTAATTAATGTCTGAACACTCTTGCTACTCATGGGAACTTGCCACTTGTGGGGGGTTCTACTGATCATTGAATACTAATTGATAATTGGGGTTTAGAATTGCCGTGCTAATCATTAATGTCTTATTTTTTTCTGCGAGTCCTATTCCGTTGCTACCATCCTTGCGTCCTGCCAGGGCCCAAGATGTGACACGTTTTGAGGCCCGATTCGAGGGTGGGGCTGACGAAAGTCAGGGTACGCTTTCAAGAAGGACCCCCCTCCAGTTACGTTTGTTGGTTCATACCATTTTACAACCGCATTGAACTATAGTTATATATATATACGATAAAAATATATACACAATATATATATATGATATATATATATATATAAATATGATATATATATATGATATATTATATGTGATACAAAGATATACATATATATATGATATATATATATATGATATATATATGATATATATATATGATATATATATATATATCATTTATATATGATATATATATACATATCATATATAATATATATGATATATATATACATGATATATATATGATTATATATATATGATTATATATATATATGATTATATATATATGATTATATATATATGGTATATGTGTATATATATGATACATATATAATTATATATATATGATATATATATACACGGTATATATATAAAAGATATATACACACGATAAAAATATAATATATATATATATATATGTGTGATATATATATATATATAAATATGATATATATATATATGTGATATATATATATACTTGTATATATGTGATATAGGTGATATATATAATATAATATATATATATAATATAATATAATATATATAATATAATATAATATAATATATATATATATTATAATATATATATATATGATATATTATATGTGATACATATATATATGATATATATAGTTATAGATGGTATATATATGATATATATATATATGATATATATATATGATATATATATATACATATCATATATATGTGATATATATATATATATACATGATATATATATATATATGATTATATATATATGATTATATATATGATACATGTGTATTTACATATATGATACATATGAAATTATATATTTACATGATATATATATATACGGTATATATATGTTATATATATATGGTATATATATGTATGGTATATATATATGGTATATATATGGTATATATATATATATGATATGTATTGATGGTTTATATATATATGTGGTATATATATATGATATATTTATATATGATATATATATAGACATACGTATCCAACAGAAGTCCAGTCATTGGCTTAGTTATAAGTTGATTTACACACCGCATCAACTAGTTCGATACAGTTGTAAGGAAAACCATCATAATCCATGGATTTCACCTAGTTATGTTCATCAATTTACCTCGTTTTGCCCAAAAAAGAAAAGGCTGCTACTTGGGCTTTTCATGTGAAACCAGTGCTCTTCCAGACATTGGAAACACCAATCTTTTCTGATCTGCCTATATATGTGGAAATTGTATACTTCATTTATAGATTTTTATAGTTCATTAATGTTCATTATATATATATACACACTTATGTACGTTCAATAGTTTTAGCCCCATCGAAGTATAGATATATGATGATACAATCCAGGCTTTCCTACATTCCTTTTCCAGAAATGACCAAACATGGAGGTAAAAACCTTCAGTTTTCACGAACATGTCAATCGGAAAAAGGCATGGAAACACACTTTTCTGCAGGTGAAACATGTACAAAGAACGGGGGATTTTCCGTTGCCATGTTCATTTCCAGAGGGTATCGCTCGATATAACCCACAAAGACAGGGAAACTTGTCATATGGTCAGAAAAACGTGGAACCGTGTTAGATTCAAACTGTACTGGCTATTTCAAGCGATTTCAAGCAATGATGTTTTCAGGGTTTCCAATAGGTTGAGATTCCCTTGTTGAACCCCCTGTGGAAAGAGCAAAGCCGAATCCTTCATTGTTTGCAGTTCAATTTGGTGACAGGGTGTGGAAATGAACATGAATAATGTGGGTAAAGCAATGATAACCCACCCATTTGGGAACGGTTTATACCACCTATTTATGGTGATTTGGGGGATGGTTTATTATTGTTTTACCCTCATTACAGTCAAGGGCAAGAATGGTTTCTTGACCGCCATCTCAAAGATTGGTCCAGCTGGGAATGGTCCAATTTTGGTTGCCCACCACAATTCCCGTGGCAGTTTTGACTTCCGTTGAAGCCCCTGGCGATTTTCTCTGTCAGGTCCGGACAGAGATGGCCGCAGAAAAAGAGGGTCATTACTGATGTTGGTGGTGATCCCTTCAGTGGCAACCGGAGGATTCTGAGACAAGTTCTGTGGTCCCTTTGAAAATTTAACCTCGCAAAATCCCGCAAAAGTGAAAGAGGCCCAAAGCTCATCGGAACTGGAGCGTTTTAAATTGGACCCCACCTGCAGCTTGCAGAACTTGTCGAATCTGCAGCTTCGATCCATCAAGTTCCCATGGCAACACAGCAACAACTGTTTGGCCCAAATTTTGGCACATCCTGGACACAAAAGATTGGAAAAGGAAACAAAACACGCCCAAAGAATCCCAAAGAAAACATCAGCAAAATCACTGCTGGGATGTGCTATTTCTTGGTTCCAGCTTCCAATCTGCCACCAGTCGCACAATTTTTGGTCACAGCCATGCTGCGGCTGCTGGGACTTCTGCAGATCTGGAGGCTACAAGCTCTGGACAATGGTCTGGCGCGTGTACCTGCCATGGGTTCCCTGGTGATGTCTGGGTCTGTGCTTGGGAAAATCGACGAAGTCTTTAGGGAATACATGGGTATGGGTCAATACCTATAGATACATTTTTAGTGGGATGCACATCCATAAATCCCAGCTATTTTGATCTATTTTGATGTTCACTAGGTACCAGGGTTTTGACCCATAGCCACATGGGAATACCTAAAATAAATAGAACGTGCAGATTTTAATCCTCGCTTTGGGGAATATGATCCAGATGACCTTTGGTGCGGCCACGACTTGCCTGAAATATGATGCTCCGAAAACCCTTTGGTTTACCCATTTTCAGACACACTGTTTGGCCAAACACCCAAGATGTGCTGAGTTTAGGATGTTTAAGCAGGTTGCCCCGTTGCCCCCTCTAAAAACCAACGTGGAGCCCAAAAAACTCCAGTTTCGAATCGGAAAATCGTCTTCGATGATTTTTTTTTGAGTTAAAATCCCCATGGAAATCTCCATCTTTATAGGTAAAACGAAAGAAAAAAACATGTTTTTTTGGGTGAACTCCCACTTCTTTGGCTGGAGTTTGGGATCCAGCCACCCCAAGGGCCCCATGATGCCCCAAGATGCCCCAAGATGCCCCAAGGCTACAACACCTGGTACGACTTTGAATGTTCTGATGGGATGAACGACACCTGGTGGAAGTCGGGGGGTTGGTGGATAGATATCCATAGCTTTTTTGGGGGGCCATTTGTGTATGGAAAATGGTGGGAAAATGATGATTGTTAGAGTTAATATGAGTTATATGATATTTTGGTGTTTACTAAAAACAGGGAATTAGGGAAGATGATGATTGAACTCACGGATTTTAGTGACTCATCTAGTTTCAGACAAACCCAAATGTGATGAGCGATAACCAATCTTTGGTTGATGTGTCGATGTTCATTTTCCCAATCATTTCTTTCCCCATAGGATCCATGTATGCTATATATATGGCAACATTTACCATCAATATACCCCCTTTATGTTAGCATTAATCTACCAGCACCAGCCTGATCCGTCATGGGTTTGTGAATTTGTTGGAGTTCCTAAGCTGTTTCAGAACCCTGGAGCTCCCAGAATTGGGGAAAACCGAAGATGCTGGGTGAAAAGGCCCATGCTTTCCTGCTTGTACATCTTGTACAGGATGGTGCCCCCTAGCTATAAGTTGGTTTGTAACCCCATCTCAATATAATTATAAGATATTATAAGTATCATACACTATTGTTATTATACTTATAAACCAACTTAGCTAACGAACTGGGGCCCCATCCTGTATGCTTTCCTGTTGTTTTCTCGATGCCAATCCATTTTTCGCGCAACTGCTGAGGAGTCGACGTTGCGAGACGTGGCTGATGCCATGGTGAAAAGCGGCTTAAGAGACCTCGGATACCGGCCCCTTGGCAGATCCATTTAACTGTCCCAACTTGGATGAGATCAAGCCAAAGCCCACCCAATCAATGCCCCATTCGCCCCATTCATGAAAAAGAGGAAGCCACTGGCGGGCAAAATCAGACACCAAAAAGGGGTGTCTCTTGGTGAAGCTGAAAACCGCAGAAAACCCACGATGGGATGGAGGGGACTTGGGGACCTTGGGGATCTGTGGTCCCATGGTTTAAATGCTATGAACCAACCGACCTGGGCCTGGGAGCACTCTGTGAGATCCCCAATTTCGAGGTGCTGGGCCACTTGTGGGCCACCTTGTGGCCTTGTCTGAGGGGTCATCATGCGTCATCGCAGACTGGGCTCAAGGTATATCGTTTTTTTTCGGGGCGGAGATGAACCAAAGCATCTGAGAAAAAAAAACATCCTGAAACTGCCGGGAAAAATCGGGAAAACACATTAAGTCATCGGAGCGCCATGTCATCGTCCCCGCCCATCGAAGTGCCAGATGGGGATGAAGCCGAGAAGGCTGATGGACCTCAACCACCCAAGGCCGCAGCGTTGACAGCTTGGAGATTTTGTAGGGATCAAGACTGTGTACTAATCTGGTTGGTGGTTTGGCACATGAATTTTATTTTCTATAATAGAATAATCATCCCAACTGACTAATATTTTTCAGAGGGGTTGACACCACCAACCAGTAATAGCGTATAAAGTGCTACGAATAGCGTATAAAATGCCACTAATAGCATATAACATAGACCCGGGCAAGCCGGCGGCGGAAGTTTCCCAAACATAAATGACCTATAGTTCAAAGACAACCTGTCCCGACCGTGTCCTTCCCTCGACACTCCACACCTCACACTGCACACTGCACTCTTCGCACTCCAACTTCAAACTTCACACTCCACACTTCACACTCCACACTTCTCACTTCTCACTGCTTCCTTCACACTCCAAACCTCACACTTCACACTTCACACTGCAGACTTCACACTTCACAGTCCACACTTCACACTTCACACTTCACAGTCCACACTTCACACTTCACACTTCACAGTCCACACTTCTCACTTCGCACTTCACACTTCACACTTCACACTCCACATTTCACACTTCTCAATTCACACTTCTCACTTCTCACTGCTTCCTTCACACTCCAAACTTCACACTTCTCACTTCGCACTTCACACTCCACACTTCACAGTCCACACTTCACACTTCTCACTGCTTCCTTCCCACTCCAAACTTCACACTCCAAAACTCACACTTCACACTTCTCACTTCGCACTTCGCACTCCACACTTCACTCACACTTCACACTTCACAGTCCACACTTCACACTTCTCACTGCTTCCTTCACACTCCAAACCTCACACTGCACACTTCACACTTCACAGTCCACACTTCACACTTCACAATTCACAGTCCACACTTCACACTTCACACTTCACAGTCCACACTTCTCACTTCTCACTGCTTCCTTCGCACTCCAAACTTCACAGTCCACACTTCACACTTCTCACTTCTCACTGCTTCCTTCCCACTCCAAACTTCACACTCCAAACTTCACACTTCTCACTTCGCACTTCACACTCCACACTTCACTCACACTTCACACTTCACAGTCCACACTTCACACTTCTCACTGCTTCCTTCACACTCCAAACCTCGCACTTCACACTTCACACTTCACACTGCGCTCTTCGCACTCCAAACTTAAACTTCACACTCCACACTTCACACTTCTCACTTCCCACTGCTTCCTTCACACTGCACACTTCACACTGCACTCTTCACGCCCCACACTTCACACTGCTCTAAACCTACGTGCAACAAAAAACACTAGCGCCAAAATGGAGAAAATCTGCTAACAAATCCATGTCGCAGCCTTCATGCAGCCACTCCAAGACGATGTACGAGATCCAGCTGCAAAAGACATTACGCATGCAGCCAAAGCAAGAAGCAACCTTGACGCAGCCATTCCAATGCGATCTGCGGAGACTGAGTTGCAAAACACAAGAGAACTACGCGCAATGGCATCGGAAATTGTAGCTCCAAAACCGGATCTCGACGCCAGAGCGAAAAAAAGACGATTTTGAAGCACTTTCGAAAAGGATTTTTAGAAGGAAAGTCACTAGCGCCAAAATGGAGAAAATCTGCTGACAAATCACTGTCGCAGCCTTCATGCAGCAACTCCAATACGATTTACGAGATCCAGCTGCAAAAGACAATAGTATTACGAATGCAGCCACAGCACGGAGCAACCTTGACGCAGCCATTACAATGCGATCTGCAGAGACTGAGTTGCAAAACACATAGAACTACGCGCAACGGCGTCGGAAATTGTAGCTCCAAAACCGGATCTCGACGCCAGAGCGAAAAAAAGACGATTTTGAAGCACTTTTTAAAAGTATTTTTAGAAGGAAAATCATTAGCGCCAAAATGGAGAAAATCTGCTGACAAATCACTGTGGCAGCCTTCATGCAGCCACTCCAGTACGATTTACGAGATCCAGCTGCAAAAGACAATAGTATTACCAATGCAGCCACAGCACGAAGCAACCTTGACACAGCCATTACAATGCGATCTGCAGAGACAGAGTTGCAAAACGCAATAGGACTACGCGCAACGGCGTCGGAAATTGTGGCTCCAAAACCGGATCTCGACGCCAGAGCGAAAAAAAGACGATTTTGAAGCACTTTTTAAAAGGATTTTTAGAAGGAAAATCATTAGCGCCAAAATGGAGAAAATCTGCTGACAAATCACTGTGGCAGCCTTCATGCAGCCACTCCAATACGATTTACGAAGTCCAGCTGCAAAAGACAATAGTATTGCGAATGCAGCCACAGCACGAAGCAACCTTGACGCAGCCATTTACACTGCGGGAACGATCCTACAGTTGCAAATCACAATGGAATTCTGTCGACCGCACATGCACGAAACACAGTTGAAACCCCATTTACAATGTGGAACCGATCCGAGACCGATCCGAGAATGATCCGAGAATGATCCGAGAATGATCCGACCACACACGAGACCGTCTCGCACCCGTCGCACCGCACAGGTAGATCATCGACGTTCGGGGACGGACTTTGTATGGAAAAACACAGGGTTTCGTGCATCTGCTATCTCTCAAAAACGCATTTCGTGCGAGACTTCCTTCAAAACTCCATCGGCAACTCATCCACCAGCACCACTTGCAATCCCATTTACATTGCGGGAACGATCCTACAGGTGCAAATCACAATGGAATTCTGTCGACCGCAAATGCACGAAAAACACTTGAAACCCCATTTACAATGCGGAACCGATCCGAACATGATCCGAGCATGATCCGACCACACACGAGACCGTCTCGCAACCGTCGCACCGCAGAGGTAGATCATCGAGGTTCGGGGACGGACTTTGTATGGAAAACATAGGGTTTCGTGCATCTGCTATCTCTCAAAAACGCATTTCATGCGAGACTTCCTTCAAAACTCCATCGGCAACTCATCCACCAGCAACACTTGCAATCCCATTTACATTGCGGGAACGATCCTAGAGTTGCAAATCACAATGGAATTCCATCGGCAACTCATCCACCAGCACCACTTGCAATCCCATTTACATTGCGGGAACGATCCTACAGTTGCAAATCACAATGGAATTCTGTCGACCGCAAATGCACGAAAAACAGCTGAAACCCCATTTACAATGCGGAACCGATCCGAACATGATCCGAGACCGTTCCGACCACACACGAGACCGTCTCGCACCCGTCGCACCGCAGAGGTAGATCATCGACGTTCGGGGACGGACTTTGTATGGAAAAACATAGGCTTTCGTGCATCTGCTATCTCTCAAAAACGCATTTCGTGCGAGACTTCCTTCAAAACTCCATCGGCAACTCCTCCACCAGCACCACTTGCAATCCCATTTACAGTGAGGTGAGGGAACCATTTCTTTGACTAACTCGTTCCCTAACGAACTCTTTCTTTGCTAACTCTTTCTTTGCTCTTTCTGTGACTAACTCTTTCTTTGCTAACTCTTTCTTTGACTACCTCACATATCCTGACTAACTTTTTCTTTGACTAACTCTTTCCCTCACTAACTCTTTCTTTGACTAACTCTTTCCCTGACTAACTGTTTCTTTGACTAACTCTTTCTTTGACTAACTCTTTCCCTGCCGAACTCTTTCTTTGCTAACTCTTTCTGTGACTAACTCTTTCCCTCACTAACTCTTTCTTTGACTAACTCTTTCCCTGACTAACTGTTTCTTTGCTAACTCTTTCCCTGACTAACTGTTTCTTTGACTAACTCTTTCTCTGACTAACTGTTTCTTTGCTAACTCTTTCCCTGACTAACTGTTTCTTTGACTAACTCTTTCTTTGACTAACTCTTTCCCTGACGAACTGTTTCTTTGACTAACTCTTTCCCTCACTAACTCTTTCTTTGACTAACTCTTTCCCTGACTAACTGTTTCTTTGCTAACTCTTTCCCTGACTAACTGTTTCTTTGACTAACTCTTTCTTTGACTAACTCTTTCCCTGACGAACTGTTTCTTTGACTAACTCTTTCCCTGACTAACTGTTTCTTTGACTAACTCTTTCTTTGACTAAGTCTTTCCCTGACTAACTGTTTCTTTGACTAACTCTTTCTTTGACTAAGTCTTTCCCTGACTAACTCTTTCTTTGACTAACTCTTTCCCTGACATTCTAAAAGTCCGTAACACGGAAGTTTCTCCCCCTAAACTTCCTTTGATAATGCTACTAATAAATAGCTCTAGGCTCTATACGGATCAATGATGACTCAAAAGCTATGAGCAGGTCAACCTCCGATGAAGATAAATATCAAGCCTGCTCTGTTAATTTGGGGGTGATGTTAAGATGGTACTTTCTGACATACTCCGCTCCATGATCAACAGTTCAGGGGTTTATGAATTCGGAGTTGACATTGTACCATATATTTACCCATAGGATCCATTTATGGTATATATGGTAACATGGATCCCATCAATATACCCCCTTTATGTTAGCATATATGCCAGCACCATGGATCCGTCATGGGTTTTATTTTTGGGGATGAACATCCGCTAGCCAGCTATGAACAGAAGGCTGTCATGTGCCTATATATTAGCATCCTATAGCCTCAAGGTTCACCGTTCTTGTTGGGTTTTCCATTTCAAGACAACATCATTCCGAGACATTCTTATCATCAGTTGAGCCACCGCAAAAACCGCGGCAATATGTATTGGACGGACATTGGTTAATGGAAATGGATGGAAATTGTTTAAAACACACGGTAAGCGATGGCACCTTCCCAAATTTGTGGATGTCCTTTCCGTGAACCTAGGGTTTTCGAGATTGCTCAGTTGTGTTGGAACTGGATGATCTTTGGTGGACTTCCTTCAGACAGTCGCACCATCACTCTTGGTCTCTGCAGGATGGTGCCCCCCAGTTATAATGTTGGTTTATAAACCCCATCAACTATTATAGTCTATAGTATTCTATAGTTAGATCATGTATCTGCTATAAACCATAATTAAACCACTTATATCTCAACTGAACGCTATCTTTGTGGCTTTGGTCTCTAGGGTTTTGGTCTTTTTTGGCCATCAGGAGCCGCCCCCGGTGAATTCCTACTTCTTCCGACGCGACCGCTCGCGTCACCGACGGCACCGCTACGAGCGCCATGATCGGCGCGACCGCTACGAGCGCTACGAGCGCTACCATCGCTATCGCTCGCGCTCGCGATCCCGCGAGGCTGGGGCGTTTGGATCATTGTTGGGTTACAACTGCTGAATTCTATGGCTTATGGTAGATATATCATGATATATCGACCTATAGTTCATTGGGTGAAACCGAATTCTATGATTTCTGGATTTTTGTTGGTAGATATATTGAGCTAGTTCACGGGGTCTAGAGTCTAGAAACCAACATCACTGGCACCTTGCAGGTAGAATTAGAACATATTAGAACTATCCCATAGGATCCATGTATGCTACATATGGTAACATTTACCATCAATATATCCCCAATGTTAGCATATATGCCATACATGGATCCTATGGGTGATTTTGGTTCAACAACCCATGTTTTCCAGTCGTTCAGTCGCCATGGCATGGCTCGGACGAGGCCGATTTGCGGAAGGTCAGCGGCAGCCTCTGCCGTATGGTTCGCTATGAAGAACACCGACCGGAAGGTGAGAGCATGGGATGTTCGCGAGTTGCCAGTGGAGGGAAGAAATGGATCGAGTTTGTTTTGCTACGAATGATCTGAGGTTGGGGGTTTTTCATGGCTTCTCGGCATGTTTTCCTGCGATCACAATCCTTAAGAACCCAGAAATGGATGGGTTGGCAACCAGATACCCCAGTGACATGGATAAGTTCAGGCTTACAATACCTTCGCGGAAGCTGAAACTGCAGTCGCGGAAGCACCGCGGAAGGTCTGGCGGAAGAAAGTATACTCAGCCCCTTTGCGGAAGCTCCGCGGAAACGCTTGTGCACAATCAAAATCATGATGGGATGCGCAGAGAACATACCCCTGAAGACGGATCGTCGCGGAAGCTCCACGGAAGTGCCAGCCATCGCACACCTCACCGCGGAAACCAAAACCCAAGCCGCGGAAGAATGGCGGAAGCTGTGGCTGAAGTGGGATTCTACATCATGTGGCAGGCAGTGGCAGGCTGTTTTGTTGTGTTATAATTATTCACAAAAACATATCAAAACACGGGGTTTCAAAGAACATACAAAAAAGATCAAGAAAGAATTATGTTATATATATATATTATGTTCAAGATTGTTCAACTATAAAGGGCAATGATCCCCGACAACATCAGATTTTTCAGAGCTGAAACCACCAAGCGGGTGGCCGCTTAGCCTTTGGTAATGTTGGGATGTCCCAGCTAGACATGTTTCACTTGGAAGGTAAATCAGGTAATCCTCATCAGACGATTTTCATCGATTTTCCCTCATGAAATGCCATGAAAAATCAGCGTCTAAGACCTCCATAAAAACTCAATGGGGATGTTCCAGCCACGTTTTCCGAGGCTTCCGGTGTCTCCGCACCGAAATTGGGTACGACTGGATGATTTGGGGCTCCCCCATGACTTAGGAACCACCCCCAGCTGATAGAAATGCTGCCAGGACTGGATGTGGACGATGAGGGACGTGTCAGCCTCTTGCCATGCCTTGCCCAGCTGGGCCCATCTGGTAAACTAACTAACATAACTATGGAAAATCATCAGTTTTCATGGGGAAATCAACTAGTTCGACTGGGCCATGGCTTCAATAGCTTTTTGTATGACCAGAGGGTAACTGAGCCCCAAGATCATATCGAACTCGACCTGGGATCATCGCGGGGGTTGGGCTTGGTGGCCACGTGAGTTGGGAAACTCCCGAACTACATAAGTATCATTAAGCATCTAAACCCATAGGATCCATGTATGCTATATATGCTAACATATGCTAACATAAAGGGGGTATATTGATGGGATCCATGTTACCATATATAGCAGCACCATGGATCCTATGGGAAATGGGAAATGGTGACATTTCGTGATTTTCCAGCCTGCCCCATGATGCCATGTTTGAGACAGATTAGATATCTTGCCATCAGAAATGCAGCGACTCATGTCGAGGGAAATGTTTGGAAACTGAAGATCCCCATAGGATGGCAGTGACGGCATCATTTTTCAGCCCACTTCAAAGAAAATGAAAATGGCATGACAAGAAGGCGGCTTTGTCTGAAACTGGGGTGTACACCCATTCATTGGCCTTCATATTAATATTATTTCTTTGATGAGGAAAACATAGGAAAACTATGACCCCCTCAGGTAATTCAACAGAGCACTGGGAAATTTACCATTTTTCGGTGATTTTCCCATACCTCCATGGGGGATTTCCAATCACGCCACGTTTGATTCTCGGAGGGCAAACCCAAGATATCCCAAGGGGGTCTTCCCAGAAGTTTCAGGAGAAACCCACTATGGCACTATACCCTCTGGTAATTTAACATAGCTATTGAAAATGGCTATTTTATAGTGGATTTTCCCATTAAAAATGGTGTTTTTCCATAGTTATGTGTACGTTTACCAGAGGGTAAACTTCCGGGCCGGATCTACTTATTCTGGGGAATACTTCCAGTCGTGTCCAACAGTAGTTGGATCCTACATTTTCTTCAGCTGGAAGCATGTCTTCATGTTGCCCCCATTATTCCTGCAATGAGAATGTCACGGAGTCATAGTCTAGTTAGTTGTTTTGAGGGAATCCTCCATGCCGCAAGATATTCGGATCACCATTTGAACCATTGTAATGTGCTAGGGGCGGCATAAACCATCCCCAATCTTGCCAGAAAGAAATGGAAAATGGTTTTAACATGTATACACCATCAAAAATTCGAGCAACACCTGCATCCAATCGTTCTTGGGATGACTTCGTTGTACACCGTGCCGGAACAATTCCAGCGGGTTTTTCAGCCACGTTTGTTCCAACAGTCGGGAGATACCACGTTTGTTCACCCCTAATATCATTGTTACTTATAGAATAATGAATATATATTACACCTCACTACATTACCAATAGGATCCATGGTGCTGGTATATATGCTAACATAAAGGGGGTATATTGATGGGATCCATGTTACCATTAATATAGCAGCACCATGGATCCGTCATGGGTTATATTCCAAAAATGGTATCCCAGATTTTACGGGAGTCACCAGCCTCCCGTCCCATTCGATGAATCCTATGAGAATCAAGGTTTGAATCAGCTCCTAAAGATCACCAATTTCCATGAGAAGACCCTCTTGAAAGCTGTCAGGGTGCGACGATACGGAGGGATTTTTTTCTTCGCAAAATGGCGGAGGGATTGGGCGGAGTTTTTTTTTTAAATCCACTGGAAATGGGGCTTTGCAAACCGGAAGCAAATACAGGTTGATGTTCCAAATTCCAACTGATGATGAACAGCCAGAGGCTTTGCCCCAAAACTCAGCAATGTTTTTTTTTTCACCAGCCGGCCCCTCGATTTGCCTAGACGATATATTGAGGGGTGTAAATGGGACCGGAGATTTCCAGTTCCAGCCCCTCCTTGGAAAAAGTGGCTGAAGAGCCTATGGATCCTTAGATCCTTAGATCTGACTTCAGACTCCAAAACCCAGGTTTTTTTGGGTCCATTGAGTTGCATAAGTTGCATCTGGATCGATGGTGGGTGAAGCAACAAAAACCGCCCAGCATCACACTCTGGGACTGAGTAAATAGTTCCCATAGTCATGGGTCTGGGTAAATTTCATCACGACCTCACTGTTCGACCGAGCCCTGGAAATCATGGTTAGTAAGGGGAATCATCCCAAAATGGCCGAACTATTCAGGTTAGTGAAATATGATAATTTACTCAGATGGGTGTTTTATTGTCAACTGGTCACAGTGAACCCCACGGATGGGAAACCCCCTTCACTAGAACGGTAAGCGTTGATGCTACAAAGCCCTGGCCCTGCCCGTGATGGTTTCAGCATGGCCAACGATCCCCAAAATGGTCATTTCATGTCCACTTGCATACATTCTGCTCCATTCTGATCTAGTGTCTAGACTGTCTAGATGTATCATGCTGTTTTTTTTTTTAAATGTTTTTTTCCATCATCATGACATGGATGTTGTCCAAAAAAACTGCATCCGTCATGGCCAGGAACATCAATATCAAGACCGCAGCACCGGTGCGTTGCGCTTTTCTCTCGAACCTACTCCTGATGGTAAAGACATGGTGATCCGTGACTGGGACGACTAAAGAAGAAGAAGCACTGGCTTTAAATTGGTGGATCCGGTGGATTTCTCCATTTTGGTAAACGTTTACATCACGAACTGGAAAGATCCACCATGCTATTCATGGGAAAATCCACGAACTAAATGGTGATTTTCCATAGTTATGTAAACGTTTATCAGAAGGTATCCATTTTGTTGGATGGGTTTCTAAATCAACAAATGGAAGGAGGGCCACCCTTTGGCTACAGATCGCACACAGGAAGGTATAATATACTGGTTGTTGGTTTGGAACATTTTCTATTTTTCCATTCAGTTGGGAATGTCATCATCCCAACTGACTCAATCATATTTTTCAGAGGGGTAGGTTGAAACCACCAACCAGATATATATATATAGAATGGGCTAGCGCCCGGGTGCCGCCGACCCCCCCTATTTGGGGGGTCCTGCAGAGAGAGGGAGAGAGATAGATAGATGGATGGATGGATGGATGGATGGATGGATAGATAGATAGGTAGAGAGATAGAGAGAGAGAGAGAGAGATAGACAGATAGATAGATAGACAGTTGGATAGACAGATAAGTGGATGGAGAGATAGATGGATAGATAGCTGGATGGATAGATAGATAGATGGATAGATAGAGAGGGAGAGATAGATAGAGGGGGAGAGAAAGATAGAGAGGGAGAGATAGATAGATAGAGAGGGAGAGATAGATACTCCGACGGCATCCGACGGCATCAGCGGTTCAGTGGGTCAGTGGCGCGTCGCTTCCGGCGGGCCGTGCTGAGGTCGATGGTGGTACATGGTGGGACAGACATGGACATATATGTTTTGATATGCCCCAACATGCCGCAATTCAATTTGCCACACAAGGTGCAATGTGTATGCAATGAGTATGACGCTACAAATTTGAAGTCAGACCTCAGTTCATATTTTTAAGCATATTTGGCCTCCTATCATTGTATGATTGGTGGTAGAGTATCATTGATTTTGAAACTCAGGGATAATCAAGGGTACTGATCTCCGGAAGCTGCTGAGCTTGCCGCGCCAGGGCCACGAGTTGTGGCGCCTCATCATCGCCATGGCCTGGAGCTTCACATGGTGGGGCCGAGGGGTTGGGGGATGGGGTTGGGGATGGGGTGGGGTTGGTGTGTTGGGTATCAAAAATATACTAAAAAATGGGTGATGGGGGTTGGGGGAGCTGCAGGGAAGCATTTGGTGGGTTTTGCGGGCGGGCAAACGGCAGGCTTGAACCACCATAAAAGGACAATGCCGGGGCTGGCAAACGGCATGGGAGCTGCAGGGAAGCATTTGGGGGGTTTTGCGGGCTGGCAGACGGCAGGCTTGAACCACCATAAAAGGACAATGCCGGGGCTGGCAAACGGCATGGGAGCTGCAGGGAAGCATTTGGGGGGTTTTGCGGGCGGGCAACGGCAGGCTTGAACCACCATAAAAGGACAATGCCAGGGCTGGCAAAACGGCATGGGAGCTGCAGGGAAGCATTTGGGGCGTTTTGCGGGCTGGCAACGGCAGGCTTGCACCACCAAAAGGACAATGCCGGGGCTGGCAAACGGCATGGGAGCTGCAGGGAAGCATTTGGGGAGTTTTGCGGGCTGGCAAACGGCAGGCTTGAACCACCATAAAAGGACAATGCCGGGGCTGGCAAACGGCATGGGAGCTGCAGGGAAGCATTTGGGGGTTTTGCGGGCTGGCAAACGGCAGGCTTGAACCACCATAAAAGGACAATGCCGGGGCTGGCAAACGGCATGGGAGCTGCAGGGAAGCATTTGAGGGTTTTGCGGGCGGGCAGACGGCAGGCTTGAACCACCATAAAAGGACAATGCCGGGGCTGGCAAACGGCATGGGAGCTGCAGGGAAGCATTTGGGGGGTTTTGCGGGCGGGCAAACGGCAGGCTTGAACCACCATATAAAAGGACAATGCCGGGGCTGGCAAACGGCATGGGAGCTGCAGGGAAGCATTTGGGGGGTTTTGCGGGCGGGCAAACGGCAGGCTTGAACCACCATAAAAGGCCAATGCCGGGGCTGGCAAACGGCATGGGAGCTGCAGGGATTTGGGGGGTTTTGCGGGCGGGCAAACGGCAGGCTTGAACCACCATAAAAGGACAATGCCGGGGCTGGCAAACGGCATGGGAGCTGCAGGGAAGCATTTGGGGAGTTTTGCGGGCTGGCAGACGGCAGGCTTGAACCACCATAAAAGGACAATGCCGGGGCTGGCAAACGGCATGGAAGCTGCAGGGAAGCATTTGGGGTGTTTTGCGGGCGGGCAGACGGCAGGCTTGAACCACCATAAAAGGACAATGCCGGGGCTGGCAAACGGCATGGGAGCTGCAGGGAAGCATTTGGGGAGTTTTGCGGGCTGGCAAACGGCAGGCTTGAACCACCATAAAAGGACAATGCCGGGGCTTGCAAACGGCATGGGAGCTGCAGGGAAGCATTTGGGGGGTTTTGCGGGCTGGCAGACGACAGGCTTGAACCACCATAAAAGGACAATGCCGGGGCTGGCAAACGGCATGGGAGCTGCAGGGAAGCATTTGAGAGTTTTGCGGGCGGGCAAACGGCAGGCTTGAACCACCATAAAAGGACAATGCCAGGGCTGGCAAACGGCATGGGAGCTGCAGGGAAGCATTTGGGGGGTTTTGCGGGCTGGCAAACAGCAGGCTTGAACCACCATAAAAGGACAATGCCGGGGCTGGCAAACGGCATGGGAGCTGCAGGGAAGCATTTGGGGGGTTTTGGGGGCGGGCAAACGGCAGGCTTGAACCCCCATAAAAGGACAATGCCGGGGCTGGCAAACGGCATGGGAGCTGCAGGGAAGCATTTGGGGGGTTTTGCGGGCGGGCAAACGGCAGGCTTGAACCACCATAAAAGGACAATGCCGAGGCTGGCAAACGGCATGGGAGCTGCAGGGAAGCATTTGGGGGGTTTTGCGGGCTGGCACACGGCAGGCTTGAACCACCATAAAAGGACAATGCCGGGGCTGGCAAACGGCATGGGAGCTGCAGGGAAGCATTTGGGGGGTTTTGCGGGCTGGCAGACGGCAGGCTTGAACCACCATAAAAGGACAATGCCGGGGCTGGCAAACGGCATGGGAGCTGCAGGGAAGCATTTGGGGGGTTTTGTGGGCTGGCAAGCGGCAGGCTTGAACCACCATAAAAGGACAATGCCGGGGCTGGTAAACGGCATGGGAGCTGCAGGGAAGCATTTGGGGGGTTTTGCGGGCTGGCAGACGGCAGGCTTGAACCACCATAAAAGACAATGCCGGGGCTGGCAAACGGCATGGGAGCTGCAGGGAAGCATTTGGGGGGTTTTGCGGGCGGGCAAACGGCAGGCTTGAACCACCATAAAAGGACAATGCCGAGGCTGGCAAACGGCATGGGAGCTGCAGGGAAGCATTTGGGGGGTTTTTGGCGGCTGGCAAACGGCAGGCTTGAACCACCATAAAAGTAGCATGCCCGGGGCGGCAACGCATGGGAGCCTGCAGGGCAGGCTTTGTGGGAATTTTGCGGGCTGGCAAACGGCAGGCTTGAACCACCATAAAAGGACAATGCCGGGCTGGCAATGCAACTGGGACTGGCAGGGAAGCCTTTGGGGAGTTTTGCGGGCGGCAAACGCAGGCTTGAACCCCATAAAAGGACAATGCCGGGGCTGGCAAACGGCATGGGAGCTGCAGGGAAGCATTTGGGGGGTTTTGCGGGCTAGCAGACGGCAGGCTTGAACCACCATAAAAGGACAATGCCGGGGCTGGCAAACGGCATGGGAGCTGCAGGGAAGCATTTGGGGGGTTTTGCGGGCTGGCAGACGGCAGGCTTAAACCACCATAAAAGGACAATGCCCGGGGCTGGCAAACGGCATGGGAGCTGCAGGGAAGCATTTGGGGGGTTTTGCGGGCGGGCAAACGGCAGGCTTGAACCACCATAAAAAGACAATGCCGGGGCTGGCAAACGGCATGGGAGCTGCAGGGAAGCATTTGGGGGGTTTTGCGGGCTGGCAAACGGCAGGCTTGAACCACCATAAAAAGACAATGCCGGGGCTGGCAAAGGGCATGGGAGCTGCAGGGAAACATTTGGGGGGTTTTGCAAGCTGGCAAACGGGCAACGGCAGGCTTGAACCACCATAAAAGGACAATGCCGGGGCTGGCAAACGCATGGGAGCTGCAGGGAAGCATTTGGGGGGTTTTGCGGGCTGGCAAACGGCAGGCTTGAACCACCATAAAAGGACAATGCCGGGGCTGGCAAACGGCATGGGAGCTGCAGGGAAGCATTTGGGGGGTTTTGCGGGCTGGAAAACGGCAGGCTTGAACCACCATAAAAGGACACTGTCCACCGGGGCTGGCAAACGGCATGGGAGCTGCAGGGAAGCATTTGGGGGGTTTTGCGGGCTGGCAGACGGCAGGCTTGAGCCACCATAAAAGGACAATGCCGGGGCTGGCAAACGGCATGGGAGCTGCAGGGAAGCATTTGGGGGGTTTTGCGGGCGGGCAAACGGCAGGCTTGAACCACCATAAAAGGACAATGCCGGGGCTGGCAAACGGCCTGGGAGCTGCAGGGAAGCATTTGGGGGGTTTTGCGGGCTGGCAAACGGCAGGCTTGAACCACCATAAAAGGACAATGCCGGGGCTGGCAAACGGCATGGAAGCTGCAGGGAAGCATTTGGGGAGTTTTGCGGGCGGGCAAACGGCAGGCTTGAACCACCATAAAAGGCAATGCCGTGGGCTGGCAACGGCATGGGAGCTGCCAGGGAAAGCATTTGTGAGTTTTGCTGGCTTGCAAACGGCAGTCTTGAACACCATAAAAAGGACAATGCCGGGCTGGCAAATGGCATGGGAGCTCAAGGAAAAGCATTTGGGGAGTTTTTGCGGGGCCGTGCAAACTGCAGGCTTAACCACCATAAAAGTGACATGCCGGGGCTGGCAAACGGCATGGGAGCCTGCAGGGAAGCATTTGGGGGGTTTTGCGGGCGGGCAAGCGGCAGGCTTGAACCACCATAAAAGGACAATGCCGGGGCTGGCAAACGGCATGGGAGCTGCAGGGAAGCATTTGGTGGCTTTTGCGGGCGGGTAAACGGCAGGCTTGAACCACCATAAAAGGACAATGCCGGGGCTGGCAAACGGCATGGGAGCTGCAGGGAAGCATTTGGGAGGTTTTGCGGGCTGGCAAACGGCAGGCTTGAACCACCATAAAAGGACAATGCCGGGGCTGGCAAACGGCATGGGAGCTGCAGGGAAGCATTTGGGGAGTTTTGCGGGCTGGCAAACGGCAGGCTTGAACCACCATAAACGGACAACGCCGGGGCTGGCAAACGGCATGGGAGCTGCAGGGAAGCATTTGGGGAGTTTTGCGGGCTGGCAAACGGCAGGCTTGAACCACCATAAAAGGACAATGCCGGGGCTGGCAAACGGCATGGGAGCTGCAGGGAAGCATTTGGGGAGTTTTGCGGGCGGGCAAACGGCAGGCTTGAACAACCAGAAAAGGACAATGCCGGGGCTGGCAAACGGCATGGGAGCTGCAGGGAAGCATTTGGGGGGTTTTGCGGGCGGGCAAACGGCAGGCTTGAACCACCATAAAAGGACAATGCCGGGGCTGGCAAACGGCATGGGAGCTGCAGGGAAGCATTTAGGGGGGTTTTGCGGGCGGGCAAACGGCAGGCTTGAACCACCATAAAAGGACAATGCCGGGGCTGGCAAACGGCATGGGAGCTGCAGGGAGCATTTGAGGGTTTTGCGGGCTGGCAAACGGCAGGCTTGAACCACCATAAAAGGACAATGCCGGGGCTGGCAAACGGCATGGGAGCTGCAGGGAAGCATTTGGTGGGTTTTGCGGGCTGTGCAGCTGCAGGCTTGAACCACCATAAAAGGACAATGCCGGGGCTGGCAAACGGCATGGGAGCTGCAGGGAAGCATTTGGGGGGTTTTGCGGGCTGGCAGACGGCAGGCTTAAACCACCATAAAAGGACAATGCCGGGGCTGGCAAACGGCATGGGAGCTGCAGGGAAGCATTTGGGGGTTTTGCGGGCGGGCAAACGGCAGGCTTGAACCACCATAAAAAGACAATGCCGGGGCTGGCAAACGGCATGGGAGCTGCAGGGAAGCATTTGGGGGGTTTTGCGGGCTGGCAAACGGCAGGCTTGAACCACCATAAAAGGACAATGCCGGGGCTGGCAAGCGGCATGGGAGCTGCAGGGAAGCATTTGGGTTTTGCGGGCGGGCAAACGGCAGGCTTGAACCACCATAAAAGGACAATGCCGGGGCTGGCAAACGGCATGGGAGCTGCAGGTAAGCATTTGTGGGTAGTTTTGGCGGGCTGGCAAACGGCAGGCTTTGAACGCACCATAAAAGGACAATGCGGGGCTGGCAAAAACGGGCATGAGCTGCCGGGCAGCATTTGGGGGGGTTTTTTGCGGGCTGGCAAACGGCAGGCTTGAGCCACCATAAAAGGACAATGCCGGGGCTGGCAAACGGCATGGGAGCTGCAGGGAAGCATTTGGGGGGTTTTGCGGGCGGGCAGACGGCAAGCTTGAACCACCATAAAAGGACAATGCCGGGGCTGGCAAACGGCATGGGAGCTGCAGGGAAGCATTTGGGGAGTTTTGCGGGCGGGCAAACGGCAGGCTTGAACCCCCATAAAAGGACAATGCCGGGGCTGGCAAACGGCATGGGAGCTGCAGGGAAGCATTTGGGGGGTTTTGCGGGCGTGCAACGGCAGGCTTGACCACCATAAAAGGACAATGCCGGGGCTGGCAAACGGCATGGGCGCTGCAGGGAAGCATTTGGGGAGTTTTGCGGGCGGGCAAACGGCAGGCTTGAACCACCATAAAAGGACAATGCCGGGGCTGGCAAACGGCATGGGGCATGGGAGCTGCAGGGAAGCATTTGGGGAGTTTTGCGGGCTGGCAAACGGCGCTTGAACCACCATAAAAGGACAGCCGGGGCTGGCACACGGATGGGGAGCTGCAGGGAATCATTTGGGGAGTTTTGCGGGCTGGCAAACGGCAGGCTTGAACTCCCTGAAAAACAGATGGCAGGGGCATGTAGCTGTAAGAGTTGTTGCCTTGGAGGCCTGCGGAAGCGTTTGGAGGTTGTTGCCTTGGAGGCCTGCGGAAGCGTTTGGAGGGTTTCAGGCCGGTCAAACGGCAGTCTTGAACTCCCTGAAAAACAGATGGCAGGGGCATGTAGCTGTAAGAGTTGTTGCCTTGGAGGCCTGCGGAAGCGTTTGGGGGGTTTGAGGCCGGGCAAACGGCACTCTTGAACCCCCTGAAAAACAGATGGCAGGGGCATGTAGGTGTAAGAGTTCGGCAGGAGCATGTAGATGGCTGGGGCATGTATAGCTGGCAGAGGTGTTGCCTTGATGGCGTGTGCCTTTGCTTGCGACCCGAGAGCCAAGTTCCACACCTCCGGTGGTCCCAGGCGCCGCCCCTGCCTTGGCAAAGGCCGGGGTCGGCGGATATATATATATATATAATACTAACAATAATAATAATCTAATAATAATAATAATCTAATAATAATAATGATAACGATAATGATAATAATTAATAATAATTATTATTATTATATAATAATATTTTCCCATATTTTCCCATATTTTCCCATTAAAACCAACCAACCATATAATCTAATTTGATGTATCGTGTCAGACACCCCACATCTTTTACATCATCCCATCCCCAGATCTGGGGCATCGGATTGAACGATTTATAGCTGGCCCATACCCATGACGGATCCATGGTGCTGCTATATCTGGTAACATAAAGGGGGTATATTCATGGGATCCATGTTACCATATATAGCATACATGGATCCGTCATGGGTTTCATGATATTTCTTCGGATGAACATTTTTAAATTCTGTAGAGAATTGGGAGTTGAAACCGCCAGTCTCGGCGGCTTAAAACCGCTTTTCTGATGGATCTGTCTATGATTGGATGGTTGTTTTCCAAGGCAACTTGATCAACAGAGCCTTTTATTCAAGCTTTACCTAAGGGATGATTTACAGTCAGCTGCCTGTCCAGATTTTGTGCCTGCTTCACCTCCAAAAACATCGAAAAACTCGGCGATCAGAATTGAACTCTTCCTGGAGTCAGTTGACATCAGCTCGAAGATTTTTGCTCAGAATTGCGGCGCCAAGAACGTAACAACACCTCACCCGTGACGTAGTTCCGTAGTTCTGGTTTTGCTCAGCTGAGGCTGACAGTCAGAATCAGTGACAAACTTGCCAAGAGAACGAACTGGAAAACCACCATTTTATAGCTGGGTAAATCAACTATTTCTATGGCAATTGTCAACTATTCTCATTTTCGATCGTTGGGATGGCTATTCTGATTGATTCACCAAACATGTCCCGAGATGGGAAGATCCCAACTGATGTTTAATGTCAACCCTGGATTAATAAACCCCTATATAGGCTGTTTAATTGGGGGGTACCATTTAAGTATCAGATGAAATGACTATTAGGGAAGTACCCCCTAATTAATAAACCATCAATAAACCATGGTTTATTAATCCGGGGTTGACATTAGTAGCAACAAATCAGCTGAGTGGAAACCTTACCCTCTGGTAATACGCAGGGAACTGGACAACTTCGACCATTTTTTAGGAGGCACATCATCTGGAAATGGGCCGTGGCTTCCATAACTATGTTAAATCACCAGAGTTTCTTTTTCCCATAAAGTAATAACTTATAGGGGCTATTAGGGGTTGATATCACAGTTATATCTTATATCACACTTATTTTCCTAACATTTCCCAACTTATTGGGGTTATATTGAGTTATACTATAGTTATATTGGTGATATTGGGTTATACAATGGCTATACTATATACTAAGGGTATGTAATCACTATAAAATGGGAACCCATGACGTCAAGAAAACCTAGGTTTAAGGAAATCCAGACATTTGGGGGATCATAGGCCCCGCTTCTATAGTGAGTTTTGGGTAACTTTAGGAAAATATTCAGATAGGCTCGACTCGACGATATGTCATGGGTCCCCATTTTATAGTGTTTGAAGGGTTTTGGGGTTAACCGAGGGTTAAGTGATGGCCTCTACAAATTTGATATTTTTCATTTTATAGAGGTGTACCCTCCCCAGGAGGATCATGGGTTCCCATTTTATAGAGGACCCTGTCGGGGGGGATGTACCCCGCCGTTTTGTCCCCAAATAAAGTGGGGACCCATGACGCTCCGACTTAATTCACTGTTGGGGTTTATTGGGTTATATTAGTTATCAACTAGATATAAATACAGTTCTGGTTGGTGGTTTGGAAAATGAATTTTATGACTTTCCATTCAGTTGGGAATGTCATCATCCCAACTGACGAACACATATTTTTCAGAGGGGTAGGTTGAAACCACCAACCATATATATATATATTATAATATGTTCCCATATTTTCCCATTAAAACCACCAACCAGAATGTGTTTTTTCACATTGACAATATATCATGTCATCATTTTCCGTCAGTGCATAGCTATGGCTTCAGCCCAATTTCTCCCTGTTTGGGTCGACCTGAAATTTTTGGTCGACGCCGACCCAGCTGACCCGAGGTGTGTATCCTGGGCGTCAGCAAGGAAACGAGAACTGGTCAAGGTGATACGGGCATTCCGGCCGCTGGTGAGCCAGTATTGTGGGTAGAAAAGTCATAAAAAATGGTGATGATAATGGTCTGGGTAAATTATAACGACCTCACTACGACCTCACTGGAAATCATGGTTAGTAAGGGGAATCATCCCCAAATGGCCGAACTATTCAGATTAGTGAATTATTATAATTTGCCCAGAATGGTGATTCATACTAAACATAGCGGTTGATTGGTTGATCTAGGGAGCAGCCTTTGGTTATTTAACAGCTATGGAAAGCTATGGAAAGCAAGGGCCATTGAGTTCGATGATGAACATGATGGGTTAGCCTACTGGAAGATTTTCCCGCACGCGACGTCAAATGACCAGAGGGTCATACTAAGAAGTTTATCATAGTTTATTGGGAATTATCACCCATAATTAGTAAGGATACCTATTAACCAAGCAGTGCGACGTGATACAGGTCGTTTTCATGGCGCTGAAGAGCGTATGGCTTCATCCACGCTCGAAATGTGGATCATTTCCTTTGGAAACCATGGCATGTCCATATGTGAGTTTACCTTAGTGTACTAAATAATAATTTGGATAAATCATATTTTTATAATCTGGAATAATAATTTGGAATAATAATCACAATATGAACTAATCATATTTTTATATGGAATATACTGTGATATAGCCCGACAAAATATGGATCATTGACTTAAGTAATCAAGCACTTAGTAACAGATATGCAAGATGAGGGGAATAGAATGTAGATTTTGCGCAATGTGATCATCATCAAGAAATTTGGATAAATTGGCTGACAGGGATTGAAAGGGTACAGATGAGCGGTGTTCAAAACCCCAGTTGGTGGATGATATCCCATAGGATCCATGTATGCTATATATGGTAACATTGGGGGTATATTGATGGTAAATGTTACCATATATAGCATACATGGATCCTATGGGTATGGGGTTGTACTATCCAATATATTGGGAATTATCATAATCTATTATGGGAATTCCTATTATCCAACTAGTACACAGGGACGACATAAACAGGCTTTGGCAGCCACCGATCAGATGTACAACAGGGGCATGTTCAACGGACATTTTTGGAGCGCCTCCGAGATTTTGAACACGTGAAATTTTGTGAGAGAATGGGTCAAGACCTACCCGGGTTTACCCCACAAAATATTGGCGTTTTTGATGCTAAGACTGTTTTTTCCCTTTTTTGTGTCATCAAACATGGCTGGAAAATCCACAACATCTTTTTAAATACGAGTTTCCCATTTAAATATCATGGAATATCCATTTACCCTCTGGTAATTTAACATAGCTATTGAAAATGGCCATTGAAATAGTGGATTTACCCAATTAAAAATGGTGGATCTTTCCATAGCTATGTTAAATTACCAGAGGGTATTTGCAGTGTTTCATAGTTATTGGAGTTATAAACCAACTTAGCTATCTAGGGGGCCCCACTTTGTGGAATATCCATTTAAATTAATGAGTTTCCCATGGACAATTGGCATATCCAGAAATCGTTCGTTGAAGGATTTCCCTGACGTTTTTCGTCCGGAAGGTGGACTCAAGAGCCCTCTGGCATGTCGGCCAAGGCTGAGGTCAAGGACTGGAAAAATCATAGCATAATGCATATAAGCCCATACCCATAGGATCCATGGTGCTGCTATATATGGTGACATTTACCATCAATATACCCCAAATGTTAGCATATATACCAGCACCATGGATCCGTCATGGGTAATGCCTTTTGAGACCTTTTGAGACCGGAGTTTTATGGTGATTGCATGGTGATCTTGTGGTGATCTTATGGTGAATGGTAAATTATATGGAATTATGTATACCAGCGGTGTCATCAAACATAGCTCGATTTTATCCTCCATTTACTTCGATGTTTTCCCACTTTTAAACCTGCACAAAAAAAAAAGGTGGGATTTTCCAAGCTGCGTTTGATTACTGGAGGGTATGACACATGGTATTTCTACGTCTTGAAACTACGAGTTGACTGAACATGAAAGCCACTTATTTATAAATGGCTGATATGTAAAAACGCGCTGAACTCTGTTTGGCATGGTCAATGTCTGCACTTTGCGTCCTGGTCCCAATCCCTGAAGACTTGGGGCATGTCCTCGGACCGTTGATGCCCCAAACAACCTGAAGGTGAAGGGCCTTGTCGGGCGAGATTTCAAACCACCCTGAACTCTCTGTGGCTTGATGCCATATCATGGGCTATATCACCTATACCCATAGGATCCATGTATGGTATATATGCTAACATTGGGGGTATATTGATGGTAAATGTTACCATATATAGCATACATGGATCCTATGGGATATTATATGACCTACCTGGCTGGGGCTGGTGAGTCACCATTGCGGTCAGGAGGAGTCTTGGGAAGGACGTTGGCGCCAAAAGAGTTGGTGGGGCCGGTCGTGGGGCAAAGGCGATGACATGTGGGCTGAGGGGTGATGCCCGCAAGTTGCTGACGACCGCGATGAGAGATGGCCACACTGGGTAGCAACATGTGGGTGTGCCTTAGGGCAACACCCCCCAAAAATGATGGTTGATAAATGTTGAGTTCATGAGTTTTCCAATTCAATGATTGCAACATATTGCAACATGACCGACCAAGATTTTTTTGGCGGTGGTTTCACATCGAGAACATGAATGGGTATAGCTAGTGTTGGCAGAACACTGGCTATGAGTCAAACCAGTAGTACACTTTCACACATGGATGGAAGATAATCGTAGAAGCAAAGTGACCACTGTAAACATACGTTAGCCTTAGGTGAGTGCTTCGTTTGGTGCTTCATTTGGCAGGGGTTGGTAAATGTTCCATTTTGATCCATTGCAATCCAATTTCAAGATCTTAAGCATGACCTGCAAGCGTTGAGTCATGTTCTTTTTCTGATTCAGATTTCAGAACAATCAGATGGGAACATGGGGAGTTTTCGGACATTTCAAAGCACCCCTTCCAGATGGGTGCACTAAAAAAATAAGATCCGCGTGTCGGACCTTCGCGTCCGCGTTTTCAGCTTCGAGTTTTGGTGCGTAGCGTCGAGGCCAGATTGCCTGGATGCGGTGGTCAAGGGCTGATGACACCATTTCGAGTGGAGAAATAGAATCCATGATGTCACAGAATCTATACAGGATGGTGCCCCCCAGTTATGTTTGTTGCTTTATAACCCCATCTAATTATTGTAATTCCTATTCACCACACCTTTTGCCTTTGAGTATCCAAATATCAACACTTTGGGTTTCAGTAGGTACTATTTACAACCCCCCAAACATGTACATAGTGCCTACTCGGAGTCTCAGGGTAAATATAATTATATGATATGTATCATACATTACTGTTGTTATTGTAGTTATTAACCAACTTAGCTAACTATGCGGCCCCATCCTGCAGAATCCCATAGAATATGCTATAAATCTTAAGATCTATGATAACACAAGGGTTCAACTTTTGGAACTCGGGGATGTTCAAAGAGAAAGAACATCACATGATGATGTATGAGAAAAGAGGCTGGAGGAGATAAGGTGTGGAGGATGTGAGGCAGAATGCAGGGAGTGGGATCCGATATCTGGCTATGATATCTGGTGTGTGGTCAGAACCTGACTACCAACATGGTATCCATTGAGGCGTCAGTAGGTGGTCGAAAAAGATTCGGCGTGGTCGCGAGGGAAGATCTGGGGTGCTGTGATACCGAAAATCAAAATCCTTCCGAAAATCCTGGAAAGCAAAGCCATAATAAGCCATAATAGGATTTTCCATAATAAGCCATAATAAGCCATAATATGGCCATCAAAAGCCATAATATGGCCATCAAAAGCCATAATATGGCCATCAAAGCCATAATATGGCCATCAAAGCCATAATATGGCCATCAAAAGCCATAATATGGCCATCAAAAGCCATAATATGGCCATCAAAAGCCATAATATGGCCATCAAAAGCCATAATATGGCCATCAAAAGCCATAATATGGCCATCAAAAGCCATAATATGGCCATCAAAAGTGGCCATCAAAAGCCATAATATGGCCATCAAAAGCCATAATATGGCCATCAAAAGCCATAATATGGCCATCAAAAGCCATAATATGGCCATCAAAAGCCATAATATGGCCATCAAAAGTGGCCATCAAAAGCCATAATATGGCCATCAAAAGCCATAATATGGCCATCAAACGCCATAATATGGCCATCAAAAGCCATAATATGGCCATCAAAAGCCATAATATGACCATCAAAAGCCATAATATGGCCATCAAAAGCCATAATATGGCCATCAAAAGCCATAATATGGCCATCAAAAGCCATAATATGGCCATCAAAAGCCATAATATGGCCATCAAAAGCCATAATATGGCCATCAAAAGCCATAATATGGCCATCAAAAGCCATAATATGGCCATCAAAAGCCATAATATGGCCATCATAATATGGCCATAATATGGCCATCAAAAGCCATAATATGGCCATCAAAAGCCATAATATGGCCATCAAAAGCCATAATATGGCCATCAAAAGCCATAATATGGCCATCAAAAGCCATAATATGGCCATCAAAAGCCATAATATGGCCATCAAAAGCCATAATATGGCCATCAAAAGTGGCCATCAAAAGCCATAATATGGCCATCAAAAGCCATAATATGGCCATCAAAAGCCATAATATGGGCCATAATGGCCATCAAAAGCCATAATATGCCATCAAAAGCCATAATATGGCCATCAAAAGCCATATATGGCCATCAAAAGCCATAATACCATCAAAAGCCATAATATGGCCATCAAAAGCCATAATATGGCCATCAAAAGCCATAATATGGCCATCAAAAGTGGCCATCAAAAGCCATAATATGGCCATCAAAAGCCATAATATGGCCATCAAAAGCCATAATATGGCCATCAAAAGCCATAATATGGCCATCAAAAGCCATAATATTGCCATCAAAAGCCATAATATGGCAATCAAAAACCATAATATGGCCATCAAAAGCCATAATATGGCCATCAAAAGCCATAATATGGCCATCAAAAGCCATAATAAGCCATTCCAACACCTCAGAAACCTGGATACCGAAACACGGCGCCTGAGGTATTTAAATCTGGATGACTGTTGGGCCAAGAGTCGCAAGGACGATGGAACTTTGGTAGCCGATCAGGCGCGGTGGTGAAGCCAGAAATTCGGAATTTGGGATCTTTAATAATGGTAGCTGATGATCATAATTGAGGTACCATATTTTTTTGGGGTCCAAACTTTTGGGGGTGATCTGCGAAAATGGGAGGTGGGTGTGTTTTTTGCCACCATTGAATGGAGAAATTCCGGGACAACCCACAGAAGTGGTTGGGGTTCTAAGAGTCGCTTCTAGTTTCGGCCATAGACATGCGATATCATGCGATGATGTTTTCAAGGACCTTCACATGTTTGGAATGGGTTGAGTCGGTTGAGTTCTGGGAAGCTGGTGTTCCAGTCCCATTCACCATTTTGGCATTCGTTTTTTCCCCCCAAAAAATGGGTCATCGATCCAGTGCCCAAATGGTCATCGATCCAGGTCAACCCAGGTTTTTTCTCGGCCAGCCTAGTGGAGTGGATGGACCCTACAGGACGGGGCCCAAAAAAGATAGCTCACTTGCCTCAAAAAAGTGGCTGAATGCTATGGTTTATGGTAGATATAACGAACTAGTTCATGGAGGTTATATTGGTTTATAAACCAACATTCACATAACTGGGGGGCCCCATCCTGTACTCCCAGATTTCCCTGGTGAATCGAGTGCTGATTCTGGTCACCGTCGGGCCGTCTGTCGGCGAGGCAAAGTTTCCTGATGGAACGCTGAAGCCGTTGGCGGACTATGTTCACAGCAAGGCGCGGCGGAGACTGGTCTCGATTGAAGCCATGAAAGCCATGAAACATGGGGACGTTCTGTTTCAAGAATGCCCCAAAACCCCACCCAAACCATCTACCCTCTGGTGATGACTAACATAGCCATGGAAAATCACCATTTTTAATAGGTAAACCCAGGTAAACCATCTATTTCTATGGGCCATCTATACCATGGCTATGTTAGTCATAACCAGATGGTATTGGTTGATTTTTTTGAAAACAGGTAAACCTTGGTTACACCGATGGTACACCGGGAACCCAGACCATAAGAAGAGTTTGTTTGGACACCAAAAAAAAACCCATAGAATCGCCGCTTAAAACGCGCTTTTTTCTGTATCTATTCATTGGCATTTCCTTCTGAATATGTGAAGAACATGTGAAGAACATGTGACTCACAAGAAATTTGTCAAAGGTCAACCTTCATAATGATAGATTAATTTTCTGGCTGGCAGAACGCCCTGAGTATCTGCAACGAGTGTGGAATTGTTTCAAGATTCCGAAATGCAAGAAGGAATTGCAATTCTAAAGATACTGAAATGCAACGTGCACATCAATGAACCATCAAACACATTTCATAACCTGATGCGTACGTCAGTTTTTTTACTATACATATGTAATCATATATGATACATAATTAATATACACATATTAGCTCAAAAACATGCTGGGTATGCCAAGCTTAGCCATGTTACTTTGATGTTTTTCTTTTTAACCATGGCTATGGCTACCAATTTCTCCCTGCAGTTTGGCCATGTTTCAGTAAGATCCATCTTCCAATCATGATACATTTCAGACAAGGGAATACATCTCTGTACTACATGAAAAAAGGTTCTATATTAAAATTCATATCACTATATATATACTATATATTATATATATAGATTATAGCTTCTATAGTTCTAGACTATATATACACATACTTTATATATATATACACTGTGTATATATATATAATATCTTCCATCACCTTCCGGTTCAGACAGGGCTGGCTCCGATGTCCGGCAGGGTCTGCTCTTTGGCACCTACACGGATCGTGGGGACCTAACCTGTGCTGGTCGACCCGGAGCTGCCAGGACGGGCAGATGTTCAGGCTTCTTTTAATGCAGTTATAATATATATATACTATATGATTATATAGTATATTATATAGTTTCACACCAAAAAAGTGAACCAACTTCCTTGTAACATATTTAATCTTTACTCTAGATTTTTTTATTCCGGATACTTTTCCAGAGGATGATCAAGACGACTTGAGAGCTTCAAGCCGGCCAAGCACAAAAACCACCGCTTATTCAGTAGGAAGAAGATAAGAAGCCAGTTGTATCTCCCATCATGATCCATTCATGATCTTAGTATTGATATATATATAATTATATATATAATAATATAATATATATATATACAATTATATATATATAATTGTATAGATTGACATTGCTCCGTAAGCACTCCAGAGCCTCGTTTTGTGGGCATTCCAGAGCTGGCCATGTTGGGCAGGTGCTCCACCAGCTCCACCGCATCCTGCTGCCCAAAAAAATCGTTGTCGAAGTTGGGTTCAAAAACAAAAACCAGGTAACTACAGTGGATGGTTGCGAAATCCTGCACCACCTTGGATGGTTGAAACCCTATAAATAAGGGGATAAACCATCTATCAACTGGTGCAGGATTTCTTCCATCCACCGTAGTTTGATCTATCTGCCATGAAGCAACTAGTCAAACCGCAGCTTTTTCATGCGCAACTTTGTCCGATTTCGTTTTTTCGGGCACCAGGCACGAGGAGATTGATGCCAAGACCTATGCCCTGTGGGGCGTGGACTACCTCAAGGAGGCACACAGAAGCGCGCCCAGCGCGCTTCGTTCATTGGCGGGGAGGCTGTTTCATGGCGCTGGTGCTGGCCTTGTCAGGGTTTTTCGATCATATCATATATACATATAGATGTTAGTTCTTATGAGTAATATGGACATTTTATAAGTGTCATTCTTATTGTGATGATAAATTCTGTTTTGAATATTAATATATATATAATTATATATATGTATATGATATATATATATAATGTACATAGAACAAATGATGATTAAATCTTTATGATTATGACCTCATCAAGGCGGCATCTGCTGTTCCTGCAGGACAGTTGCAACGCCAGTGGAGACCACCAAACTGCCTTTGCAGAGTACGGCAAGATGCGTCACCGGGCGCTAGCGCTAGATCTGGTGGTGTTTCACTTCGGTGGGGAACCTCGCCCAGTTCTGGAAAAACGACCCTCTGGTAAACATACAAAAAGCTATTGAAAATGGCCATAGAAATAGTGGATTTACCCATGAAAAATGGTGATTTTCCGTAGTTTTGTTGTATGTTTACCAGAGGGTAATGGGGGCTTCAACTTCCCCACTTTTGAATTTATGGCCAGTCTGGCAGATCGCAGAAATGACCATTTTGAATTGAGGTATGCCCATCTTAGTCCCTACAAGGATAGCGTATCCTTTAAGGGGGCTTTGGAAGGCAAAGTTGGGCATGACCAGTTGACCATTCGTTTGCCGATATCTATGACTCCCACAACTAAGAAGTCAAGCTTTATTATTTATAAGCCTATAAGTTATAAGTTTCTTATTCTCATTGGTGCTTTTATTCGGGAATGGGGGGAATGATCCAATCCATTATTAGTTTCACAATCATCCCATTCCCCAAAACCCCATGAGTTACGCACCTCGCGGCGTGTGCCAAGGCGATGCACTGAACAGCACGGGGCGCAAGGTGCTCTTCAGCCTGTGCGGTTGGAGCAGCCACTTGGAGCGATCGGGAGAAACTGCGGCGTGGCTTTCCATGTAGCTTTCCACCATCTCAAAACCTTGGAGAATCTATTCTGGCAGCCCTGGCACGGGTTTTAATGGGTGAAAGATCAATTTTTGAATCCTCAACTTTTGAGATATGTTAATGCTGTTAATCCGAATCCATGTATTCAATGTATAGATGATTTGTAAGGTGAGATGATGGTGATCAGACACACGGGGCGGACTCGAGGTTGGTATGCACCGGTGGGCGCCTTGCTGGGCAACAGTTGGCGCATTGGGCCCGACGACAACAACTGGGATGGGGTGCTCAGGAACATTGACATCATGAATGGCTTGCAGAAGTATGCAGGCACTGGCAGATTGATTTACCCTGCCTGGTAAACATACAAAAAGCTATTGAAAATGGCAATTTATAGCGAGTTTTCCCATTAAAAATGGTGATTTTCCGTAGTTTTGTTGTATGTTTACCAGAGGGTAAAACGGTTGAATTCACTTTGAATGGTGATGCTGCTAGCAACTGCGAATGGTGAATGGAGACGACAACGAGGTTTTTTGAATGGTGAATGATGAATGCCTTGCGGAAGGCAGTGATTGTTAGTGACTCTCCAGTAACGGAGGGAGCTACAGGGCGACCTGGTGGCCATGGACAGCCCATAACATATGGCCTTGGTGGAATAATTCTGTTGTTTTGAGGCAGGGTAGCACGTAACAAACATCAACAGACCATGAAGTGCCCTTTGAAATGGCTTTAAATCAACACTTACTTGCAAAGAATTCCCAAGTGAGAAACCATAAAAAACACTTTCATTGTGATTTTCACACAAAAAAACTACAATTCATGGCTTACTTGGTGGCTCCCACGCATCCTGAGGATGTCCAGTGGTATTCCTGGTTTTATTTTCAGTGGGATAGGGTTGATCCACTTCTCCGGGTGAACTAAGCTACTTCTCCTCGATCCGTGGCTCGCCGCCATGGATTTCACGTGATTCCAGATCACCCCCCAGGAGCATCCCCATATCCGCATGAAATGCCGCTGGGAAATCCTAGAAAAAAGCCATCAATGATGGTTAGGATTCGGGAAATCATCCCAATATGGCCGAACTATTCAGGTTGGTGAAATATTACCCTTTGGTAAATTAACATAGACCCTGAAAATCACCAATTTTTAGAGGAAACTAATCTTCCAACCCCTATCTACCAGGGTCTATGATCATTTACTGGAGGGTATAATTTACCCAGATCCATTGTCCCACGAAATCTGGGAGGCCCTGGCGGCTGGAACGACCCGTGCCTCCTCTTGAGTCGCAAATGGTCGGGTCAGCAACGCATGACGGAGCTGCAAACACGCGCGCAGTGCCTTGGTCGAGTTTGACGACATGTGGCGGATTTCATGGTGATTTCATGGCGATTTGATGGGATTTCATGAGATTCAACTGTGATTTCATGAGAATTCAATGGAACTTTCTGGATTTTTTTTATGGAGTTCAATGAGAATTCAATGGGGTTGGAAAGGATTTAATTGGGAAGTAATTGGGGATTTCAATGAGTAGCTATTCAACAGGATTGATGCAGCAAGAGTGGATTTATATATATATATATATTTATAATTATGTTTTATTTTTTTCATGGGAACTGAATGGATTGAATGGGAATTTCATAGATGAACCATCAAATACACGAGCCATTAGCTAAATAGTGTCATATTAACCTATCTGGCTTTTTGGGGTATAAGTGGGCTTGTTAAGGAAGAACACGATTTCTCATGTAGGATCATGTAATTAGGTTTGTTAAAGAATTAAGCTATCCAGTGGTTAGGAGGGGGTGATTCAGAGCCATGGTTGCATCCCTATTCCCTACAGGGAGCCAAGGAGCGAACGAAGAGTTTGCCAGCCTCATGATTGGAATGGAAAGCCCAAACATCTCAAGGATGAGCATCCCGATCAAACTTGTAAATTTGAGGCAATTACTCCATTCAAAACATGAATGAATCCTTCAGAAAATGAAGCCATAGGGATGTAGGGCCTAAGACAAGGATTGTTTCTCGCTGCACCACCTCATGTGGTGCTTCATAGCTTGAAGTCCTTAAGCCAAGAGCTCGTGATGTCGAGGAAGCAACCATATTATTCTTGTGATATTGAGTAATCTTGAGTATCATGAAGTTGATTTAAATTCTTGCTTCTATCCTCATCCAATCTCCATTTCATGGTGTCTCTCTCTCTCTGTATATATATATATATACATTATATATAAAATGTATATGTATATATACATACATATATTATGTATATATATATTGTGTATATATATATATTGTGTGTATATATATATATATATATCAGGAAGGCCACTGTTCGATTCTGTTCAATCCGGTTTCAAGTTTGGTAATTGGAGCCAGTCCGGTTCTGTTTTCATAAATATCATCTGATCCGGTTGCCCGGTTCCGCGGATTCCTGCGGCTGAAACAATATGAATGCCAAGTGATAAATGCAAGGAAATCATACAACATAAATGCAAATTGTTTTCCCTGGTTTCCACCTTTTTTCCCCTTGAGTGCACGTTAAGAAAGGCTTTTGCGCCAAGGGGAAATAGGGTGGAAACTGGGATTTTCTCCCGCTTCGAACAAATCTCAGGAGGATGCTTCGCCTTCTTCAATTCGAATTGTTTGAAAGACAATAAGATTTTGAGCGTTTTTTTTACACAGGAATCATAGATTTAACCATATATTTGACAAGGGAATTTTAATGATTGAAATGTAATGTATTCTAAAAGAATGTTCCGGAACCTCTTTTTGGTTGGGTTCACACGGTTTTGATATCCCCAATTGAGAATGGGCTACCCCATTCTCAAGTCGCCCGGTACAATCTGGTACACGCCAAAACAACCATGATCCCAGGGCACCCCATTCCAGTGCTTAACCGCCTCATTTTCCCTATCAGAATTGCAATGACTGGCGCAAATTCCCCGTGTTCAGACACATCAACTCAACATTCACGAACAAAAATCTGCCAAACTCGCCATTTTTTCTGTTGATTCTGTGGCTGAGATTCTCCATTTGGGCTGTGCTTGCAGCTCCCTTGCTGATCAGTGGCAGCGCTTCTTGGACTGCCGAGGAGGATTTCAGTTTTTTTTGTTCTGTGGGGATGGGTCAAGTTACCTATAAATTAGCCCATAAATAATTTCATAGCCAGCTATGGTAACTTAATAACGGTACAAAAATATGGGATTACAAGAGGTTTTGTTATGGGTCTCCCATTGGACAATTATGGGGTTATAATATGTTTTTATGGGATTATACTGGGACTGTAATGGGATTATAATGAGAGTGTAATGGGATAAAATCATCTACTTACTGGTGCAGGCTTTCTTCCAGCCTGAGTAGGTTTTGCAACTATATGGGAATGGGTCAAGTTATGAAATTACCATATGGGGGAATAAACTTCCATGAGCCAGCTGAATCCACCCAGCTAATTGAAGGTACCTTTTGGGTAACCATGTGGTTGGGTTTAAACTATTTTTAACCACATAAGATCAAGGATCAACATCTTCTATATGAGCAGACCTTACAATACCATGATCAAGGAATCCACATATTTCTGTAGATTGGATACAAGAGAGATTAGATGTTGAGCGGATAATGGGTCTTTAATGGGAAGATGATGGGTATACAATCGACATATTTGATGGCATGTATCTTATATAACCAACTGGATATGATATGTGGTGGCTGAAAATGGTTTATGGTCCCTCCAAGTGATAGGAATCTTAACGAATCTCAATTTCTTAGTGTGAAATCACTTGATAAAACACTTGATTTTAAGGGTATCATACCACCAGACGTCTCCCATGCAGTTTGATACCAAAGAATGACCGGATTTTCAGAGGATCTAACACCGTTGAAAGGTGCTGCCCCCTGCAGTGATGTTTGTTGGTATACAACTCCCATCAACTATAGATACACCTATCACAAACATCCTATAGTTAATGGGTTAATCACTAAAAATCTACCATAAACCATAGATATCTCCATTATGATCCACAAATATATCTACAATAAACCATAGTTCATACACCTAGGCAGTTCTCTTCACCAACTTCGCGCATCGTAAACGGGAGTGGAAAACCATGGAAATCCGTTGAGGTGTTGAACATGACATCAGAGACCTTGGCGACATACAGCAACAAGGAAGTTATTGCTGTGAACCAGGCGCGTTTCGTTTTTTTCGGCACGGCTTGAGGCTAGATTTCTCACATACAAGGTGGCCCCCTAATTACTGTGAGGAGTGATATTGGTTTATAAGCCATGTCAACTATAGTTGTAGCAGATATCTCGTATAAACCCAACTGTTAACCGATGAAAACACCAACTTCGCGATGTCGCAAACTGGGGCCCCGACCTGGTGAGGCTAGTGGTTCTTTTCAAGAAGAGCCAGCTGGTTTGACATGTTTTCAACCTACCCTCTGGTAAACGTTTACATAACTATGGAAAATCACAATGTTTAATGGGTAAATCGACTATTTCTAGGGTCATTTTTCAATAGCTATGTTAAATTACCAGAGGCTACACAGCTTCTTAGGGATCAGCAAATGGAATCCCCCCAGCGTGTTTTTTTTTTTTTGCGGAGCAGAAATACTGGAAAAAGTGGGTTCTCCCCATTTTTGGACACACGGGAATCTGGTGAATATCCATATATTTCTTATTTTTCCGCAATCATAGAGTCACAACACATGAAATCATAGAGTCAATGTTTCCAAAAATTGCATGGCATGAAATCCAGTGTCATGCATATCCCGTTTATGGTTCTGTACATATCCAATCGCATTGTTTGTACTGGAAGGGCCAAACGTAATATCAGTTGGTTTGTAAAGCCATCCAAGTCTAGATATATCCATGAGAAGCATTCAAAAAACATCAACACCTATAGACGTTTAAGTTCGCCTATAATTGTAATTCTGATTGGTGGTTTGGAACATGAATTTCATTTTTCCATTCAGTTGGGAATGTCATCATCCCAATTGACTTTCATATTTTTCAGAGGGCTAGGTATACCACCAACCAGATATTGATGTACTAGGTATATTGATGAGCATCACTAGGTATTACTATGTTTACATCACTAATATTAGATATAAAATATGCCCAATATCTCCCATAGGATCCATGGTGCTGCTATATATGGTGACATTTACCATCAATATATCCCCTTTATGTTAGCATATATACCAGCACCATGGATCCTATGGGATGTTTTACTCTCTGGTAAACTAACATAACTACGGAAAATCACCATTTTTAATGGGAAAACTCACTATAAATTGCCATTTTCAATAGCTTTTTGTATGTTTACCAGAGGGTAATCCTTCCCACGAATTTGGAAAATCCCAACGGAATGCTATATATGGTGACATTTACCATCAATATATCCCCTTTATGTTAGCATATATACCAGCACCATGGATCCGTCATGGGATGTTTTACTAGTTCTACCCCAAGTTCCCTATGCTTTCTGTTGGCCCCGTTATTTCGCCTAGGATGTGGCCGGCCACCAGGGCTGGAGGATCCAGGGCAGGGCACTGGCAGATGGGTCGCTGGGCCGATGATAGGAGGCATTTTCCCAATGTTTGGGGGTTAGAACATGGTTGGGTTTATGGTTTTTGGATATTTTTTGGATACTGTAATTTTTTTGGACATGTTTTTGGATATTTTTTTGGATGTTTATGGTTTTTGGATAATTTTTCCACATTTTCTGGGGACTATGAATGATGATGTTCGATTTTTAGAGGTACACCATATTGGAAAAAAGGTCAAAAGTGAAGACCTAGGGGACCACAGATGGTTTAGTCTAGTTTTAGTATGAACCATCCAATTTTTGGGACCCAATTTTGACACACACACCCACATTTGTTTGGGGGCAACATCCACTATATACTTGGGGACGTTTTTGTGAATGCGTTCTGGGTTCTGATTGAATCATGACTCTCCCATGGTGGAGTGGCTCGCTGAGCTATGGCTGCATCATGTTGTATCCATATCATTCCATATTTTCTATGAGTCACTATGGGTGAGCCAGTTGAAGCTACAGAGTTTCCCAACCACATGATAGATCACTGGTTGGTGGTTTGGAACATGAATTTTATTTTTCCATTCAGTTGGGAATTTCATACTCCCAACTGACAGAGGGGTTGGTCAACCAGCACCCAGATTATTATAGATTATTCATATTTATGGTAACCCCCCAAAAAGATGCAGAAAATACCTTGGACACTTGGAAATGATAGGGACAGTATCATCTTTTCACCATCCCCACTTTTTTCAGTCGGCCCTGCCATGAGTGGGGTGTTCGTTGATATCTACCTTCAGTCAAACTGTCAATTGGGGGGGATGGTAGGATATACTTTGTGGGAGTGGGAGATTTGGATGATTCAATGGGAGATCTCCAGGATCCGAATTAATGGAGGTACTGAACTGTACCAGATTTTTAAGGCCATATTTTGGGGGGAAGATTCCCTGAAATTTAGGCCTGAAAAATAGGCCTTATATATGGTAGGTACCTCCAATAAATCGGTTCCTGGAATGGCCATTGAATGATCATGCGGTTGGAAGTGGAATCTACTTAGATTACAGCCTGCTCCTAGTTTTTCTCGAAGCCCTGCATTTTTAAGAACTGCTACTAGTACCAAGTGATACCAGTTCCGAAGCAAATCAGACATGATGGGTGGATTTCTTTTGTGGAGCCTCCGCAGCTCCTTTGGTTGTAAAACAACATGTTCGGTTTTCCTCCATCGCTGGGTTTTTTCGGAGCTCCACCGCCTCGTCCGAGGTCGAGTGTTGGAAACATTTGGGCCAAGCCTCTCTCGGATGGTTCGAAGCTCAGGATATTCCTTGGGATGGAAGAGATGGAAGCGAACGGCTCTGGATTTTCCAGAAGAAATTTGAAATGGGCGATTTTTTTTTCCCCATTCTCAGCTGGAGTCTATATCCCATAGGATCCATGGTGCTGGTATATATGCTAACATAAACTGGGTATATTGATGGGATCCATGTTACAATATATAGCAGCACTATGGATCCTATGGGTATGATCCGGCTTTGTCTGGAAATGAGGTACCCCCAAAGTTGATCCTGAGGTACCAAAGTTGATCCTTTTTTTTTTATTGGAACAGGATGGCGGATTGCAATATCCCTTTCATCTTCAATAGGATAAGGATTCATAAGGATTCATATAAAATACTTCTTGCCATTTATTTTCTATATCAGAGGATGGTTCACCACTATATTTGATGGTAAAAACCATGGTTTCCTGTAGATTTTCCCTTAGACCAATCCATTGAATGGCGGATTTGACGGATGGTTCACCACTGGGTCAAGGTGCCTTCGCCCTGGTTTTTCTGAACGTTGCCACGGAGGAGTTGAAGCTGACCTGTGATGAGGACGGCTGAGGCTGAGAGAACTTGCGAGTGATATGGGGATTCGATCGATAGTCATGGGGATATTGCTGTAAATTAATTATATGGAATATATATATATATGGAATATATATATTATATATATATGGAATATATATATATGGAATATATAAATATATATGGAATATATATATATACCTGGTGCTTCAAAGGCCGTGCTAGGCGGGTGCTTTGCCTAAGCACCTCAAAAGTAGGTAACGGCCATCCCAAGTGTAACGGCCATCCCAAGTCAATAGTGGCATAAATATTCTCAGCCAGGATCCTGGATTTGCCGTTCCCGCAGGCATTTTGCCATGTATAGACCGAAATCTATGTGCATCTTGAAGATTATGATAGCTTCTGATATCATCTCCAAGATGGAAACATAGATCCTGAAACTGGAATCATGATATAGTAAGATAGATTGATTGATTTCTATCTCTATCTCTCTCTCTCAAATATAAGGGTTCCTTTATACAATTTTTTCATCTATGTCATTTAGAAACATCTAGTATAATCTCTTTTCATCATATGAAGATGGAACACATTAAGCCATCTTCAACCCGAACCGTCCTGATATAATGTGCTACAGTGTTACCTAATTCCATGTGTCAAGATTGAAATTCCCATTTGATTGCCTCACTCCAGCCCACCACCTCGTTTTTCCACTGTCGATGCCCCGTGCACGGGGTGGGTCAGCCCGGACCCGGCTTGCTTCCAGCGGCCCCTGACTCAGGCCTAGGGGATCGTTTTGCTATTTCGATTAAACTTATATTTGTCAATATTTGTTATCTCGATCTCTGGCTTTCTTAGGCATCAATGGGTGGCTCACAGGTTCGCCCTGCCTTACCCTGCTTTGGTGTGGGATCAGTGCTGATGATTTTGTGTTGTGCCCAATCTGATCGTCCATGATTGAAACTTGAGGTTGGAACATCCAGTAACCATTTGGGCTCCTTTTCGTTTTTGGGGTATAATGCCCTCGCCACCCCGTCCCAATGTCATGGCCTTGCTCAAGGATGGGAACTGGAGGTGGTGGTCAAAGGATTTGTTATCCGATTATCCAGTATTTTGCAACTACCTAGTTCGGAATCCACTGCAGAACATTCAACTTAGCGGTCGTTTGGGGGTTCAATTGCAGGACTTCTACTTGGGAAAGGTCCGGGATGAGAACTACATGAAAACTCGTTGGCGGGAGTTGGCCAAAAGAAAATGTTTACCTGAGAAGAAACTTGAGCAGCGTTTGAAGAGTCAGCAGGCCGGTCCCATCGGGAAACTCATCTCAACAATATCTTCAGAACAGTAGCATTGAACGTTAGTCCCAGAAATATCTAGCTGACATATTTTGATTTCCACCTGCCGCTCTAGGCACCATGTGATTTCAGTTTCATCAACTTGGACACCTCGTTCAACAAGGAAGATGACAGCAAAGCGGTCACTGTGGAAATGGTGGTGCCTGCATGTTTCAAAAGATCCGGAAGGTGTAAATCAATAAATCATGCGATGATGGGCGAGCATAGCTTTGAGCTCCCTATATCCCAGGGTCACGAATGATTTTTTCAGCTTGGCTCCCAGGTTGAGGATGACCACAACTACGAGTTTTTCTTGGAGTGGCTACCCCTCTTTGCAGCGGATTTACCGTGGCATTCAGAGATGAAGGCTATACAATATCGGGAATCTAATAAATCTATTATGCATGACATATATTATGCCATCTTGATTGATACACATTTTTTTTTTTCCCATCCATTCGTCTATCTACTCATGTGGTGACCCTGGTTGCTCGCCCGTGCCTGCAGGCCACACTCATGGAGATTCACTCGGCGGAGACACCTCTGTGCCGACCCAAGATGAAGTCGGATTTGGAGGACACTATGGGTTGGACTTGTTCAAGTGCAACATATCGATAAAATGAGCTGTTCTGGGATTATTGACTACATGTTTGCAGGACTGGGCCTCAAATGAAGCTCAATCCCAAAAGGACCTCCAAAGTGCCATCTTGTACTTGGCAAGAAGGAATGAACATGCAAGGCTTGCCGTATATATCTACTCATAAAGTGCCTGTGTGAAATTGATGGTGTATTTCATATCTACTATCAGGGCTTAGTTTTGACTTTTTGGCAGGCCAGGGCATCAAAAGCTGGAGGATCTGAAGTTCATTGTCCGCGAATTGCGTGGCCATCTGTGGAACAAAGGCGGGTAAACAAAGAGTTTTTTGATTTTTGAGACTATGGGACTTATATGTTTATATATATACGATCTTATGATAGCAGCCTCCTTTTTCAATATACAAATGTTATTGAAACATTATATTGAAACCTGTTTTTGATGATATTGAGAGTGATCTGACAGGAAAAACGAAAAGCAGTGACGAGGTCAAAAGTCCACAGAGCCAAGATGGGCTTGCAGGGTTTTCTGTTAGCAAAGAAGAGCTAGAAGAAGAGGCTGAGGCAAAACAATGTGAAAAGCCCAGAAACCCAGAGCCCCGTGAAAGTGAGAAGCTGAACCCATCTGCAGTTGAAGAGCCGGAGCAAAAACACCCGGAACACAACAAAACTCCAGAGATTTGCCCACCGACGTCAAAACCAGAGATGCCCTTTGGAGATGAGAAGCCGCAGGCAGAACAGTCTCAAAAACACAGTGGTGAGCCCAGCGCACATGAGCAGTCAAAACAAGACCCTGAAGAAACATACACCAAAGCACCGGAGCCCAGTGCAAATAGGGAAGTACAGCCAGAGGAAAAGCGTCAAGAAAACACCAAAGCACTGGAACCCTGTGTAGATGAGAAACCGCAGCCAGCAGAGCTTGAAGCACAACATGACAAGCCTGGAGAAGCACATGGTGAAAACCCCGCAACACCAAAACATAGTAAAGACATCGTTGAGATTCAGGATGATAGCCAACAGCAAGAGGTGTTTCAAGACAGCCAAACCCCACCTGAGTGGAAAGAGGATGCGGCATTCGCCAAGTCAATGGATGAAATAAAAGAGACTGCAGATCCCAAACCAGATTCCAGCGCCACAGCAGAAGATGCCCAGCCCGTGACTCCTTGCAAACACTTGTTGAGTGAACTTGAAAGGGAGGAGGAGAGAGAGGATTTGAAGTCAGATGAGGAAGATTTGGCAAAGCGCCAAGCTTTCAAGGATTGAATTTGTACATATTTTCACATATGATTTCAGATAAACACAAATTTTGAAATTTGACTAGTATTTCAAATCCGTTGGTTAAACTAGAAAAAATTGTCCAGTCTGATCGTTGCAGGACCGGGAGCCCCTCTTCGATTTGAAGAACCTTCCAGATCTTACAGAACAACATTTCGAGGAGATTCCCGAGTTGAAAGGTATCAAAGATGAAAAGGCAAAACAAGTAATCTCGAACTTGATTTTGCAGGCAGGGTATCAAAATAATTTCGTTTTTGAACATAGTGAATCGGAACAGATTGTGCATGAATGCTGTATATGTTCGATGCATGTTCTCGTTGCAGTTGCAAAAAGATACACGAAGAGATATGAATGCAGAGAAGAGAGAAGTCCAGAAAGAACTTGATGACAAGAGGGCAAAAAAAGAGAAACTCATCCTTGGGAGAGGAAGGGGGAAAGGTCGTGGCAGAGGCCGGGGAAAGAAGGTCGAAGAAGAAGGCATTGAGGAAAAAGAACCAGGAAAGTGTACTGACGAAGCTGCTACTTCTGTGGCGGAAGCTGGCTTGCAGAAACTGCGCACGTCATGGCTCGAGGAGGCTGGAAGGGGGAAATTTAGAAATGGATGATGGTGTGCGGTGTGGGGTGGTGTTATACATAATAATACATGTAGAAATTATGCACATATAAACTTTATAATATAAATTTGACATGCTTCCCCACGCGCACAGGATATCTCCTCGGACTCCGATGAAGAGGTCCCTCGCCCGAAGAGCAAGGTGTGCAATGCCATGTATTTATTCAAAATTACGTGGGATAAAAATTAATTTCGATATGATCACGTCATAATGTGTTTTTTTTCCCCAGGCGAAGGCAAAGGCAAAAAGTAAGGCGAAAACGAACGCGAAGGACACATATGGCTCTTTCAATCTAATTTTTTCCTTCAGGGAACCAAATCAAATTTATTAATTCAACCATCCTGCCAGGAGCCCAAAGCAAAGCCTGGCCCAAAGCCAAGCCAGGCATCATCTCTTTTACATGAGGCATGTGCAATATATCAGGAGGGTTATCCCATATTATTCCCAAAGTATCGTGGTAAATTACGATTTAAACCGGTATCCCCATTCAAACTGTTAGAGGCCAAGCAAAGGAAGAGTGCAAGCAAAAGTGCCAAGGCTGGAGAGGCCGGCATGTACACCAAAAGCGATCAAACTATGCAGTATGTAAACCTGCAATCTGGGTTTTGATGTTCAGAGCCCGATGACTACTGAAGAAAAAGAACCTCAGGAGGATTGTTTTTTGAATATCGATTCAATGTCCCAAGGGAAACTATAATTGATGTTGCAGGACATGTCAGCACCGGCAACGGAAGACTCGAGAAGGCCCAAGGCCAGTCTCTGTTTGTCCATGTGTGTGGGTAGCATAAGACACCTTAATCATCATCATTTGTGGAGGACGCAGCAACTCCACCAAGTGCAGCCAGTCCGGAGGAGGCCCAAAAAATATAGATCAATTGATATAATCGAACTTTGAAACTTACCATATTCAGATATTTTCCCTCCATAAATGCTCCCTCCATAACCATCGGCGCTGGTTCTTACAGGCACCTCCAAAGCGCAGAAGGGCTCAGCGTGCAGATCCAAAGGTGCCTGGCTAGTAGTGATACTGGTGATGCAAATTCATGGGAATGGGATCTATGGTGTTTATTTTCGGTACTGCAATGACCTGATCGATTGAATTGTTTTATGGCTTCACCCCCAATTTCAGGACAAGACAGTTCCCAGTCCTGATGATGATGATTTGGAACCAAAAAATGCTTTGCCTTAGATTTTAGAATTGTTCTGCAAATTATTTTTTGGGAGCCATACATGCGGCGTATGAGGTCCCCAAGCGAAAGCGTGGGAAGACCCCGGATGGAGAGGCCAGGATAATTATTAACCAATAAAGCTTGTTGTGCTTTAGGTAGATCGATCAATACAATCATCACCAACTTCAAGATACAGATATATCAAGATGAAATACCATGTGCCACACCTCACCTCTTGGAAGCATTTCCATACGAAAACATGGCCATGCAGGAGGAAAACGGTGCCAAGTTGCCCAAGCAGGGGGTGCTTGACTCAGATTTAGTCATTTAGTTGTCAAACTGATTTCACGAACAAGAGACCTGTCCCAGGCTGCAGCCAAGAATCTTTCGCAGGACTTATTTTTTTAATCCCTGAAATTCATTTGATTTCTCTTTTCCACTTTCACATTGATCGTGTTTATATGTCACAGTTTTTGAACAAATGTGTAGGAACGCAAAGCTGATCAGCTCCTTCTGGTTCGTCAAGCTGCTGCCGGTTCTTTCCCAGAACTCATGCCCCCGGACGACATTGATAACCGGGTGCCAGGGTCTCAGCATCAAATGCTTTGACAATCAAATTATATAGTTGGTTTGGTTGGATTACCGCGGTGGTTCCCAAATTGGTGTGCCCCAAATCTTTGCACAAATTCACCATTATTTAATATGAGCTGTAATGCCCCATGGTCAAGCGTTTGTATCCACCGACTGTGCCTTGCTCAGGACTTGGGTTGTCAGCGCTCCTGAGATCATTCGCAAGAAGCTGAAGAAGGAGGACTCTCTGTGCAAATTGGGGGTGATCTTGCGTGGCCAAGTTTATGTCTATCGGGCTGATGCTTCCCGTGTGGACGCTGTGAACGAAACTTACAACACCACTTTCAAAGCCGGGCCCCCAGCTACTTCCAAATTTTGCAAATATCATAGCTTCCGATTTTCAATTGATTATTCTCACTGAATGAAGTTAAATAAATGCCTATATCACGCTGCTTCAGGTCGATGGAAATGGTGGGGTGACACTGTCCTGGTCTAAGTTCGGGCTGACCTGTGCTTGGAAATGGGCACGTATTCTGGCAGGATGGGACAAGTTTGATTGATCATGTTGACAGCTGAGTCAATACCAGCCGCAGCAAAGATCATCAATCGATAATCGATGTGTCGATTTCAATACTGTTTCTTGAGATGCGTGCATGCATGCATGAACCTGTGGAAAGTAGGCTCTAAATGTATGACCCATGGCCCATCGTGCATACATGTGCTATAGAAGTATTTTTTCGACTCATGATTGCATGCACGCGAAATGGCAGGGGATGCTGGGACACGGGGTCGCCAAAAAAAGGCCCCCAAAGCCAGCCACTTCCATGTGTGATACGCACACATGCCTGGGAAAAAATGCACTTGAATGCTCTTGATTGTTCATTTGCAAAAACCATTGCAAGATATGATCTGGTATCAGCCAAACACCTCCAGGAACATTTATCATTTTTTGTCAACCGTGTGTGGATAAATGCAGCAATTGTGGCTGGGGTGAATCTAACAGTGTTGTAGCTAGTCACCCACTTGCAAAATGCCGGCGCCAGCTCCCAGTTGGACACTCAAAGGCGTGTCCTTGACGCGAAAGGAGGCGTCTCTTCTGCAATCCTGGGGATGCCCGAGGGAAGTGCCAGGATCCCAGTTAATCTTCAGATCTCAATCTTAGCATGTCTCAGCAAGGTAATACATCGATGAATATGGTTCGAAAGATCAGAGATACCAAGTACTTTGAATTTTATAGATCGGGTGGATTTTTATGGAATTAATTATTTTCCAAATACCCATGAAAATGGAATATACAAGATGGTGTATTTCAAGGGCACTTGGAGGGTCTCGGGATAGAATATCCTTGTTGCGACATATTTTAGTTTTCTTTCAATGGGTTGATTTGAGGCTCCATGCCCTTGACTTTGTTGCCCAGAATGCTGGGCCCGAAGAATCCAGCCGAGTCCGGGGCCCAAACACCAGATCTCTATCATACATAAATTGATATCCATAAAAAAGATCTTGACAGTGTATAATAATTTATATAATACATTTTCTTGGCATTGCCACTTCACCAACATAAACTACCCCCAGGATGTCGAAGTTCTGGACATGTTCTGCGGAGAGAAGGCGATCTCTGGCCATTGGAGTGGGGCCCTGATTGAAAATGAAAATCACAATTCATTCAGATTAATTTTATTGTTCTCTCCTCGGCCCGCCAAAAGCTGGTTGAGGCAAGCGCGGGAAAAAGGCGTCCGACTCCAAATTCTTTTGCTTTTGGCTTTTTGCCCTTGGCGCGCGGGCTGTTTGCCAAGTCTGCGTATATTGTGTGGCAGTTCGGTATTATAATTATACTGCTAAGGCTATTCTTTGACATCAACCAGGGTGAGCACAATGATATTCTCTTGTCGCCCGGGTCTCAATGTAATATGGTTGGATCATACATTGTGTCGCTATGAAGTGAGTTTGAACTTTGATTTCCCACACGAACCTTCATTTGAAATTTTATTGAGCAATCTTTGGAAACAAAATTGAAAACCATTACCCGCATTCGACCAGGACTGGATTCCTGACCTTGCTATTGATGGTGCTGCAAATGGCCCCTGATGCGCTGGGCGTCATTGGGTTGCCGTGCATTTCATACATATTCATGAACAGCTTCACTCATGGGAGAACCAGTGACAAGCCCTACGGCAATGAATCAACTCGTGAATATGTCAAGTTGGCCAATGTGAAACTTGATGATCGTTTGGGGGTTGGTTGGTGGCAAATTTCCACTCAGGTTGGCCCACAAAAAATGGACCCCACCAAGTCAACCAAATGTAGTATTTCTCCCCAAGACTTTAGCAAGGGTTTGGGAGCAGGGTCCATTTTTGTGGGCCAACCCAAGAGGAAAAGTAGCAGGGAAGGGGTTGCGGATGGATATTGATCCAATAAAAGTTTTTGGGGCCAACTATATCATAATATTTTGGGGACTATGAGACCCAACCCTTCCGAAGAATCCCAAAGTTGCTCAGGCCAGAGTAACAGGCTAGCATCGCTAGGTCATAAGCTGCTTGTAGAGGTTGCACGGCTGTAGACTTGAACCTGCTTCTCTTTGGAGCTAATCCTCCGATTCATTCCCAGCAATGTGACTTCAGGATTGTCGTAGCCGGTCTCGAACTGATCGCACACCACGAGGGTGTCACTCTAGTTGTGTGGGTCCAAAGCCGGGACCAATTTCATAGATTGTCTAGTAAGCAGCTTCGTGGCCCAGGATGCACGGGCACAACAATCACGTAGGCGATAGCACCAGGTGAATCAACTGCCGATCTAGACATTAATATTCAAACATCTCCGGTACTACTCCAAATCTATCTCAGACCTTATTATATAATAGCCAGATTACCGGGGCAATATCCAAGGTTTATCTCGATTGTTTCCCTCCGGGGTTATTTGGGTTTATCTCACGTTATATACAAAATATTATATCCGGGGTTTATTCCCCACCTACCAGGTGAGGGTTGTTAGATTTTATCAGAGTTGTTCTTCTCCTTCTTCTCCTCCTCCTCCTTCTCCTCCACCACCTCTGCCTCCACTTCCATGTTCACTTCTGCCTTGCCAACTCTTTGCCAAGCTCTTCGCCAACTTCCGCACGCATGGGCACTGCTGGACCTCAACTACAAGGGTCTGAGCGCACTGGGCACCGCTGGACCTCAACCTGGGACCTTCCGAGCTCAGTGAGCACCGCTGGACCTCAACCTGGGACCGTCCGAGCTCAGTGAGCACCGCTGGCCCTCAACGGCCAGATAGACTGCCAGAAGATATGCCAGATAGAACGCCAGATAGAATGTCAGAAAGAATGCCGGAAGATATGCCAGATAAAGTGCCAGAATGCTTGCCAGATAGAATGCCAGAAGATATGCCAGATAGAATGCCAGAAGGTATGCCAGATAGAATGTCAGATAGATTGCCAGAAGGTATGCCAAATAAAGTGCCAGAATGTTTGCCAGAAGATTTGCCAGATAGAATGCCAGATAGAATGTCAGAAGATATGCCAGAAGATATGCCAGATAGAGTGCCAGAAGATATACCAGATAGAATGCCAGAAAATATGCCAGAGCATATTGCAGAAGATATGCCAGGTAGAATGCCAGAAGATATGCCAGATAAAATGCCAGAAGATATGCCAGATAGAATGCCAGAAGGTATGACAGATAGAATGTCAGATAGAATGCCAGAAGGTATGCCAGATAAAGTGCCAGAATGGTTGCCAGAACATTTGCCAGAAGATTTGCCAGATAGAATGCCAGATAGAATGTCAGAAGATATGCCAGAAGATATGCCAGATAGAGTGCCAGAAGATATGCCAGAACATATGCCAGGTAGAATGCCAGAAAATATGTCAGATAGAATACCAGAAGATATGCCAGATAAAATGCCAGAAGGTATGTCAGATAGAATGCCAAAGGATTTGCCAGTAACAAAATTCGAAGTAAAGTGGTTTATCATCAATTGTCCCAGATTACCCACATTATATATTAATTTGATTGTCTTATCCTATCCCCACAGTATTTCCGATGGAGAATGTCCCTCGGGGTTGCCTCTGCTTGCAAGCTTGGGCTAAGGCTAACAGTTCGCACTGTGATCATTATCATGATCATGTCTGTGAGGGCTGTATATTGGTTTGTGGAACAACCTGGATCCAGCAAAGTGATCCACTTCCCGGAGCTAAAGCATTTGCAGAAGCTGATATGGGCGAGTGGAATGAAAACCTACTTCCAACGGTTGTCAGGGTCTCAGACTATTGGAACATTGTTCTAACTTAATTACTACACCATGAGACGGTTTATTCAGAACCAGTAGTGCCAATGACATGGAACGCATTAGTATTGGAAAGAAGACTCCCCAACCCTAAACCCGAGTCTTGTTAATCTTCTGTGTTGGTGGCACTTCGCACTTGGTCCATTTGGATCAAGAATTTTCTTGCATCGCCTATGGTATTTAAAGACAGGGTGACCACACACTTCGATTTTGAATTTAGTCTATTGAATCCAGCCGGCATTCCACCCGCCGAGTTGGATGGGATCGTGGGGCGCACCTTCCCCGAAGTTGTCGATGGGGATTTCGTCGATGCCAGCTCCTCAAAGCCAAGTACAAACGTTTAAGAGCAAATGAAATGTAGATCTGAACCTTTTAAACAATTTGTGCCTGAACACTGAAATATGGATATGAAAATGAGGTGTCCTTTTTTTGGTCCCAAAATGGTCACTTCACAAAGAAAAAGGACACCTCAGTTTGATACATCCCCATATGGTGACCGAAACAATAATTGAAATACTATTCCTAAACCATTTTCGTCATCCTTGTTGATGAGGCCATACATTGACGAGCTCAAGAAGAAGCTGACCCAGTTTGAGAGGGCAAAGCTATCCTCTAAGGGGATTGCAATTGTCAAGGTACTTCCTTGTGGAAAGAAAACTGTGTCCTACGCTCAGGGTTAAATGGACCGATTTGTTTTTGGTTTTGGAATCCCAAATTCCCTCCTAAATTTGGCCCAGGTCAGGTGGCCCCGCCCTTCGCAAGACGCAAATTTATCCCTCTGGATTTGCTTCGAAGCTCTATGATTTAATCTCCAAGGTGAAGGCCTTCATTGTTCTTGTTGGGGCTGTTCAATCTTATGGTATAAAGAACAAATTTACCCGGACCTGGGATAATTTAAATCTGAATTGGTGAGAAACTTTGGAGTAGGATCTCCCCGACAGGCAGATTTGATGGGCATTGTTGCTTAGGCAAAAAATATTGCAGATCAAAATCAGTAAGCTGCGCCAAATTTGCCCTTGCAGGCCAGACGTGGCTTAGAGCATAAAGCTTCCGTGAACCGTGCGCTGCTTCCAGCATACAAAACCAAAGTGCAGAAGGCATGTGAATCTCCAGTGAGCAACAAATCAAATCTTCCTGTGATTTAGATTGCTGGCTAGGTTACTTGGATTTCAATAACTTGCGCTTATACCATAGCCAAAGTCCAAAAGATTGAAATGGATTTCCCGTACCTTGTTTTAAATGGGCTTCCACTCCTGTTCAGCATCCCTAGCATCTCCATTCCTCCAACCAGCACGCAGGTCATCAGCAAGATGAGGAAAACACTGTGGCAGCGCGGCCGCCTTGACGAGCTGATGGACACGCTGAGACTGCATAAGAAGAATGGGGCTTATAAACCAATTCGAAAGTTCCCATAGCCGGCTGCAGCTACATGCACAATTAAATTTGTTGGTTTTTCCCAACATGACTATATGTGCCTGCAATCCCTGTGCCTGAATTCCCCAGAATCGGTAAAAATTTTATCTGGATGATACCACTAGAGGGGTTGACCAACACCAATGACCCAACAGCTGTTGTGCATCGGCACTTTTGGGGTAGCACACCTGACTTGTGCACACAAAGTAACATTGATGAACGATGAAAAAGGCTTGGCGAATGGTTTTTCATTCTGTGGGACGGCTATTCACGATAATTCATACATTATATTTGGCCACAAAGGATTAAATTTGATTTTCGTAAAAATATTATGACTTGTAGGGGAAACCTGGTGGTGAATCTATTATTGGTATATTTCCTGACCATTTTCCCAATTTTACGAAATTTAGCCATCAGGATGACTAGCGTGAATTAGCGTGAATTAGCGTGAAAAAGCCGTCTGAGAGCGTGAAAAGCCGTCTGAGAGCGTGAACGCACCGTGAAAGTTGGGCGTTTCTTTTCTGGTGATTTTCAATCAGGTTCCTATATGTACCCCGGACTCAAAGTTAGATTGATTTATGTTCCTGGCCATTTCCCATTACTTACTGTAAGACACTTGGAGGGCCATTGCGAAAAAAACGTGAAAACACACACCAGGGCCTGAAACGCCTGTGAAAGTTTGATCATGATAGGTTTTTTTTTGGCGGCGGACCACGCCAAAAGACATATGTTGCTGATTTGGATGTGCAACACAAGAAAATACGATCAAATTGCTCCTCACTTCAATGGTTCTTTGGGATTCCAATAATATTTGCACAACCAAAAATCATGACTATTGGACATTCCTGGATTTCATGGGCAGTCCAGGGCTCGAAGCACTTACCCCTTGGCAATCTGGTGGACCAGGGACCCCAGAGTCATGTCTGATCGAGCCAAAGCGGCACTTCAAGCTGCAGCACAACGCAAAGCTGCAGTTCTGGCCCAAGAGCCAAAGCCTGAGCGGGCAGTGGACGCATGTGGACGCCATCCCCTGTAAATATATCTTAATATTCTGATAAAATTGGTTAGCAACTTTAAGCAGGCCATAGGGTCCAGCAAAAAATGCCAAAAGGATCACATTTTTTCCAAATGATATGCAGATCTGGGTTGAACTTTGTCTTTGGGGGAAATAAGGGAAGCTTCGATCTACCCCAGTCGTCAGCAATTTATAATTTGTTCATACGTATGGAGGAGAATCGTGTCAATTTACCAAGAGTTTCTGAAATGCATTTGAACGTTGGCAACGAGAAAATGATCATTCGAACAAATGGGTTTCCCGGCTCAAAGTTTTGTGGTGGTTTCAGTTTCACACCCACATGAGGTCACAAAAGGAAGACCAGATTGAGAAGGTGGATTCAAAGACTCCACAGACCCAGGTGGATAGCCCGTCGCCATCAGCATCTTTGGAGTACCGAGGAGACCCCATACAGTGTAGAAAACATGAAGATCGTTTTTGGGAATTTCACCACATCCCCTAGGCAGGGAAATCTTGAAAACAAGTGGACAAATTTTCATCCCAAAGAAAAACTATGAGCAGCCCCCTAAAAAATATTTTTGAAGAATTCAGCCGTGTTTGCTGGGTTGGTTTGGGGACATGTTCACATTAAATGTGTGGATGGATATACCCTCTCAATTGTTATCTTTCCCAGGAATTCAACTATGTCTGCTGGGTTTGTTTGGGGACATTTCACATGAAAGGGTGGATGATGGATATACAGGCCATAGCACCCTTTCTTTTGTGAAAGTATCGGGTAGACATGGGTACAATATGGGGCCCCTAATTTTTAATTGGATTGTAACCCCATGGATATTATTTATTATAACCATATGCATATATAATAAACCAAGTTAGCTATCTTGGGGGCCCTAATTCTAGACCAATCCAGTATCCAACAATTTTAAGTGGATAATTTCCCGGGATTGTTGACAATGGCCCAATCACACGGCTCAAGCTTGATCCGCAGTCAGGACAAGACTCTTTGGAAACCATTCCAGCCACGCCCAGTTCGTTTGAAAAGGCCTTGGAGGAGACACGGCTAATCTTGGACAAGGAGTCTGAGGAGAAGTCACGGTTGCCGTTGGCAACCCCGGTCCGAAGTGATGTTGCCCCACAACGTGTTGAAGAGTACTATTCACCAGACACAAATGTTTCGGGTGATTGGAAGAGCCACAGCTGGTATCATCAGTGGGACTCACAGTGGGACTACTACAAGTGGGGTTGGCCATCCTGGGCGTCTTGGCAACCAAATTGGGATGAGGGTAGTGTGAGTACACCAAGTGAAAATTTCCGTCGGTGCCCATCCGTCACTTCCTTGGGTACCAGTGACATAGAACAAAGTATCCTTGGGAGATCTACCACCCTGGAGCAGCTTGATGCAGCTTCCAAATCTACACTCATGACCGCTTTGGGAGCACTTGCAGAAGGCCCAGAGAAACAGAAATTGCTTGACCACTTCAGTGAAAACACCCAAAAAGATCGAGGAGAGACCATGTCCCCGCAAGCACCACCGCCATCAGCACCAGCTGAAGCACTTCAAGGCAAGAGGCAACAGTCCACAGCACCCGAGCCAGAAGCAACAGCAGAAAGCAAGGCTGCAGCAATCGAGAAGCCCACAGCACCCAAGCCAGAAGAAACAGCAGAAAGCAAAGCTGCAGCAATCGAGAAGCCCACAGCACCCAAGCCAGAAGAAACAGCAGAAAGCAAGGCTGCAGCAACTGTGAAGCCCACAACACCCGAGCCACAAGCAACAGCAGAAAGCAAAGCTACAGCAATCGAGAAGCCCACAGCACCCAAGCCAGAAGAAACAGCAGAAAGCAAGGCTGCAGCAACTGAGAAGCCCACAGCACCCGAGTCAGAAGCAACAGCAGAAAGCAAGGCTGCAGCAACTGCGAAGCCCACAGCACCTGAGACAGAAGCAACAGCAGAAAGCAAGGCTGCAGCAATTGAGAAGCCCACAGCACCCGAGCCAGAAGCAACAGCAGAAAGGGTAGCTGCAGCAACTGAGAAGCCCACAGCACCCGAGCCAGAAGCAACAGCAGAAAGCAAAGCTGCAGCAACTGAGAAGTCCACAGCACCGGAGCCACAAGTAACATCAGAAAGCAAGGCTGCAGCAACTGAGAAGCCCACAGCACCCGAGCGGGAAGCAACAGCAGAAAGCAAAGCTGCAGCAACTGAGAAGTCCACAGCACCGGAGCCACAAGTAACATCAGAAAGCAAGGCTGCAGCAACTGAGAAGCCCACAGCACCCGAGCCAGAAGCAACAGCAGAAAGCAAAGCTGCAGCAACTCAGAAGCCCACAGCACCGGAGCTAGAGGCCGAGAAGTCCACTGCGCCAAAGCCAGCAGAGACAGTAGCAGCCCCACCTTCGATTTCAGCCACAGCAGCAGAGAAAGTGGCTGAAGCAAAGGCAGTAGAAGTAACAGTAACAGAGCAGAAGCGCAAAGCCGAGGAAGCAAATCTAGTTGTTGCAGAACAACCTGCGAAGGTTCCCAAGGTTCCTGGCTCTGACGACGGAGGAGATGACAGGAGGGGGGGGGAGCCAAATCGGCCAAATGATGGTGATGCTGATACTGAAGCCGAGAAGGAAAGGAAACGCAAAGAAATGGCACGGAGGAAAAGGAAAGCACATGCAGCCTACATGAGATTCTACAGGTCTTTGTCCAGTCATGATCTCAATCAAAACGGAAAGTACTCCTGCCAAGACACTCACAACATATCAGTAGATTTGGTTTCTGCATCAATCAAATTACTTTCATCAAGCGTGTATATATTCAAAGTCAGAGAACCAAGCAAACACACAACCATATATGAGGCAAGAACAGCCCGGGTGAAGTGCAACGCATGGGAAAGGAAGCGAAAGGCCGAGACTCAAATCAATTATTGGATTTGAATTCGGTTACCAGAAATTATGAAACACAAGATCGTGTAACCCTAATATATTTTTTCTATGCAGCTCGGGTGTCCATTTAAAATTGCCCACATCACTGATCATCATCATTCCCCAACTTGCCTTTCAATCCGTCCTCACCCCAACAGCCAAGGAAAGGATTTGATGTCCATGCTGTACGAGGATTGGTTGGATGCCAGCGAGAACTGGAGGAACGCCAAGATCTTCCTTCAAGTAACTAGCAAAGAGAAGAACAAGAAACTGGGAGTCCGAGAGTGGTTGACTCGGCAGGAGATCGAAGCCAAATATGGCATTGATGGCGCAGAGGCCATCATCCGCAGAAAACTTGGTGAAGAAGAATTGAAAAGAAACGAAGTGAGGATGCACCCGGACGCTCCCGAGTGCGAGGCTTTGATGCAGTTCTTGATTCTCAACATGGATAAGGAAGTTGACAGTTCGGAGACTTGCGTCAGCCGCCTCTACCAAGCCGCAGAGGCCACCAGTGACAGCTCAGACTCAGAGGAATTAAGCTCAGGACAATCTCGGGACAGCAGCAGTGACAGCTCTGATCCCAAGCCGAAGAAGAACCCCCTGAAGTCCAAAAAGAACCAGAAGGCCAGTAAATGCTGATGATCCCTCTGTACATGCATCCACATGCACACGAACACATACCCAGTTCATACTGATATTTATGAAGCATGCATCTGCACTCTAATGATGTATATATGGACATGTTGCCTTACTTCCATCCATGCAGGACAGCAAGAAGAAGGGAAAGAGCGGAAAGGGAAAGGATGAACAGAAGAAGGGAAAATCCAAGGAGGAACAGAAGAAGCGCAAGGAGAAGGCGGAAAAGAAAAGAAAGACGAAGAAAGATAAGAAAGAGAAAGACACAAAAGAGGAGCAAGAACAGTCTGATGATGGAGCTGAGTTGAGAAAGGACGCCTTGAAAAAGGCCAAGAAGGTGCCCTTTAAGGGTTTTGTGTGCGTGTGTGCGCCCGGAAATGTTCTAGATCTCTGGGCCACCAAGCAAACTTGAAACATCTTGAAGCCATTCTGCACTGTTGGGGTCCTTTCGCGTCAGTGGCTGTCACCACACTCCAAATGACCCCAAAGGACTATTAGAACAGGAGGTTTTTTCAGCTGATATTTGTTCAAGTCACACAGTCATGAGCGAAATAAACTCGGGGGTTGTTTATGGTAGAGGCCACTTGGGAGAAGTGATTATGTTTATATAATTGGTTCGTGTCCTCGCCATAAAGGTTGCTTGATTTTGGAATAGATGGGATATCGGATTGTTTTCCCCAAAACTACATTGGGATAAGATTGAAACCATGATATATCCCAACCATGTGGCATTTGGTCACTGATCTCACCTGACTCATTGTCAGGCAATTGACACTGCGGGGAAAAAATCAAAGATGCAAAGGCTTTCCTAGAGAAAGCTGAAGACTTGCCAATGCCTGAGCTAGGAGGTATCTCCAGAATCAACCTCGTATGTAAAGGTCACTGATCACTCATTTTTATTTGTAGATTAGATACCGATACGATATATCCAATATAATTTGTATAGCATTAATAAATCATCGCCCCGATCGCTCTCAACTGTCCTGCCAACTGCCACATCAAGGTCGGACAATCTCAAGGAAGCTGTTCGAAGCGACATCAAATCCTCAGTCAATTTGCTGCAGGTGGGCAGAGAGTGTCTGCAAAAGGCCCTCGATGCTGACCAGGCTTCGGGTTCAATGGGGTGGTATGATATGATTTTGCCATGTCGGAATCAATCAACCGATTGGGCAATCATATTGGGCACAAACACAACCATTTTACTTATTAAAGCTATGTATGATCGATTTGGGGGCACATGACCTCTTTTTTGGAATTCCGAAAACAAGCGGGATTTTCCCTGATATGATAGGGAGTAGCAACACCATGTGGTCATAATTGTCAAACTTGGGGCGATCAAATTGGGGGGCACATGGCCATAACAATCTGGAATATATGTTGAAAACTCAATCAATAAGTTAGAACCCACCAAGAAGGGAATTTGGAACCCCTAAATGATATTTAATTGGCCCTATCTGATTGGGGATTACATGGCGATAACAGTTCAATAACATATCTGATTGATTGTGATTGGGAGTCTTCAAAATTGAAACCCACTAACGGGAATTTGTAAACCCCACAAATCATTAGCACACCAAATTCAACGGCATTCCCCAACCCCGCCACGGAGGAGACCGCGCAAATCGAATTCTTAACAACGGAGTTGAATGGGAAAATCGAAAAGTTTGAGGTGGCTATCAAACCTTGCAAAGGTAAGCCTGCGAAGAAAGCCAAAACTTCCTGATCGACCCATTTGTGAAAGCCATGTGGGTCGGAGCTATTTGGGCAATTTTTGACATTTTATTCCTGGGCCTGATGAAAAATATGCACTTAACATCTTCAAATGACACAATCTTGGTAACCTGTTTATTCTGTTATAGATTGATTTGGTTGGATCTTTGATGACAAAGAAAATGGATGTCCCGGGATCTTTTGAACGGCAGGGTGGGCGTACAAACGCCCGATGATATCAATGGTACGTTGGTGTTGACTGCAGGGATGCCTACATGTAGAAACTCACCAGGGCTTGTTGGGTGCACCCTTGGTCCCCTGGTGTGGCCAGGGCCACTGGCCAGATCAAATTTTTAACAGTATCCATTTCTCAATGAAAGAATCTGTGTTGTAGAATGGTCACATGTCCAGCCAGGGTCCAAAGATGCTGGGATAACAAAGATCCCCTAGGTGCTTTCAACCGTGTTTGGCTTAGCCTTGCCAGACCACCTCCCCGCTCGACCGATGTGGAAGAACTCAGCTTAGGGTCCGTTTGGCAATCTGCTTGGGGCCCGGGCAGCCATGGTGGATTGACTGCCAATGCATGTCGTGTCAATGTGAGTAAATTAACAAAATATATCGTAGTTTGATGGTTTATGCCTTTTGGGGGATGGTTTATATTGTTACGTTATAGGCTTCCCTGATATATCTTGATACGGCTTTTACGGTTCCATTTAAATTACATAGTATCCCGATGTTATCTTACTCTTATGCTAATAATTGCACAATCCCTGGATCCAACCCCATGGGCCGGCGAGGAAGTGCGGAGATTGGGACCCACTGACTATCTCACGGTAATTTTTTGGTGGTGACAAAGTTTCCCCTGGATCAATCGGCTAGCTGTTGGTTTGGGGTCTTACTATTTATATTATGTTGGACCCATCACCGTCTTGGAATTGCATGGGCAAATAATTATCCAAACTAAATAATATCACCCTACTATCCCAACTATTGGAGATACTGTGGATGGAAGAAATCCTGCACCAGTTGTTAGCTATTGGTGACTATGAGGCCGGATCTTAATGGGATTAGACATTCACGATCTGGCGCAGGATTTCTTCCATCCACTCCACAATATCACAACATAACCTCCAAGAAATCCTTTTCAAGGGATGTTCAAAATCTTCAAACATAGGGACGTGTACCAACCCTGAATTGTTTTCCTTTCAGCAATCGTCACAAACCACAAATTTGGGGATGTTTTCTTTGGGAAGGGTCGGATGCTTAAAATCTGCCCACGCAGGTGCCAGCAGTGATGAAGCACAAGAAGATCAAACAGTTCTCGATGCTCAAATGAAAGTTGCCGATCAGGTGGGATTGGGACTGGCAGCCGGCTTAATATGTAGGAGACTTCAAACTATCAAGATTAACATGGTTACCTCTGATGGTTCCCAAAACCTACTAGCATAGAATGCCAAGTTTAGACTAACTTGCCCAGTGCTGTATCAAATCAGGACCCAAGAGTACCGATAAAACCAAAATCAGTCTGACATCTTGGCAGGCTGCCAGTGTGAGATCGGTGATGCTTTCGGTCACTGCCAACGCAAAGGACTAATTATGTACGCGAGTGGGTGTAAGGGGGATATTGTGAAGGGTTCTTAATCTTAATATATATTTATTATATACCTGGTACTTCCAATATGTACTAATGATGTAGCCGGTGACATGTCATGCACAGAACAGAATACACTGCGAGCTCAGGTGAGGGTTCTTAGATTTTATCAGAGTTGTTCTTCTCCTCCTCCTTCTTCTTCTTCTCCTCCTCCTCCTTCTCCTCCACCACCTCTGCCTCCACTCCCATGTTCACTTCCGCCTTGCCAACTCTTCGCAAAGCTCTTCGCCAACTTCCGCACGCAGTGGGCACTGCTGGACCTCAACTGCAAAATTCTGAGTGCACTGGGCACCGCTGGAGCTCAACCTGGGACCTTCCGAGCTCAGTGAGCACCGCTGGACCTCAACCTGGGACCGTCCGAGCTCAGTGAGCACCGCTGGACCAACCTGGGACCCTCCGAGCTCAGTGAGCACCGCTGGACCTCAACCTGGGACCCTCCGAGCTCAGTGAGCACCGCTGGACCTCAACGGCCAGATAGAATGCCAGAAGATATGCCAGATAGAACGCCAGATAGAATGTCAGAAAGAATGCCAGAAGATATGCCAGATAAAGTGCCAGAATGTTTGCCAGATAGAACGCCAGAAGATTTGCCAGATAGAATGTCAGAAGATATGCCAGATAGAGTGCCAGAAGATATGCCAGAACATATGCCAGAAGATATGCCAGGTAGAATGCCAGAAGGTATGCCAGATAGAATACCAGAAGATATGCCAGATAAAATGCCAGAAGATATGCCAGATAGAATGCCAGAAGGTATGACAGATAGAATGCCAGATAGAATGCCAGAAGGTATGCCAGATAAAGTGCCAGAATGGTTGCCAGAACATTTGCCAGAAGATTTGCCAGATAGAATGCCAGATAGAATGCCAGAAGATATGCCAGAAGATATGCCAGATAGAGTGCCAGAAGATATGCCAGAAGATATGCCAGGTAGAATGCCAGAAAATATGCCAGATAGAATACCAGAAGATATGCCAGATAAAATGCCAGAAGATATGTCAGATAGAATGCCAGAAGATTTGCCAATAACAAAATGTATAGATGTCATGGTGGGGATAACTCGAAGTAAAGTAATTTGTTCAATTGATTAGCTCGCTAGCTGGTCAAAGCGCATGTGTCTTCTGCAGTAGCACATGTTCTGTCACATGTCAGGACAACGCGAGGCGGGCGAAACCATCTAGCATTGCACAGAAGCTGGGGCGTCCAACTCGGGCCCAATGCAACTTTCAGCGAGACTTTTGGCGATTTTGCAAATTGCCGCTGGAAATTTGGTTTCTCCATGTCAGTAATTTTATTTTTTCATAAGCTGATTTCAAATTGCGGTCGGGATCTGGGTTGTATGCTTTTGAAAGGTAGGTCCCAATTTTGACTTTGTTAGGGGAATCACGGTGTAAGGAGCCACACTATGTTGAGACACCATGCATAGATCTAGCGGAAGACAACTGCGTGACACTCATGAAGCTGCCCATGCTTGACGTGCACGAAGTGTTGGCATACGTCCATGATGTTGCAAAGCTACGGTCGCCAAAATCACACATAGAATTTTACTGGAGCTGGGGCCAGAAGTTTGGTGCTCAATGGTCTCGGTTGGGAGGGCCATCTGTGATTCCTTGTGGCCTTTATGCTGATGAAACTAAATACGGAGGACCGTTTTCACAGGAGAAAGTTTTGGGGATATTCCTCAACCTGGTGCTTCATCGACCGAGATCTATCAGGTACAGTCGGTTTTGCATCTTTTCAGTGAGATCTGCCCTGATGTTGGGTACTAGAACACTTTACCCGATCTTCAGACGGATTGTGTGGGGGTTTCATTTGGCCTACAAGGGTGTGCGCCCGGATGGATCAGCACTTTGCAGTGATGGTGCAACATTTCTATGCACAGAACTTCGAGGGGACCTAGCTTGGCATAAAATGATCTGGAATTTCAAGAATGTTGGGTGGCAGGCAAAAGATGTATGCTGGTTTTGCAAAGCGAGATCTGAAGGTCACATGCACTATACTGAATTTGGTGAAGGTGCAAGCTGGGTACCGACCATTTATCAAGATACTTGGGCATGGGCAGCCGAAACGCTTCCAATGGACAATCTGTGCCCGCTTCTAGCGCTCCCGGGTTTTTGTGTTGAGACCATACGCCTTTGTTCGATGCACAACGTGAACTTGGGCATATTGCAAGTCTGCAATGGTTCGGCATTGATTCTTAGAGTTTTGGTTTACGCATGGATTCGAAACATTTTTTGTTTCCATCTTATATTGATCGTTGGAATGCCATCCAATATTTCATGATTATGGGACCAGAAAACAACGTCCAAACCACCAAGCATTTCCCACGTGGAAACGTTACTTGACCAAGGATTAGTTTGGTCGAGGCTGGGTTGTATGGCGACCCCAATGACAGCTTGAGTTTGAACTTGAGACGCGCTTTTCGGGACTTTGAGACTTGGAGAAAGGTTCACAAGTTGCAGTGCTCGCAGGCACCTTGGACCACTGGTTTGGTGACTAGGCTCGATTGGTGATAGGGGCATTTGCACACATGATAATGGGATACAATGGGGGATTGGGAACTTTACAATGCTAAAAACAATTATCACATCTCAATGGCGCGCAGGTAGTCAAAAAGAATGGCAACATAGTCATGACGCACAAGGCCTACAATGGACGAATCATTGTTGCCTATTTCGCAGAATGTTGTGACCTGGTTGTCTCAAAAAACCTACCGGGTGACAGCCGTCTCTTTGGACAGTGGTTGACACAACAAGTGATTCAGGGAAAGCGGGACTGGCCAACAGACACCGAGTTTGGCCTAGCTTCAACCTGTTTGCTTCTTAGCTGGTTTTTCATTGGCCAATGCAGTTGTTTTTTGTTATTTTTATTGTTCATTTTTGCCCTCTCCACCCGAACCCCACCAGTCCGTTACAGGGGTCCAGAAACCAACCAATTAAGGAAGTCCATCGCTCGGTGGTTCAATTTGACTGAGAGGTGTGGACGCTACTTGCTTCTCGGCTGTGCTGACGATCGGGGTTTTGTATTTCTAGTTGGACCTCATGGGATATCCGGCACTTCTAGGGTTTTTCTTGGAATTATCATTGGGTATAAGGTCTTCGACGGAGGCAAAGGACATGGTGGATGCTGGGCACCGGTTCATCCATTCACACCTTTTGCTGACAGCACTTTCCATGAGGACTGAGCGCACCAAGTTGTTATGTTGGGAATGTCTGAGCATTTTCAAATCCCTAAAATAGTTTTTTTTGTTAATCCGATCTAAAGAACCCAAGAATCTTATACTGTCAAACATGGACAGGAGGTTGCAGCAACAGCGAGGCAATCCGGGGCAGTTCAAGGTCATCAAGTGGATTTGCAAACCAAAAATCCATTATTTTGACCATCAACTTTTGTTGACCCAGAAACGCAGGGTCAACACACGTCACACACACTGTTTTACAGATGAAGATAGTATGCGATGGTTAAAAACCATCAGCCGGAAAGCAACGGCCATGCACTTTGAAAAAATGGTTCTTTCTGCTTCAAGGCTACGTTTAAGACTAGCTGTCAGGAAAGCTGGGTTGTTGAACCGGTCTGCAGCCGCGAGGAGCAAGCGTTAAACGATTGATTCATGGATTTGGCTCCCTATGTTGCTATGGTTCGCTTGGTGTTCTGTGGTTTGCTCCAGGTTTGCGCCGTTCATACGGGTATAGTTTTATGGGTCAAAATGGTGATTCGGTTCATTGATTATGTTCTAGCCATCCTCCATTGATTTTAACCATTTTTGACCCATGCGATGTACGGATGTTTCAGTGCAAAAGGGAAGGCTTGGATGCACCGTCCAGCACGGTGGTAAAAGTGCTTGTGCGCAGGAGGCGTGAGCTTGGGGGCAATGCAGTGCGATATTGTGTGTACATTTATTGGGTTGATTCAATTTTTTGATGGGTGTATCATTCATAAGATTGCCAATTTAAACATTTCAAGGAAGGGGGTTCCATTTTAACCTCAAATTTTGAATATATGAGCAGGGTTATTTCATTTTTGCACAACATCCGCATGAACCTTCCATTTCTTGAGATGGCTTTTAGGTAACGGCCACCCCTAGCGTGGCTTTTAGGTACCGGCCACCTCTAGCGTGGCTGTTGGAAGTTGCAGGTATATATATCCTACAGATGTAATATTTAACCAAATGGAATATATATATATATAATTATATAATAACCAATGCTTTTTGAAAACTGGAGTATACCCTCTGCTAACAGCTTGCTATGGAAAAGCCCCCAGTTTCTCCGGGAAATCATCGACACACGGAGAATTTTCCATAGCGAATCCTATCCCTTGGGCCCTTGGGTTTGCCACGGTTGAACCTCATAGCACCAAGTGATTCGTAGCCCAAAATGAAAAGACCCCATTGCACTAGGATTCCGTTGGGGTTTTCCAAATTCGTGGGAAGGGATTAGCCTCTGGTAAACATACAAAAAGCTATTGAACATGGCCATTTATAGTGGATTTACCCATTAAAAATGGTGATTTTCCATAGCTATGTTAGTTTACCAGAGGGTAGTTTGTTGATTCAAATAGTCTTCCTGTGACTATATATAGGAATATCACACTGATTATTACTGATTGGAGGATGAGCACGGCTCATTGCTTAGCCACTAATCCTGGAATAGAAGAATGACAATATTCAGCATCTAAGACTAGACATGACGCTGGAAAAATCTAGGCACATATCTTTCGGTGGCATTGTGGCCTCTATTGTATCAAGTGCAATCCTCAGGCGGGACGCGATGAGCACCAGAAATATGGAGATAGCGCAGTGAAAGGAATTGAAGCTGACATGCATCATGATCCCTAACAGTGAGAATGCCGTGTTGTCGCAAGATTGGGAGCTCGCTATTTTTCGCAGGCTGGTTTACGGTGCTTTAGCCGTGGATCCATCTTGGGTTCCAACATTGGGCAGTAGCGATATTTAACGTTAAGGATGTTAAGGGGCATTGGGGGGATGGGACTATGATTGATTTTGTTTTCCCTTTCATCTGTTCATGTTAAGCCATAAACGTTGCGCGAATGAGCGAAAACAACATCTTTGTTTTTCGAACGAATTGAAGATATCAAGAACATTTCCCATTCGCCAGTATCAATATACCCAATGTTTTTGGGGATTTTCCATGATTTTGCCATCTATAAACCTCCACAAATCGTGGGATTTTCCACATTTTCCCATGACTTTCCCATGGTTTTCCCATGGTTTGGGAGGACTGTTTCGGCTCACTGGGCTTTCACAAAAGCGACCGGCTGACGCTACGAGACTTGTGGGCTCATAAGCCTTTGGCCGAGCCGTGGCGTTTGGGATAGGGTTGGGATATGGTGAGATCAGTGGAAATCTGTGATGGGAATGGAATTAGCCTCTGGTAATTTCTTTGGGAATGGTAAACTCATGGAGGTAAATATGGGTTTACTATGGTTTACTATGGTTTAATATGGTTTAAAAAAGGGATGATAATGGGATATTGATGGATATACCCTCTGTTAATTTGTTAGAGTTTGCTATTGAAAATGGTCCATTGAAATAGTTGATTTACCTTTTCAAAATGGTGATTTTCCATAGTTATGTAAACGTTTACCAGAGGGTATATTAATGTCAACCATTAATGGAACCAGGATCTATTAATAAGTATCAATGGATTATATTCATTGGTTTATTTGATTTATATTAATGTCAACCCTGGATTAATAAACCCTGGTTGATTCATTGTGGTTTCCCCAAATAGTGATTTTTATGGCTACTGAAATGGTACCCCACCCAGGTAAACAAGTCCGGGGTTGACATTATATTATAGCATATTATAGTCCAAATCACATATGGAAATCACATGGGAATATCTGTGATGGAACAGATCATTATCATATTTTCTGGCATGGGAATATGGATTAATGGGAATTAGTATGAGATGGACATTTTGATATTGAATGCGAATTAAGGGTTATAATGACGATAAAATTACCAAGGTGATACGGCATATGTCACACTCATATTTTGACAGGCTTTCGCAAGGAATCAAACCCATGAGCAGCCCATGGCGAACTGGCTATGATCATCGGTCATGACCCATTTCAACAAGACACCTTACTTTGTGCCAGTCTCCCAGCTTTGTTCTTGATGGCATGATCTTGGCTGAAGTAATCTTGGCACTACAAGAAGTGCGAGAGTACTTACAACCCACCTGGCCTTGTCGTGGCCTATGCGGGCCTGACGCGCTCGCACATGTGTTCTGCAATTTTGCATCATCTTGCATTGAAGTTTGCTTTTGGTGATCTTGGCACTGCAAGGAGTGCGACAGTACTTACTGCCCACCCGGCCTTTTCTTGGCCTATGTGGGCCTGACCTTTTTGCACATTTGTTCTGTAAGTCTTGCAGCATTTTGCTCCGTAGTTGGCTTTTGGTGCCAGTCTCCCAGCTTTGTTCTTGATGTCATGATCTTAGCTGAAGTAATCTTGGCACCACAAGAAGTGCGAGAGTACTTACAACCCACCTGGCCTTGTCGTGGCCTATGCGGGCCTGACGCGCTCGCACATGTGCTCTGCAATTTTGCATCATCTTGCATTGAAGTTTGCTTTTGGTGATCTTGGCACTGCAAGGAGTGCGACAGTACTTCCTGCCCACCCGGCCTTTTCTTGGCCTATGTGGGCCTGACCTTTTTTGCACATTTGTTCTGTAAGTCTTGCAGCATTTTGCTCCGTAGTTGGCTTTTGGTGCCAGTCTCCCAGCTTTGTTCTTGATGGCATGATCTTAGCTGAAGTAATCTTGGCACTACAAGAAGTGCGAGAGTACTTACAACCCACCTGGCCTTGTCGTGGCCTATGCGGGCCTGACGCGCTCGCACATGTGTTCTGCAATTTTGCATCATCTTGCATTGAAGTTTGCTTTTGGTGATCTTGGCAGAAGTGCGACAGTACTTACAACCCACCTGGCCTTTTCTTGGCCTATGCGGGCCTGACGCTCTCGCACATGTGTTCTGCAATTTTGCATCATCTTGTATTGAAGTTTGCTTTTGTGCCAGTTGGCCAGTCTTTCTTCCAAGATACCTAGTACCACCACGGCGGTTCTAATGACCTACGATCATAAGCTGAGAGTGGCGCCGGTATGTTTGGGTGAGTGACTCCGCCCCTGTTGGGTTGGCCAAATGTGTTGCTCCACCAACGAATGTCAACCATATAGCCATGTAGGCCACTGTAGGCTATGGATGGGGATGGGATGGGATGGGATACCCTGTGGTGATCCAAGACATAAATATAGCCAGATGGTGGTTCTCCACAGCTCTGTTAGATGACAGGAGGCTACAGAGTGGGATATGTGGTTCTTTTTTTGAGAGATTTTTGGTCATAAGAAAAATCCAACATACCTCTAGAATCCTCTAGATATGGGTTTGAAACTAGAGTACCCCGTCAATCTAATGGTTTATCATCATTTTCCCGATGTAAAATGATGGTAAAACTTCTATTTCTGGAGGGGCTAAATTAATGCAAAATTTCCAGAGAAACCCATCCATCCATTAATATTGGTCGTTATGTATCCCATTATATCCCATTATATATACGATTATATACGTATATATTATATATTATGTATATGGCAATATATCCAGATATCAAACCTTTATTCTTATTTTGTTGGTACAAAATTCCAACAGATATTTTCACAGCCCTTTGCCACTGATGTTTTCTAGGAGACACTAGGGGTAAACATCGAAATTTTCATGTGTTTCCCCGGTCAACCCCTAGGAGAATCGTAGGCATCTGGGCATCCGCCAAGGAGATGCGTCCGCAAGAGGGCTTGGTGGCGGGGCTGCCCCCTGCTGGAGGACATTTCATGGTCTTAGTGAAGCGCCTGGGACGCCATTTTTTCGAGATTTTTTCGCTTCAACTTTGATGATTTTCATGGTTCCAAAGATGTTCCAAATACGGAAAAAAATCTGCTACTAAGCCATGGTTTCTCGCGGTGAGTTTGGATTTGTTTATAGTTTTAACGGTAGGGGGATGAGATTATTGTCATTGGTATGATTAGTCACTAAGAGTACCATTGTGATAGCGATGATTTGTGATTGTTGCTGTGAATTGTGATTATGAATGCTACTCTGGTTGGTGGTTTCAAACATTTTTTATTTACCGTTTTCTAGAACAATCCTTCCCATTGACTTTCATATTTTTCAAGATGGTTAAAACCACCAACCAGTACTTATGATTATAATTATTGCAGGACAATTCCATTTATTTTCATAAAGGATCGACACCCGTGTCCCTCCCAAGGGACTGCAAGAACCCCTCAACATCAGGCCTGATTTGTTTGGGGAACCTCTGGGGGATTACCCTTGAGTTTCCATGATTGGAAGTACAGTGATCCTGAGGATCATATGGCCTTCAAGCAATTGGTAAACTGGGCTTTGTATGGGTTGTCACTTTTGGATACTTTTGGGGCATCCCTCAAAAAGATGGGAAAAACCCATCACAAAATCGCGAGAAGAACAGCACTGTATTAACATGGACCTCCCCCTGAATGATGGACGAACTATGTCCAGCCAGGCAAGGAATTGTCCATGGCAAGCCATTTACGGGCTCCCACTTGAAAGTTGGCAATAGTTGCCCTGAACAAGGAAGACATCGTCATTGGACTGATGGGAAATCTTGGAAAACATGGTGAACTTACCCCCTATTAGGGGGTCCTGCAAATATTCCAACCAATGATTTGCGTCAAGATTATTCACCCAAAGTGTTGCCATGCGGCAAGCAGGAGTGACTCGGGTGTGTCTCCAATGAAAATTGGCGGCTCCCATCAGCTTCCCCATTCAAACATGGCGATAGCTGATAAAAGCTGTGAAAATCCCGGTGGGGAAACCCACTTCCAGATCTTTCGGACTCAGGAAGAAAGTCGACGAAAATCAGGTGCAAATCTGAGCCCGTGGCTACGTTTGGTACATGGGAAGCTTAGGCCACATTTCGATCACAGCCTCAATGGATCACCGCCATTTTATCTTGTGTCGTTGGATTTGAAATGAGATATCTGCTTCTGCCAACTTTGCAGGTGAGTATCCACCATAAATCCGATGGATCAAACATGACACGTTGTCCACTGATGGAAGCCTACCATGAGTAAGCACTCTCCTTGATTGATGTCTCCATAAAATTGTTCCTCGGGTAAGTAAAGACGGATCCAAACACAATTGAAGACATACAAAAAAGTCACCCCCTATAGCAACCCCAAAATTTTTCTAGAACAGCCAGAAACCTGAAAATATGTACTGAGTAGCATCTATAGCAACCTGGAAATACTTTTTGGCTTTTTTTTTGGGGGGGATATGGCTAGAGTTCATTCTGCTTCAGCTGAGTTTCATTTGGGCCTCAGAGATCATCCCCAGATCAAGCCAGCCTCACTGACGTTTTGGCTCAGCTTTGAAAGGTCGAAAAAATTGAGAGCACGAGATCCTCCTAGACTTATATGGCTATGGATCAATACCTATTAATACCATTTTTAGGGGGATGAACATCCATTTACCAGCTATTTTGATGTGAACTACAGGGGTACCAGGGTTTTGACCCATCCCCATATCCCAACTCATGAAGGCTATCACCATGGTGAAAAACGCCATGACATACTGCACCTTTCAAGGAGATGTCCAAAATATGAAGGGAAGGTTTTTCGCGGCCCAGCATAGTTCTCCCTAGTAGATTGGCCCACTAGGGGCCCCTGTCCATCATTCGACTTTAAGTGAAGGCACAGGTGGGCCGGTTTTTATAATGTCTCAGTAAGCCAACAGTGGGACAACTCAACTATGGCAGGTCAACTATGGCAAGCCCTGAGGCTTTCTCCTTTCAAGCTTTGATCGAAACATTTGGGAAGTGTTGTGGATCATTTTGTCCCTTCGGCATGTTCATCGGACAAAACATCGCGAAGTAAGTGACCAGGAATTTCTCATATGACTGATAAGTTTGAGTGTGCCTCCTGGTTCTTGCTGCTCAAGTCAATGATAGGGTGGACTGAGAATTTCTGGGGTTGGTTGACCTTGGCAAGCGAAGTAACAAAGCTCACTTCTTGTCCTTTCCACTGTGCCCCGAGTTGTTTGCCGTGGATTTTTGTGGGCTTGGTTTTTGGATTTTCGTTAGCTATTGTCCTCTGTGGCCTTGTTGCTTTCCTGTGGATTTTTCGTTCTGAGATCTTGTCCTCTGGATTTGCGCGGGCTCCTAGGTCTCCCCCTAGACATCGGCTGGCTAGATACCTTGAATGAGTTGTCCGTTTACTGCTGCTGAACTTAGTGACCTCATTTCAAAGTTGGAGAGCCTGCAGACTTGGCAAGCGCAGCTGGAAAGCAGTGCGAGCTCCCTGCCTACGCCCGGTGGTTATACCAGGGGAGATCCAAAAGCCAGGGCATTGGCAGCTGGAAGTGGAAAGCCAAAGAATCCTTTTCCGGCCATTCCTCCAATTGCTCAGGTGTGGAAGTTGGTAAAGGAGGAGGGCAGTCCCTTTATTGGGAACACGTCAATTGAGGTGGAACGAGGACCTGGGTCAGTTCCGGCATTGGTGGAGGATCAGGCATCATTCATCTGTGTGGATCAGAGAGAGGCCTTGCAGAGAGTGCATCTCTGTTACTCTGCTGGTTTTTGGGCCCGAGTTGCACTTGAAACTTTTGTCAGCCAAATCTCCCCGCGTGGACTTTCTGAGCCGGCAAAGCACTTCATTGTGTTGAGAGCCCTTGGACTTGGAGGCTATATCCGTTTGTCTGATCGAGACCATTTCGATCGATTCAAGGATCAGGTTGGGGAGAGTGGACTTCTGTGTTACTCCTTTGCAACGGAGACAGAGCTTGAGGTCTTCTGCCAGGGAGCGAAGATTTCTGTGCCCCCACTTTTTGAGCCATGCTGAGCCGAGACAGACTGAGGCCTGCTAGTGGGGGCGACCCGTCCCTGCTTGTTTTCACCTTGCCTGAACATGCGTCTTCCATAGCTGATGAAGTGGAAATTTACGCTGTCCCTGTTGAATTCAGACAGGGGGGGATGCTGCTTTGTGTTCCCCCTGACATTGTGTCACCTCAGGTCATTGCAGAAGGTCAGACAGGGTCCGAAGAGGCTCTTTTTGGCCCCAATTCGTTTTTTGAGGTTGGATTGGTAGAAGAAACCGAGGACCTCATGTCAACCATTGCCCTTGGAATTCAAGCTCGTGTTTTGGTGATTGATGTGCATGATGAGGTACTGGCATTTTGCCGTGAATACGACCCTGTCACCGACTCCCTTGCTTCAATAGTTGGTTTTTCCTCCGATCATCCGAACAGTTTGCCTGACTGTGCTCAACTGATGCCCTTAGTGCGTGAATGGTTGCAGCAGAGAACGGATGAGAGGTCGGGTTTTTACACTGCTCTAGAGGACCATGTGAGTCAAAACCCAAAAGCAAACCCTGCCGACAGGGGAACGGTGCCTGCGACAGCCAAAAAGGCCACCGCAGCAAAACGAGTGTCAAATGCCGTGATTTCCGAGCAGTTGAATGCATTGGCATCGCAGATGAAGCTCCTCTCCCAAAGGCAAGATCGTCTCGAGAAGTCGTCAGGTACTGGTGCCGAACCTGCGCCAGAGCGGCTACTTGGAGCCTCCGCAAAACTCCCACCAGTGTCAGCAGGGCTCCAAAATCCCAGTGGTCTGTCTCAGACGGTAGCGGCAAAAGCCTTGCAGTTGCTAGGACCCCCGCCAAAGACCAGGGCTCCTGCACCAGCAGAAGGTGCGATCGGTGTGGGAACAGAAGAGCCGTACGATGTGCTACAGCCCTCACTAGAGGATCCAAGCATAGCAACTGCCCTGGCCCAGCAGAGTACAGCCATCACAGCTTTGGTAGCTCACCTAGCTTCGCAGACGGGAGATGCCATGGGAGATTTAACGTCCCTCGCTCCTTCTTCGAGTACAACAAAAGGCGTTCAAAGGCGCGAAAGGATGCAGAATGCATTGGCAGACGGGTCAAGCTGTTATTTTCTTCAGATGATGCAGCAGCTCCATCGGCGTCTTCATCCTTCCCGCCAGGTTCCACAGACAGAGGCAGACATGATGGGTCTGTCAATGTTGCACTATCTGGAGAGGCAGGGAGGATATCGAGGTCACCGAGAACTTGGTCTGGTTGCCTGGGTGCTGGGACATGCCATCGACTCGGCAGCCCAAGGAGACTTCAAGCTCACGAAGGAAATCCTGGCACTCCTCATGGTTGCAGTGGAGCAAGCTGTGACGGACCGGGGCGACTGGACCATGGCATACATGTTAACTTTGATGGAGGAGCCACCTTTGCAGATGTTCCAGGAGAGATCAATGAACGTGTCTCTCCATGCAAAGCCCTTCGGGCCATTGGTTCCTCCTCAGTGGACCGCAGTGTGCCTGTCCTATTTGAAGGACTTGGAGGTGCTGTCGACAAAGAAAACGGAGACGGCCAAGAAAGCATCCAAAGCCATTCCTCCTGCAGCATCGGCCAGCGCCTCAGCAGAACCAGACCAGGAAGCATCACCCAAGAGGAAGCCACGCTTCCCCCGAAAACCGAAAAGCAAGTCGACTCCGGATGCATGAAGGGCAGACGCCCACCCGCCGGCCAGGTAGAGCTCGAAGCAGATTTACCTGTAAACAGGGGTTTAATTAAGAGGGGTGGACTTTTAAATAAATCTGGACTTATAACAAGTGGGGGTAATCGTAAGTGTCCTCGTTGTAAAGCAGGAGACTATGATGGAGTTCGTTGCAATGCCTGTGGATTCCGGCACCAGCCTACCCCCGGGATTTCCAGTTTGGCTGTGGATACTTTAGATTTTTATCGATGGTGTTCATTTTTGGCCATTTCTGTTTTGCGTACCCGCTGTTCCTTTGCGGTCTTCCTACGATCAACTCTGCATTTGCCCCGAAGCTCTGTAGCTTCGGAATCGCCGGCGTTCCCCTTGCCTATCCCTTATTGTGATGTTTTTGCAAGGATGCCCCCAGGTCTGTCTTCCATCAAGCGAAGGAGAATTGCCTTTAGACGTGCACTACATGTGGTGGTCATGGCACTCAACTTTTGGTGGGCAGGCAGCAGTTTCATTAGCTTGGAACTTCTGGGGAGGGTTCCCTCACCTTCTCAACGTGGGATCCTAAAACGGCTTTCGAGCATGTTGCTGGCTGACGGCCCTTTGGAAACCTTTCAGGCCCTCCGAAGTGGTCGACGTTTTCCTGAGCTTGTGGCCCGCCTGACTGACTTGTCATGTGTTTTGACAAAGCTTGGTGTTGGTTCCGGCCCTTATGAAAAGATATATCCTGGTCATGACGTCCCAATGGACAACACTCAGTTTATGGAGCTGGAGCCCTATAAAGCTCTTGATGCCTCGCGCCTGCGAGTAGTGGGATCAGGGTCTTGGGATGCTACGGATTTTTTGAGTCCTGAACTGTGCATGGCCTACAGGTATCCAGACTCACTCTTGTTTGCACGTGACCTTCAGCAGTTCGAGATTCCTCAAAGAACAGATCCTGCTACTGAAGCTGTCAAACTTGCAAAACTGTGGGATGCTAGGGGCCTGCTCCATATCCATGACATCGATCTCCAGACCGAGGCAAGGCATGAGTTGGTAAGAGTGTTTAATTGTTTGAAGAATGAAACCTGCGATAGGCAGATAGGTGATAGACGCGGTAGGAATGCAATTGAGAAACGCCTGTTAGGACCTTCTGCACGCCTACCAACGGGCCCTGACTTATTGGACTTTTGGCTGGACCCGAGAAGCAGCACTTTGTCCATTGTCTGTACGGACCGCCGAGACTTTTATCATCAATTTGCCACCTCAGTGAATCGCACCAAATCAAATACGGTAGGACCCATGGTTTCTCTTAGGGAGTTGGAAGGAACGACTGCTTTGGCGGAATTTTATGCTGCCAAGAGACAGAGGAAACCTCCTCGGCATTTGCACGGCGATCAGCTTGGCCTATCCCAAAGGCAACATTTCACGAGGTGTCCGCCAGGTTATGGGATGGTCTCATTTCAGAGCATCTTCCAAGGCGACCACGCTGGGGTCGAGATCGCGACCTCGGCGCATGAGAACCTTTTGAAATCAGTTGGCCTTTTGACTGAGCAAAGTAGGCTGGTTGCTGACAGACCGTTTATGGGGGGTGACCTTTGTGAAGGCTTGGTCATAGATGACTATTTTGCCATTGCCAGTGTCCCAAAGAGCATCCTCGTCCCTAGCCCTTCCTTGGAATGCCTTGCCACTAGCAAAAAAGCCTATGCGGAGCATGGTATCCTAGGTTCTGACGATAAAGATGTAGTGGGGGCCCGGAAAGCAAAGATCATAGGAGCCTGCCTGAACGCTTCGCCACAGTGTCAAGACAGGGGTCATGTTTTTGCATCCGCGCCGGCCGAAAAAAGATTTTCTCTTGCCTGGGTGACCTTGCAGCTGTGCCAGCTTAGCCACACCACTGACGTGCTTCACCTTTGCCTAGTGGGAGGTTGGACGTCCGCATTGATGTTCCGGAGGCCTTTTATGTCCATCCTGGATAGGGTTTTCCACCTTGTTGACATTAATGCTTACAATCCTAGCTCACCTAAGCTTGTTAAGTTGCCCCGGCCTGTTGTGAATGAGTTGGCCCTTCTGAGTGTCCTAGCGCCCCTGATGGTTGCCGATATTGCAGTAGACTTTGCGGACAAACTGTTTGCAACAGATGCCTCACTGAACAAAGGGGCTATTGTTGGCTGCCATGTTGAAAGGAAGGTCGCTGAGATCTTGTGGCGTAGCTGTAGATCAAAGGGGGGCTACTCCAAACTTCTTTCCCCTGGCCAGTCGGTGCTTTCCAGATGTCTGGACTTTGAAGAAGCTGAGCCCATGAAAGCAGAGAGCGTACGACGCCCACTGGCCTACCGATTTGATTTTGTCGAGGTTTTTGCAGGCGCAGCAACTGTGACCAAATGCGTTGCTGCCCTGGGGTATTCAGTTTGCTGCCCCATTGACATTTCCTTTGACCCTGAGTTGGATGTTACCACGATTCATGTCATAGAATGGCTAATACATCTGGTGTCAAACCGTTTAGTTGAAGCCTTCATGATAGAGCCTCCCTGCACAACTTTTAGCATCATGCGACGTCCAGCACTGAGGTCACGTTTGCAGCCCTTCGGTTTTGATTTGGATGATGAGCAGACCTGCACAGGTACAGTTCTGGCACATAGGGCTTTGCAGTTGCTGAAGGTTTGCGCGCGTGTAGGGCTCACAGGTATTTTGGAGAATCCATGGACATCAAAGATCAAGTTCCTGCCCGCATGGTTCGCCTTGTTGTGTGACCCTTGCTGTGAGTTGGTGAGGTGTGACTCGTGTTTTTATGGCTCAGAGCATTTGAAGTCCTTTGCATTTCTCTGCGTTTGGGCTGACACCAACCCAATAGCAGGCAGGTGCACAGGTGATCATCAACATGTCCAAATTGAAGGTTCGCTGACAAAGAAGTCTGCCACTTATGTTGATCGTTTGGCTGAAGCCCTTGCCTCCGTTTTTGCTACAGGAATTGAAAGACTCCGCAGCTTTGACAACAATATCGATGAGATTAAATGTGAGGGTCTGGAGAACCAGCTCATCAATGAGGTGTGCCTGTCGTCTGAGTGGAAGACAGCTTCTGTTTGGACTTTTAGGGTTTCTTCTCACATCAATCTTCTTGAACTGTCAGCTGTGGTCCGTTTGGCAGAGAGATTAGTGAAACAAGGCAAGTCTTTGCGAGTGACCATTCTTGTTGATTCAAACGTGGTTTGCTGTGCCGCTTCGAAAGGAAGGTCTTCTTCTCGGGCTTTGGCCAAGCTGCTTTCTCGTCTTGGAGCACTGTGCATCATAGGTGGACTCTATCTGGTTTTTGGTTTTATTCCTACTAGGTGGAACCCAGCTGATGATCCAACCCGTGACTGTGTCTTGCGTAGCCCTATCCCGGGCATGGATTTGGCCGCCTGGGATCGCTCCTTGCTTTTCCGTTTGTCGCGCCATCCTAAGCTCCGCCGATGGGCTTCGAATTGGGTTCGTCTGGTCATCCTGTTGTGTGGCCCGGCCCCTTTGTCCTTCACTGACCGGTCCATTTTCCGTGCTGTTCCTTTCCCCTTTGGGCTTTCTCCCCGGCAATCTCTGCATCATGGCAGGTGTTCTGATTCGTCTGTGAGCCCTTGTTTGGAGCTTGATCATGACGTTTTGGATTTTGATGGCACTTTGGGTTTTCCTGGTGAGGGGCCCCCTAGTTGCTTCGCTTGCCATAATTTAAGGTCTTTTCGTAGTTTTCTCTTTGCCGTTGCCATGGTACTTCAGGGTGAAGCAGTTCTATTTCCTAGAAATTCAGGTGATCGACTGAGACAGGCACAGCGCAGCGCCCGGCCGCCTCTTCAAGAAGGTCGACCAGTACTGACAATAACGAGCCAACAGAGGATCTCTTTCTTGACTCAGTTTGAACAGTGGCTGCGTGTTCTGGGCGTATCACTTGACTATCTTCTGGAGAACCATGTCTATAGCATAGACGAACTGAACAGACATCTTGTACGTTATGGCCGTGCCCTTTACGCTGTGGGAAGACCTTATAATCATTTTGCAGAAACCATAAATGCAATAGCAGCCAGAAGACCTGTGGTGCGTCGCCAATTACAGGAGGCCTGGAACTTCGCTTTTGCCTGGGTTCGCGAAGAACCCCCAGTACACCATGTTGCCATGCCATGGCAGGTATTGCTGGCATGTATATCAACTTGCTTGGTCTGGGGATGGTTAGACATTGCTGGAATGTTTGCACTGACATGGGGGGCATTACTCAGAGTGGGAGAATTTACAGGTGCCTTGCGTCGAGATCTTCTATTACCTTCTGACACCTGTTATACCAATAATTTTGCCTTGCTGTCACTGAAGGAACCAAAAACCAGATTCACAGCTGCACGACACCAATGCGCTAAATTGGATGTTCCAGATTTGCTTCGGGTGGTGCACATAGCCTTCTCAAGACTCAGGCCTGGCCAGAAGCTGTGGCCAAGATCTGGACAAACTTTGCGGCTCCGCTTTAAGCAAGTGCTCACTGAATTGGGAATACAGGATGTTCTGCTTAACAACAAGCGCCTTGATTTAGGGTCTTTGAGACCGGGAGGTGCCACGTGGATACTGCAGCAGACAGAAGATTCAGAGTTTACTAGACGCAGGGGCAGATGGATAAATCAACGTGTGATGGAAGTATACATCCAGGAGATATCTGCTTTTTCTTTCCTAGCTGCAATACCCGACAATGTTCGACAAAAAGTTTATGGCCTCAGTGAAATTTTTCCTCTGGTGTTACAAAATGCTGAACTTTTTTGGAATGCAGCTATCCCACACGATGTGTGGTACCTTTTGTGGCGTAGTCAAGTTACCAGGGAATGACGGGAAATGTGGGTATCCTTCAGCTTCGCATCTTGACGATAGCATCAAGCAGAAGGTTGTGAAGTTTCACTCACGCAGTGCAGTTTGAGCAAGGACAAAACAGGCGTCGAAATCTTGACTGATAAGTTTGAGTGTGCCTCCTGGTTCTTGCTGCTCAAGTCAACCCTTCCCTGACTTGGGCCCACCCGACAGAGCAGACACGCCACAAAAATGGGTATCCTTCAGCTTCGCATCTTGACGATAGCATCAAGCAGAAGGTTGTGAAGTTTCACTCACGCAGTGCAGTTTGAGCAAGGACAAAACAGGCGTCGAAATCTTATATAGATATTATATATTATACATAGATTTTGAAGGCACTTTCCAAGCCATCCAATCCAAACAACATACGACCTCCAACATCACAACGGTCCGGACACCACAGCCACCACAACGGCCGCGGATCCCACGGAGGATGCCAGGTGGGGCCCAGATTTAGATAGTCGAAAGTCAATTGGATGTTGTACTCTGAGATATCAGAATACAATATAAATAATATATATATATAATATAATATAATATAATATAATATAATATATAATATATATATATAATATAGATCATTATATATCATGTATAATTTTAATCATTATGTTGTCATATTATAGTATAGTTGATGAAACAAATGGATGGTTCATGATTCAAAACTACCCATGGCCAACTTTCTTCGATCTCGTGGCCCCGTAGTTATTTGGTCGTTCTTCGTTGTTCGCCCGCACAGATGGTGGTAAAGGTGTCAAGGAGGGCAGAGAGGCACCTGGGGTACACATCTGGAGTGATGGGAGGTGGATTGGGGTAACTGTGAAAATCAATGATCAATCATTTTACTCATAACGGTCAATAAGTTTACTCAGAAGGTCTTAAACTTTTCAGAAGTGAATGATGATGACATTTATCCAGAAACGTTGACATGCACTCTGTTGACCCAGAAGTTAAACAATCTTATGATCCCGTCCTGGGTGAAAAACGTCCGGTGTAACCAGCATTTTTTCTTGATTTGACACCAACAAACGATCATTTCATATCATTTAATATCATTCAATATCATTTACATTTAATATCATTTAATATCATTTAGCATCATTTTCATTCATTTAGCAACAACATGAGCAGTCTAAATTTAGACTGGGCAAATTTTCGATGCTACTTCCCCACCATTTCCGAACGAAAAAACACGGTCTTGGAGGACACCATTTTCGTGGGTGGCCTGCGGAAAAGCACCAGCGAGGTGCCGTTGTTGATATAGCAGCACCATGGATGCGTCATGGGAAAAATATACATTATCTATATAGTATATCTATAATATATGTACATATATATATATCTATATATCTATATATATATAAACAATATATTGTATACATTATATATATACATATATGATGTATCTGTTTTTCGTAAAATTTCCGAGTACTAGCTATGACGCTTTCTACTTCAAAGCCTTTTCTTTGTGTTTCGCTTCCGGCCACAGCAGTTGGGCCATCCCAGTCTCGCACAAAACGTGTTTCCATAGGGGTACACATACAGTCATATATAGCAACAATAGATTGTTATAGTAACAATCCCATAGGATCCATGGTGCTGGTGTATTTACCTACATGACTGGGTCATTTATGGGGCAAATGTTGGTAAATATTCCAACACCATGGATCCGTCATGGGAATAGATTGTTATAGAATCTTGTGCTTGTAGTAAGTAGATGTTACTCAACATCTACGAATATGGGGCCAACAAATCTGAGAGGTGTCATTAGATGTTGCCACTTCCACCCTGGTATGCAGTACCCTCGGCAGCCTGAGCTGATCCGAGCAATTCCACCATTCGATACTGCGGTGTGTTTGTTCTTAGGGGTCAGGTGGCATTGACCAAAATCATCCAAGAACTCAGGGCCGAACTAAGAGTATCGGTGAAGAGAAATGGTTTTCTTATAATTTGGGGAGATCAACGAGCCAATATCACAAATCCAAATGATTGGCACCAATCATTTGGTTGCTCGATTTTTCAATACCTCTTCTTTTCGTCCAATCATTGCATGGTGGTGCCTAGATAGCCAAGTTGGTTTGTAACTTGATTTATATAACGAACTAGTCCATGGGGGTTATGAACCAACAACGGTAACTGGGGAACCCCCATCTCGAGGGATTGCCAATCTTAGCGGCTGTGGCACCTCGTTTCATGCTGAAAGCCATAGCTTCTGTGGGAAACCCAATGCCATGAAGCCTCCCAACAGATCACCATCAATGGGTAGTATTCATTAGTAACCATCATCCCCAAATGGTAGGCTTATTATGGGCTTTACCTTTTTTTCATATGGCTATGCATCCCATTCTATTCCCATCGTTGGTGAACTTCCATGAAATTCCATGAAATTTCGCACTTGATCCCCAGGCTTCCATCGTGGATTTCGTGGTGGAATTCATCCGGGCTAGGGGGTAAATCCCAAGAACCATGTTTTCCGCATGTTGATGTTCGTAAAATCCCCATGCTTGGGAAAGAAAACCTCCACTCAGATCCCCCTTTTTTCGTTGGCCAAAAACCTGGTGTAACTTGAGCCAACTCCAGCGCCGGTGCCAGCTGGCGCCAGCCGGTGCAGGATAAGGTGGCTGGACACTTTGCCAAGTTTGGGCAGGCGGCTCTCAAATCCATGGCTTCTTTGGGCTGAGTTTAACCAACCATGGTGGATTTCCATTGGGTTTTTATATGGTAAGAATCATGATGATTCATTTTGTGTTTTTACGTGTTTTTACTTGATACCCGGTTAACTTGAGGTGTGGTGTGCCCGCTGGAGCAAGTTTTTCGATGACCATGGCACTGGGGGGATTTCCCAGCGCCATAGGTTTTTGCTCTCCTGGTTGGGACCGGCTCGCCTCGAATAAATTTCGATACAACATGGGGCCCCATATTATGGGGAGATTTCACATGGGGATGAGATTCACTGCGCATTGTTCTTGGGGTTTAATTGTTTTAACTCGGCTCAAACCAATGGTTTAACCATGTTTGGCCCCAGAAATTGAGGACTTATCAGTCAGGGTTATTTCTTGTTAGCAGCTCTTAGTTAGCACTTGGCACTTGGGATATCTGAGGATCTATGGAATGATCCTGCAAGTGCCTCCGCCCATGATACAGCTCAGCTGCTTTTTTGGGCCAGAGACTCCAAAGATTTTTGGTGATGGGTGAACATGTTCCCAGATCGCCTCTAGTACCCTCTGGTAAACTAACAAAAAGGTATTAAACATGGCCATTTATAGTGGATTTTCCCATGAAAAATGGTGATTTTCCATAGCTATGTTAGTTTACCAGAGGGTAATCAAAACTGGCCACTGAAAATCTCCGGTTTTTTCATGGCGATCCATCGCCCCAACATCAATGCCCTGCATCTCCATCACCCTTCGGAGGTGAAGAACGTGGAGATCAAAAAACAGCCGGATGGCACCTCCCGAGGCTTCGCCTTTGTCACCTTTGCCGAGAAGGTCGGGGAGCGAGCTTTCTATGGACCAGAAGGGGATTATAGAGAGAGATGTATATATGTATAATATATATATATAGTTTGCAATATAATTGTAATATGTATGACATGTTTACATTCTGATATAATATTAACATATATAATTATATATATACATATACATATATATATATACTGTGACTATATATATACTAATTATGTATGTCTATATATATACATATAATGTATGTTTGTGTTTTCACTGGTGATACTTGAGATCAGTTTACATTGATCCATTCTTTTTGGGTGAAAGATGACCAGGGCGATTGAGCATGCGTAACGCAGGGAGTCAAAGGTTCTGAACCATACGCGTCTCATCATTCTTCAAGGATCTTTTAGTGACACATCCTATGTTAACTTCATGTTTTTATGGTTAAATGATCAACATCTTGCTTGATGTACTAATTTATGTATCAATCAATGGGAATCTCAGGATCCAATTGATGGAGGTACGTTAGTACCATATTTTTGGCCATATTTTGCTGGGATATTCCCTGAAACATAGGTTCCTGAAATGGCCATTGAATCAATGACTTATCTATTTCTATTTGTTGTTTCCAGGGGATGCCCCATCCCCAAGAGGCACAAACTGTGTCTGTGCGAGGCATCTGTGACAAAAGTTCTGGAGGCGCACTCAAGTCACATGTCAGGGGCGCCCGGTTGGGGAGAAAATGAAGGGCTCACCGGTGCCACCATGTGCCACCGGCACCGGCACAAACCGAAGGTTTGGCAGCTGTTTAAGGGAGATTTCGAAGCATTTTCGTGGGCTTCACATCTCAAATTTTAATATACTTTAATGATCTTTAATTGATACCCTTTGGTTATTTAACATAGCCATGGACAATGGCCCATTTATAAATGGTTTACCTATTAAAGATGGTGATTTTCCATGGCTATGTTAAATACCCAGATGGTAACTGGTGTTTTTTCACTGGCGTTTTATCCTTTGTGAACTGGCGATGTTCTTCCACTTTGAGCCCTTTGGCTCTCAGAAATGACCGACACCGAGGATTGACAACAAGTGGGTCGACGTGAAGCCACAAGTGGCTGCAGTGCCGAAGGTACCACAGTGACCAGGGCCAGGGCCGGTCGGGTCGAAGGTTCAGACCATGGCCATCATTAGGCAATCATTAGGCCATGGTACTTGGGTTAAGTCGTGACTTGCAGAAAGTCGTCTGGATGTGGCGTGCAGCTGCGTAAGTGGATGTTTAAGCATGGTTGACTACATAACCAATGATAATGAAGCTGAGTGTTTTTGTTGGCGTGCAGGTCGTGTTTTGATCTTCAGGAATGTTTGATCACAAGGGTATGGATCAATACCTATTAATACATATTAATACCATTTTTAGGGGAATGACCATCCATTTACCAGCTATTTTGATGTTCACCAGGGGTACAAGGTTTTGACCCATCCCCACAAAAGTCATGATCATGATTCTTCTGCCACTGGCTGGTCTTCATGCTTTCTTGGCACGTGGTTGACAACGTGGGCAATGCTGAGACTCTATTCCATCTGATTTACTGGATGGCTGGTGTAACTTACCCTCTGGTAAACTAACGTAACTATGGAAAATCACCAATTTTAATGGGTAAATCCACTATTTCTATGGCCATTTTCAATAGCTTTTTGTATGTTTACCAGAGGGTACCACTAATGCAGCGTATGTGGGAGGATGACTTACTGCAACCCTGGGTGACTAAACCCCCAGCGCTTGTATGATATACAGTCTGTCCTGTAAATACATGATGGATTTAATTATCACATATAATGTATATACATAAATATATATATATATTAAGATATATCATATCATATATGTAGGAGGATTTAACTATCAAACATCATCAACATATGGCATACAAATGGATATAATTCATGATAGCCATGGTTGCTTGATGACAATAGAGGGCTTTTTTTATATGATCCTTCACTAATCTTGGGGATAGCCATGGAGTGGGAATCCCAGTTCGATGTCTGTCAAACTTTCGGCCAGGCTGCACGGGAGTCCCGGGACTCCCGGGACGCGCCGGGAACGGGAAACAGAAAGGAGAAGGAAGAGGCTGCGATGGTGGCACGATGGCTACCCTCTGGTAAACATACAAAAAAACATCAAAAAACTATTGAAAATGGTCATTTATAATGGATTTACCCATTGAAAATGGTGATTTTCCATAGTTATGTTAGTTTACCAGAGGGTATGGAGAATCATCATGAATCATCCATATCATCCCACGGATCATGGAGCACATGGTTGTGGTCCAGTGGTTAGTCGAGGTTTGTCCCTCAGTATGTTAAACAAATCCAGAAAAACAACGTTTTTTTACAAAAGGGTGGCTGTTAAGAGCAGCTACGATTCGTGGGATGATCCTCCAGGCATGGTTCACCAAAGATGTTGGATCCTGGTGACATCCGAAATGGTGACGTCCTCTCAGTCTGTCTGAGCTCCTTAGCTCCTTGAAGAAAACCTTGTTAGAGGTGCTGGAAAATCACATGCGCACAGGCAGCCATAAAAACATCCGCGGGAACTGCACACTTCCGAACTGAAAACTTCTCGCTGCAGATGATGGCATTGGAAAGTTTCGTAAAAATCTTAAAATGGGCTACATGTTTGGGAATTGCAATGCGTAGTATTCTACAACCATTTGTACAGCTGTATAAAACAAACAAGTCCTCTACAGTTGAAAAGGACCATGGTCGCATATGTGTATATATATATAAAGAATTGGGATTTTAATATCATGATAATTGCCTTTCAAAGACCAACAACTGGTTTCACAAATTGGTATTTGACAAGAAGACAGGGGATTGAGCCAACAAGAATTGTAGTACTGGTTGCTGATTCAAAATAGCAAGTCGCTGGTATTCTCTTTATTCGGACATATTTAAACCACGTAACATAGACTGTACAATGTTGCTCTTCTTTGTAATCAGTCACAAGTGGGGATTCAGCCCAAAATGTGTTTTTGACCATCAAACTTTAAACGTTTTTGACCATCAGTCCAAATATCTCGGAGTGTATCATTCGAACATAAGGATTTTCTTCACGATATAGGGCGTTGCGAGGTACCAAACACACAACGATCACCAAATCAGCAACGAAAGGCTTCATAAAGACTGTGCGGAGAGGCCAAAGATACGCAAGACGAGTACGAGTCGGGCTTTGCTGAGAAGTACTTGCAGGTGTCGCTGCCTTGCCGGGTTGGGTGTGGAACTTGGGGTACCCCGGTTCCATCAAATGTGGCTGGGAAATCCCCGAAGTAAATGGAGACTTCAATGTGCATTGAAATGAGAAAACCACCTATAGAATCTATATATGTATGTATGTAAATGATTGTAAATGGGGAAGTGTCCATTGCTGGTTCATGATGCAACGTGAAAGATGACTTCAGTTGGTTGAATTGATATTCTTGGTATTTGGACAGTTTTAAACACATCTCATGACTACCTCACAACCATGACTGGTTGTATGTCACAACTGCACAGCCATGGCGGAAATCCTACAATTTGCCGATCGTTTACAGATTGATTTTCCATTGCCAGGTGAAATTGTCCAAATGAAGAGATGATTTTCCAGTGCATATAGTCTATAGTCTAATTACATCAATTTGATTCAAGCATCATAAGTAGTAGTAGTAGGCCATCCAGCTGCGACTCGCAGCTGTGCTCGTTCCTTGAAGGCGGCAGCTGCGATGCAGGGTCAGGATAGCCCAGCTGCCAGCTGAGGAGCCATGGGGGAAAACCGGAAAATCATCTAGAAATGGTGGGTAAGCTCCACATCTATGTAAACATTCACCCAAAAAATATGGGCTAACAAGATGTATTTTTGGACTAAATCGGCAGCCATGGATTTGCTGAACATGTCAATTTGTACGATGTCGGGGATGACGGCTATTTCCAGGATCACCATCGAAATGCCAAAAATCTGGTCCAATGAATTAAGGTATTTTGGCCAGTTGGGATTTCTTTGTTGGCTTTCTTCAAGGGCCTACTTATGGCATTATAGTAAATTGTATGCTGAAATATGCTGATATATATATATATATTTCAAACTACGGGGTCCAAAGGCAAATATGTAAGGCAAATTTGCAAGACATATTTCAGCAAAGATATGTAAATTTCATATGAAATGATGTGAATTGCAAATTGGGCCCCTAATTTCAACATACTTCATGATACTGGATGAATTCTCACAACCTCACACTGTGAGAGGTCGTTGGAATGATAGGATGTGGGAATGACATGGAAGGACTGTAATTTTTTGCCAGCAAAAAGTTACCCTCTGGTTATTTAACATAGCCATGGAAAATGGTCCATTTATGAATGATTTACATGTATTTTCCTATTAAGAATGGTGATTTTCCATGGCTATGTTAAATAACCAGATGGTAGTTTATAAATCCATGAACTATAGATCTATCTCATAAAACCTTATGTTGAATTAACCCATCAATAGAATTCAGTAGATATATCTACCATAAACATCCTGTGGTTATTGGGTGAATCACTACATCTACAATAAACTATATGTACCATGAACTCTGGATATATCTATATGATTATATGTATAGTTCATTGTAGATAGGTAAACCAGAGTAGGTTTTTCTATTTCTGGTTTATCTATCATATCTAGAATCTATAGGTTTTTATTATATCGATATGATAAACCGAAATTTATTCATCTAGGCAAACACAGCCACCTAGCTATCGAAGCGTCGGGGGCGCACTGTGACGACTTCAGGTCCCTCTGACGCTGGCGAACGCGCTGGGAATGACGCCGCGACGCCCTCCAAAGAAAGCCATGAGGGGAATGAGAAGATGGGCAACATGATGAAGGCCGGATGGTTCATGTGGCTAAAACAATGCCATAATCACATATAATCACCATTAATGAATCACCATTGAATCATCATTAACCATTCTAGAATCATCAATAACCACTAATACTGCATAATGTGGGGTAAAACAATGCCATGATCACATATAATCACCATGAATTAATCACCATTGAATCATCATTAACCATTCTAGAATCATCAATAACCACGAATACTTAATAATGTGGGTAAAACAATGCCATGATCACATATAATCACCATTAATTAGTCACCATTGAATCATCATTAACCATTCTAGAATCATCAATAACCACGAATACTGAATAATGTGGGTAAAACAATGCCATAATCACATATAATCACCATTAATTAGTCACCATTGAATCATCATTAACCATTCTAGAATCATCAATAACCACGAATACTTAATAATGTGGGTAAAACAATGCCATGATCACATATAATCACCATTAATTAGTCACCATTGAATCATGATTAACCATTCTAGAATCAGCAATAACCACGAATACTGAATAATGTGGGTAAAACAATGCCATAATCACATATAATCACCATTAATTAATCACCATTGAATCATGATTAACCATTCTAGAATCATCAATAACCACGAATACTTAATAATGTGGGTAAAACAATGCCATGATCACATATAATCACCATTAATTAGTCACCATTGAATCATCATTAACCATTCTAGAATCATCAATAACCACGAATACTGAATAATGTGGGTAAAACAATGCCATAGTCACATATAATCACCATTAATTAGTCACCGTTGAATCATCATTAACCATTCTAGAATCATTAATAACCGCGAATACTGAATCATGTGGGTAAAACAATGCCATGATCACATATAATCACCATTAATTAGTCACCATTGAATCATCATTAACCATTCTAGAATCAGCAATAACCACGAATACTGAATAATGTGGGTAAAACAATGCCATAATCACATATAATCACCATTAATTAGTCACCATTGAATCATCATTAACCATTCTAGAATCATCAATAACCACTAATACTGCATAATGTGGGGTAAAACAATGCCATGATCACATATAATCACCATTAATTAGTCACCATTGAATCATCATTAACCATTCTAGAATCATCAATAACCACTAATACTGAATAATGTGGGTAAAACAATGCCATAATCACATATAATCACCATTAATTAGTCACCATTGAATCATCATTAACCATTCTAGAATCATCAATAACCACTAATACTGCATAATGTGGGGTAAAACAATGCCATAATCACATATAATCACCATTAATTAGTCACCATTGAATCATCATTAACCATTCTAGAATCATCAATAACCACAAATACTGAATAATGTGGGTAAAACAATGCCATAATCACATATAATCACCATTAATTAGTCACCATTGAATCATCATTAACCATTCTAGAATCATCAATAACCACTAATACTGCATAATGTGGGTAAAACAATGCCATAATCACATATAATCACCATTAATTAATCACCATTGAATCATCATTAACCATTCTAGAATCATCAATAACCACGAATACTGAATAATGTGGGTAAAACAATGCCATAATCACATATAATCACCATTAATTAATCACCATTGAATCATGATTAACCATTCTAGAATCGTCAATAACCACTAATACTGAATCATGTGGGTAAAGCAATGCCATAATCACATATAATCACCATTAATTAATCACCATTGAATCATGATTAACCATTCTAGAATCATCAAAAAACACTAATACTGAATAATGTGGGTAAAACAATGCCATAATCACATATAATAACCATTAATTCATCAGCATTGAATCATGATTAACCATTCTAGAATCATCAATAACCACGAATACTTAATAATGTGGGTAAAACAATGCCATGATCACATATAATCACCATGAATTAATCACCATTGAACCATCATTAACCATTCTAGAATCATCAATAACCACGAATACTGAATAATGTGGGTAAAACAATGCCATAGTCACATATAATCACCATTAATTAATCACCGTTGAATCATCATTAACCATTCTAGAATCATTAATAACCGCGAATACTGAATCATGTGGGTAAAACAATGTCATAATCACATATAATCACCATTAATTAATCACCATTGAATCATCATTAACCATTCTAGAATCATGATAACCACGAATACTGAATAATGTGGGTAAAACAATGCCATAATCACATATAATCACCATTAATTAATCACCATTGAATCATGATTAACCATTCTAGAATCATCAATAACCACTAATACTGCATAATATGGGGTAAAACAATGCCATAATCATATATAATCACCATTAATTAGTCACCATTGAATCATCATTAACCATTCTTCAATCATATGTGGGTAAAACAATGCCATAATCACATATAATCACCATTAATTAATCACCATTGAATCATCATTAACCATTCTAGAATCATCAATAACCACTAATACTGCATAATATGGGGTAAAACAATGCCATAATCACATATAATCACCATTAATTAGTCACCATTGAATCATCATTAACCATTCTAGAATCATCAATAACCACGAATACTGAATAATGTGGGTAAAACAATGCCATAATCACATATAATCACCATTAATTAGTCACCATTGAAGCATGATTAACCATTCTAGAATCATCAATAACCACTAATACTGCATAATGTGGGTAAAACAATGCCATAATCACATATAATCACCATTAATTAATCAGCATTGAATCATCATTAACCATTCTGGAATCATCAATAACCACTAATACTGAATAATGTGGGTAAAACAATGCCATAATCACATATAATCACCATCCATGAATTAATCACCATTGAATCATCATTGACCATTCTAGAATCATCAATAGCCACTAATACCGAATAATGTGGGTAAAACAATGCCATAGTCACATATAATCACCATTGATTAATCACCGTTGAATCATCATTAACCATTCTAGAATCATTAATAACCACCAATACTGAATCATGTGGGTAAAACAATGTCATAAACTACCCATGACTGGGAATGGTAAACATACCACCTATAAAATTTGTGATGACTGGGGGATAGTTTATGACATTGTTTTACCCACATTGTTCACATATAAATGACACATCATCCAAAGTATATATTTGGGTATATTCCAGATGAAGTTTGCTATGTTTCTGATGGTTTTACTTTTCAATACTACTAACCACTGTTAACTATCTAAATCCAACAATCACTTTTAACTATCTGATATGTAGCTCATCCACTGTACATCAATCTGGTTGATCTTTGTAGGTGTATATATATACATATCCCATAATATTCCCATTTTCATCCCCAGTCCTGATTCTAGTCCTCATTCTTGATACTCTCTGGTGTCATCAAACGTCCGAAATAGGAATATGAACTAACCAACCAATAATCAATAGAATGGGATAGCGCTGTTTTTTATGGCTCAGTTGGCAATCTTCATGACCGTGTTTTTTTTTTAAATATCACGGGGGACTGAAAAACCCCAACATCGGTCAGGGGGGATGGGACATATCACCCCTTTGATGAGCACAACAGGCATCAATCGCGGTCTGCTGGAAACAGCTCTATTTTGAATGATGAACCGCAATCAACTTCAATATTTTTTGGAGCTGAAAGTTGAACCCAGCAGACTTGGGTGTTCTCGAGAAGAATTCAGGTTTTTTGGTTCCAACAATTCATGGCTCAAGGATGCCCCGTTTGATTCAATGAGGGTGCAGTTGGGGTTCTTGATGGGCATAACTATGGGAATCATTTCCATAAATTGGGACATAACCCTTATAATTTTGGGTATATAATATATACTGTAACTTGTATGGGTATGGGTCAATACCTATAGATACATTTTTAGTGGGATGAACATCCATTTACCAGACATTTTGGGGTTCACTAGGTACCAGGGTTTTGACCCATCCCCATATAACCCACTTGAAACTGAACTGCAGCCCCAAGTACTGTACTCCAAAGTGATTCATCTTCCCCCCATAAAAAACGATATAAAATGACGGTAGCTTCATTGGTTTCAACCGTGACACACCCACACACATCGCCACGATACGACCAGTTTCGGGGGGTTGAGCCTCAGGCCATGATGAGCATGATGCCGATGATGATGGGCTACCTGGCCATGAAGTGGACCATTGCAGCGGCCGTTTTTTGCCATTCATGACATGAATTTCATGTGGATTCTGTGGAAGATTGATATTTGATGATTGGACAGCATGGACAGCAATACATGAATACATGCCTTGTAGGCCAAGGGGGCGATTCCAGAGGGGTCTTTCAATTTGATACCTATCCTGTCCTAAAAACTGTGGATCTCATGGCTATAAATGGATGCGAGTCAAGACCTTCAGACCCTCCACAAAGGCGGTGTCAACCATATATTTTCTTTGTGATTATGTAATTCCTTTTTGTGGGTTTGGCCCTAGACCTCTATAACCATACAGCCATAAGAGGCATGAACCCTATGATGATGGGTGGCTGCGGAAAGGGCGGCAGCTGTGGAAGCAACTGTGGCTGCGGAGGCTGCGGCGGTTGCGGCTGCGGCTGCGGTGGCTGCGGTAGCTGTGGTGGCTGCGGTGGCTGCGGTGGCTGCGGTGGCTGCGGTGGTTGCGGTGGCTGTGGCAACTGCGGCTGTGGATGTTGCGGTGGTTGCGGCTGCCCTTGCGGCGGGTGCGGGGCCCAGAGCTCCCAGGTCCTCATGCGCAGCATCCTAAGCACGCTGAATCTTCTCCATCTATGACCTTGAGCCCTGTCACAGCTGCAAGGAAGCAGCACAGAATCTGCACAAACTTCAAACTATAATTATATATAAAATAATATAAAATATAAATATAAACCCTCCAAACAAACAGGATAGAGAAGGAAAGCGCTGAGAATATGCATATACTTTTTCAACCATCCAAAGATCTTCACTGGATATTGTCGGGCATGTTCAACAGTCCTTCAAGCTTCTTGCTGCTTACCACTTGCGTGCCATGGAGCACGACTGAGGTGCGGAGGATGCGGTTGTGGTAGCTGCGGTGGATGTGGGAGTTGTAGCAGTTCCTGTGGCTGTGGCAACTGTGGCAACTGTGGCTGCAGCGGTTGCGGGTGCTGTGGCAATTGTCCCGGCTGCGGAAATTGCAGCGGCTGTGGAACTTGCGGAGGTTGCGGAAACTGCGGCTGCGGAAATTGCGGCTGCGGAAATTGCGGCTGTGGAAATTGCGGCCCCTGCTGTGGATGTGGTTGCAACTGTGGTTGTGGCGGTTGCGGCTGTGGCTGTGGAGGATGTGGTTGCGGTGGCTGCGGGGGGTGTGGTGGCTGTGGCTGCGGAGGTTGTGGAGGTTGTGGCTGTTGTGGCTGTGGTGGTTGCGGGGGCTGTGGTTGTGGCTCCTGCGGCTGCGGTCCGTGCGGTTGCACTGGCTGCGGCGGCTGTAATGGTTGTGATGGTGGATGTGGCGGCTGCTGCGGCAACGGCGGATGTGCCGGTGGCAATGGATCAACTTCAGGCGATACCTCTGCATGACATGGGAAATATCCTTCAAGTACCCTCCAATAATGGTAAAAGTACTAAGATTATCGGATAAAACATTATTTTCAGGTACTTGGAGGGTCTAGAGTCTAGGTAGGAAGAAATCTATAGCGATCGAATTATAGCGATTCATATGATGTTGGCGAGGCAAACTTTCTTTGGACAATGTCTTGTTTAATGACATATGATTCATATGATTTATGTTTGATATGATATAGCGCACTATCTGATGGCAATCCTTGCGGTCTGGGATTCTAGTTGGATAGTTTCCGATTTACAATACCTTGATCTTTCATTGTAAATGTCAGTGCCTAAGACTCCTAGGACCAAGGATTTCGATTAACAGGGGGAAACCGCAGCCACGTGTATTTTTCACTTTGCAGCTCCCCATGTGTCATAGGTGTTTTTATTTTGCAGAATTGGGATGACCGGCAGTTTTCTAACAAACAATAATTGAATTTCATGTTGTATTCTGATGTATATATATATATAATACCCCATGTTTTTGGACAGGCTCAAATGGTTGGTAGCTGGGTTGTTGCTCTTCTACACTGGGCCATTGCTCTGCCAGATGCTCCAACCTCTGTTGCTCTGCGGACGGAGTCGAGCAAGGAGCGGTCCCAGCCCTACTGAGCCCAGAGGCGACCGAAAAAAGATGGGCTGTGCCTCTCTTGCGGCCATGTTCCTCGAAAGCCTACGGTATACCCTTGTTGAAAAACATCCTATGGGGAACGTGCAGGTCTCGCTGAGCTGTTTTCCACCGAGATTAAGCCACTGATGAATATCTGATTGCGCAACAAATTCATGAGCAAATATCTAGGCCATCAAAAAACGTCCGAGAATCAACAGAAGAAGATTTGCCTTTCAATTTGCAGGAAGCGCCATGTGTTTTCTTCGAGCCTCTCATTTTTGGTGTCACAATTCACACTCAGGCACTTCTTGCTTCAAGATGTACGCCGGTATGGGGTCAAAGTCGAAACTGAAGACCAGATGCAGATAGACTGGTCATGTTGAATGTGACAATGTGTGGTAACCGTCCAAAAAGATGCCGAAACGTCAAATCTGAATGAACATGGTGATAAATATCACTGTTCAGCATCTTTTTGGGGCTTACCACAGATTGTACTGTGCTCCACATATCTATCATATTTGATTCTTGGGGACCCCACAGTGCCAATCCCAGCGGGTGATAGACCCTCCAGGTAGCTTTAGAAATGGTGTTTTAGTGGTTTTACCCCATGATCTTAGTATCTTCGTACTTTTACCACTTTTTTGGGGGGATTTGAAGGGTCTGGGTAGTCTAGGTTGACCCTTTTCTTGACAATTTATCTATGAGTCGTGGATAGATAGTTCAAGGCTCAAAAAGTGGGTACAATACTGTACCTTATGTTTGGGATATCCATGGGCAGTGGCTCAAAATTATTGGCACTCAATAGATGGATGGTTTCAAACTAAATACCATCAGTGTGGTAAACCCAATGCCACAAACCATCCCCAAGCCATCACCAATTTTCTGGATGGTATAGTATGCATCATCCCCAAGTTTGCTTGTTGTTTATACATATATATATATATATGTAATTATATATATATATATCATTGGCTTTACCAACATCACTGGATAAAAGCCCTCATATAATGCCATGATATGCCATGTATGTGAAAAAACATATGTAATCCCCAGCAATTTTCCAGCATTTTCCCATCATCCCATGAATTGCTGGAGTGGGTTGCCCACATGACCTTTCTTGCGACACGACTGGTGACCCATAGCTTGGGCTCAGCGCAACCTCGGCGGAGTCCGGCGTAGTGCGAATCCGGCGCTCCGACTGGACACAAGGCAAAGCATCTGACGGTTCACGTCCGAAAATGAGGATTTGGAACATGCTTTGATTTACGGTATGATTCATAACCATCAAGATCATCAAGAATTGGCTTCAAAACATCCAACCTTAAGGGGTCTTAATAGACACACCTAAATTGATTTGATATATTTTCTATGATTTCCTACGGAGACAATGGTAACCCCCCAAAAAGCGCCATACCCCCATTGACCCTGACCGGAATTCCATGGGAGAAGCTGCCACCATCAGATTCACAGGTTTCCATATCCGCCATATCCCATGACGGATCCATGGTGCTGCTATATATGGTAACATATTTACACCTTAAAAATCACCCAGTTTTGTAGGTAAATATACCAGCACCATGGATATACATGGAGCATATTGGTATGAATGTTCCCATTGTTTTCACTTTTGCATCCTGTGAAAGCCTCGTTCTTAGCGGTGCCCCGCTAGCTTGGTGAACACAACTAGTAACACTAGGCTTTTGGAAGAACTTTATAAACCAACATAGGGGACACCACCTGGCAGCACCTTGGGAATGTTTTGGAGATGCCAAAATGAAAGCACCTAAGACACCTCCAACGTGTCCTTAACGTCGGTATCTCCCATCATGTAGACTCCAGGGTCACCAATTTTTCAAACGCGAACAACCATTAACATCATTTAACTATATTTTAAATGAAAATTCCTAAAATGGGAGTACCCCTACAGGGCCCCTACATCATCCATTTTTTTGGGGGCATTTTCCATTATGAACCATCCAGCTATTGAATTTCCCCATGTATGGAAACCCTCAAATGATTTAAGGATAGCTCAGGTCCGCTCTGCATGTCCATGTTTCTATAGTTTTTTTGATCCCCCTTGGAATTTCCTCTACAGAATTGAGAACGTTGGGGCCAGGAAAATGGTGCATTTTGACCCCCTGACTTAATAAGGAATACCTACCCAACGTCAACGCTTACAATTTTATAGAGGTTCTTGGGGCCTCTGATTCTATAGAGATTTCATGTTGAATACAGCACTGAGGACTAGTCAGCAGAGAGTCTTAGGGACTGCGATTCTACAGTGGGATATGTTCTCTTTGGATGTATGTCATGTTCTTCAATTTTATAGATAAGTATTGGCAGAACCAATTTCCCACAACAATTCTTTGATCATCCAAGATCATCCTTCTTGATCATCCTTGATCATCCTTGATCATCCTTGATCATCTTGTGTATTTTGGAATTATTTGGAATTTTGACATATTTTTGGAAACTTTTGGATACTTTTGGGATATATTGGAGATTTGTTGGAGATCCATTATCAGGGTTTCATCAGTTATTATTAATTATATTCAGCAAATATAAACAATTTTGACATTTCAATATCTTACAAAAGCAGCTTTTTCTGGTTTACAAACTATAAAAGTGACATTTTTCATTTTGCATTATTTTCCCGTTGAGTCTCTCCCTTGTGTTTCCCCGTTGTGTCTTCCCTTTCTTTCTCCCCGTTGTGTCTCCCCAGTATGTCTCACCGTTTTTGGGTCGAAGTCCTCGAGCCAGCCTTTCCGCCTTTCCGCTAAAAAAGAGCAAACGGATGGAAACAAAATGAAACAAAACGAAACAGAGCGATTTTCAAGATCTTTCAGGTATTTTTCACCAGTCTATAAAATTGAAGGGGTTGGCAGTGAACACTTGGAGCCTTTGTGGCTCTATAAAATTGAAGTGCATAAGGCAAGATGGGCAAGAGCAACTAGAGTATTCAGGTCAGCTGTCAATAAAGAAGGGTTGGGGAGCCTGATTTTATAGAAGGTCAACTAACCCCCCCAACCATCTACGAGAGTGACTTGGCGGCATCGATTCTATAGAGATTGTCAACTTGAAAATACCTTGGGGTCTCTGATTCTATAGATGCATTTTCGGAAAGGGGGGTCATGTCCTCCTGATTTATCACTATAAAATTGTCAACACCAACCCTTTCACTTAATACAAAGGGGGATTTTTTTTGGTTGTGTTCCCATCATTTCTATTCCACGTTCATCGGGAAGATCTATGCCTTCAACGAGGTGGATTTGTTGATCTATTTCTCAGTGTCCAGATGGACCCTAAAAAGTCATTCTTACATCACTTTTTCGAGAATTGCCCATAGAAATAGAAAGAAATCGATGATTTACCCTCTGGCAATTTAACGTAGCTATTGAAAATGGCAATTTATAGTGGATTTTCCCATTAAACATGGTGATTTTCCATAGTTATGTTAGTTTACCGGAGGGTACCATGATTTCGCTGGGAAAAAATGGCGATTTTCCATGGGATTTTCGCCCTGGCCTCGAGGCTCATGGCGAATTGCTGGCCCTGGCTGTTGGCCCTGGCAGCTGGTTGGGGGCCCAAAAGCAGCTGGTTGGTGAATGGATGGTCCCCTATGACATCCTATGACAATTTCATATGTAACTTGACCCATCCATCCCATATATATATTATATAATTATATGTATATATATATATATACATATATTATATATATATATATAATGTCAACCCCGGATTAATAGACCATGGTTTATCAATTAGGGGGGTACTCCTCCAATAGTCATAATCTGATACTTAAATGGTACCCTCCTAATTAAACAATCTAGGGGTTTATTAATCCAGTGTTTACATTATATAATATACAGATACATATATACACATAGATACACATGGAAATTTCTACAGGAAATACATGGACATATGTAAGATACCATCACATACCATATGTTTTCCCATTGAATTTCAGAGTTTCTCCTAAAAGATGTCCCTTCACAGAATGGGCAGGGCCGATCTGTTCATTCCCTGTGAGTCCAGTTGGCTCCAAAGATACTTTCTGATGTCTTTTGTTACTAAAACGGTGGTGAAAGACCTTCCAAAGCAAGGTCTTTGGACTTTAGGGGCATTCCATGTTTGCAAGGGGGTCACTTTGGTCTGTGGTAAATTCGAAGCCAAGATTTGGATAGAGGTCTAAACAGTCAAAACCAAGGAACCCTAGTGGACAATATGATGTTAATTGACCAAATCATGTGGGAAAATTGGTTTTGAATGCTTTTGACCTGCTCCCAATCATTTCCAGTATCCCGAAATTCGATTGGTTTCCTCAATTTTCTGCGTTTTTTTTCATATCAAAACCTACAAATACCATCCAAAACGGTGAAAGGTTATGGGGTAAAACAGTAAAACATACCCCATAGGATCCATGGTGCTGCTATATATGGTAACATTTACCATCAATATATCCCCTTTATGTTAGCATATATGCCAGCACCATGGATCCTATGGGTACTGAAACAGCATTTTTACGTGTACTGGGAGGGTCTGGGTATCCCTTTCTTCCACCGTGGCTCCGCAGGTGGAAGTGCCTATGCCTTCCTGACGCCAGCGCCAAGGGAGCTGAGTCCAGCGGCTCCGGGTCTACGGGGTTTTCACGAAGGACCAGGGCTGGGCTCCGGAAGTTTTTTCCGATGGATCAGCCCAGCATAAACTCAAAAATCATAAATGATCTACCCCTACCTAACCCATAGGATCCATGGTATATGCTAACATAAAGGGGATATATTGATGGGATCCATGTTACCATATGTTACCATATATAGCAGCACCATGGATCCTATGGGTAGTTTTGGACCATTTTGGACCCTAGGAGCCGCGCCACGCGGCTCGGCCTGGGGAGCCACGGGAGCCGCTTCAGCCGCGGCGGGGTGACCAAAATGGTGGTGTCACTGGTGTCATCAAACAGAGCAGAAAATCCCCCAACGAAATGTGTTTTTTTTTAATGGGAGAATCAGCCATGAATTTTGTGGACTTGTCATGACTTGTCCCCATTTTTCATGACCAAAGGGTAAACCTTGGGATTTGCAGAAACATGGAAGTTTAACTAAGGAGAAATAGGATGTTAACTAAGAAAACGAGGGCTTCAAGAAAGATGTGGATTTCACCCAACCAAGACTGGGCCAACAAAAACTCCCCAAGACTTCAATGACTTTTTGTTTGTTTGGTGAATTTATTCACCAGTTTATGGCAGATTGCCTATTGACAAAGACTTCAATTGTGGATCAAAGAATTTTTAGAGCGGTGGGAACCACAGATTGTGGTCATGTTCATCAGTGTACTTTGTGCCATTTTCGGGCTCGCACTTTTTTGATTTTTGAAAACATGGAAATGAGGGGATGAATCTTTTTGAGTCAACCGAGAAAAAACACGTGGAATATGACAACCATAGAGGGCTGGTGCTGTTTTTCCGTGTTGGGCAGAAACTCTCCCTAGCAGTTTGATATGTCACTGCTGTGGGACGGCGACGGCGGCTCTGGATTCGAACATGGTCTCCAGGCCCTAGGAGAAATAAGTGTTTTTTCTGTTGGCTTTACTGCACCAACTAGATTGCACACAGCGTATGTTTCTGTCGAAGGGTATATATATAAATATTATCTATAATATTGTTAATAATTAATCATTATTATTGTTTATAATATGGTATACGGTTCAAATACATACCCATAGGATCCATGTATGGCATATATATGCATATATGCTAACATAAAGGGGATATATTGATGGGATCCATGTTACCATATATAGCAGCACCATGGATCCGTCATGGGATATGCAAAAATATGGTATCCCTTCTCCAAAAGCGCCAGAGTACTACCAGAGTACAGTTTTTTGGGGCGATCCAATGTGCCCAAGGTGTGCATGGCTGCCATCGGTGTGCTGCACTCAGCATCCGTGCTGTTTTTTTTTGAAGGTACCGTATCGGGGCTCATTATGTGGGAAACCCTGCCATAAATGTTACCAAACGGGATGAATTTATACAACCCATTTATACCCATAGGATCCATGTATGCTATATATGGTAACATTTACCATCAATATATCCCCAATGTTAGCATATATGCCATACATGGATCCTATGGGATATGATGATTTTATGGGGATGTTTTATTTGGGTTTTCCCCATTGCTACAAGCTGTTTCTGCCATCTTGCAGACTTCAGGCATCCGCAGCAGTTCGACGGCGCGCAAGTGTGGGGGGACACAGAAAACTTTTGGGTGGTTCAAAACCACCGTAGATGATGATGTAAACTTTTTTTAAAATGACCCATTTACTATGGTAGATATAACTATAGTTAATGGGGTTTGTAAACCAAACTTGTAACTGGGGGGCACTATCCTGTAGCATTTTAAGACCATTTAAAAAAGGTAGCACTTTAAGACACAGAGTTCTCAAAGACCACCAGCCGCGGAGGAATGCCTAGGAGTTCACCGGCATGGGATGCTCCTTTGAAGCCCACAGATAGTTTTTTCAGAAAGTGGAGTGAAGAAGTGAACATCTTGACCCTCGGAGTGATATATACCCATATGCTCCATGGTGCTGGTATATTTACCTACAAAACTGGGTGATTTTAAAGGTAAATGTTACCATATATAGCAGCATACATGGATCCTATGGGATATATACCCACTTACAACCGCTACAGCCTTCATTCGGAGTGGACTTAAACTGATTTTCCAAAATGATTTTGGATCTCCAGGGGTAACAACCTGATGGTGTCTTCATCGGACTCCCCGGCCCCAACCATGTTGTTTTGTTGCTACAATGGTTGGTGGTTTGGACCATGACTTTTATTTTCTGTCATATATGGGATGTCATCCTTCCCATTGACGAACTCCATCATTTTTCAAGATGGTTAAACAAAAAAACAGATGAATTATTGCACCACCAACCAGATGAAGTCTTTGGAAAGCTTCGGGCATGCGACGGACTGCAGCTTGAAATTTCGTTGCACCGAGCCCAAGCAAGACATCCCGCCCAGGACTTCTTGTGGTATGGACATGATAATGTGAACCCTGGATTTTTTTAACCCCCTGGTTGATACAAAAAATCCTGGGGTTTCTCCCCCAATAGTGACTGAAACTGCTATTTTTTGTGGTACCCCATGATGAACAGCCCAGTTTTTTCGACTCCAGATTTTCACCATCGCAGGGGCCCACCTTTCGGCTCAGTGTTTTCGGTTCCGAAGCTTGGCGCCGTGCGTGCTCAGCAGCGTCAGATGTCCAGCGTGCCTGGTAGCGGCGAATATGAGGCCTTGGAGGTGCGGAATGGGTCCAGGGGGGATCATTACCACACCATTTTGGAGACCGAAATGGACGTGGTAAGCTCTGGAAAACTCATGGGGTTTCCGGGTTTCCCGTTTGGAACATGGTAACATGATCCAAAAATGCAGGGTTTTCCACATTTATGAATCTATGATTAGTTTACAGGAGGGTAAATCATATTGCATCATACCCCACTTGCCGAATTTACCATTTGAGAGTATAAAAAGTACGTCAATAAAGGTTTACTGTTGGGCAATGGCTTTATTATGCTTTATTTTTCTATATATGTGGGGTTCCTGATATGGGGTTACGATGGTTACCCCAATAGCTGGATTGCTTATTTCATGGAAAATCCTATATATAAAAATGTATGATCTGGGGGTACCCCCATTTCTGGGAACCTCAATATGTCAATCATCCCTGTCCGATATTCAGAAGCCTTACCCGCCTTACCCTGGTGGAATGCACTTGGGGATCTGTTGATTCTTCGGGGGTCATCCTCCAGTGGCACCTGGGAGAAAATCTCCTCTGTCTATACATGGGGAATTTTGAAACATGGCGCCATGTTTGATTACCAGAGAGTAGCATAACTGGCATAACTCATGGGGGCTTGTATCCCCATCCAGTCGTCTACTTTACCAGTAATTGTTGGGTAGATCTCGAAGCCAATACTTGAAAGTGGTTCATTTTCATGGTGGAGCCAGCCAAAGGCGAGGGACAAGCAAAAACACGGGTGTAACATGGTGGCAGTTACCAATGGCAAAGTCCTCTTTTGTCGTCAACGCTATAACGTTCTTACTATGGGGTCCTAGGCACGAACTGGATTTCTACAAAGTGACAGGTCACTCTTCCCAATCTAAATGGCGACAGAACCAGAACCGTTGTTAGGATCCGGCCTCTCGACGTGATATTTGGATATATTTGGGAGATTGCTAATCAATAATGCTAGGATTCAGCCATAAGAATGGTTTATGATCAGTGGGTACGGCCATGATGACATGGAAAACATGGTTCCATGTCACCGCTGGGGGTCCAAACTGAAGAAAACGGATCCTTTCAGCATCGATCACTGCAATGGAGTAAACTCTTTCCCAGAAAGTTTCAATATGACTCACTTGAATCTCTCAGATATATAGGGAATTACCACTCTGGTGGGTAATAATGGGTAATATTAGAATCATTTGCCTGAGGGATTCGCATTATAGCTGTTTTTTGTTATGTTGGGTGTCCCACTGATAGCCATATTGGGGGATGGTCATCAATCCATTGATATGATCCAGATAGCCAGCATATCCCATTTTGTGCGGATTTCCCATGGCACTTGACCATGGAACAGTCATGAGGTAGATCTTGGTCATCCTTAGTTCCCTGAAAAATACCTTCCTGTAAACATAGATGTGGAGCTTACAAAAACCATTTGTAGATCATTTTCCCAAAAAAAAACCATGGGTTTTTCCACATCTGCATGTTTCCCGGGTACCTTTAAAGGCCACGCACCATGACGTTACGAGGCACCGATGATGTTGCAGTGGCTGTCCGGCGGTCTCGGCGTCCACATGGCGCTGATGCTGCAGGCGAACCGCGCCTTGCACCAGCAGATGAAGCCCAGGCGAATCACATGGGTTGATTTTATTTGATGATCCATCCCCCCATGGGATTCTGATCGGATTCAGCTCATATGGGGGTTTCCGATTCGTCATAGGGCTACCCAGGGCTACATCATCCATTTATAGATGGGATTTTCGATGGGATTTTCATGGAAAATAAACCATCCAGCTAGTGGGGTAACCCCATGACTACGGAAACCTCCATATATTTTGGATGGTTGATTTTTTTCAACCAGCCTGCTTGGATGGCCATTCTGGGCTCCTGCTGATGCTTTGGTGGGCGGGGGAATTCAAAACTTCCAAAGCCTGCAGTCGAGATATGAAATTGTGAGCACATAGCAAATTCCAGAATTGCTGGTATCTCCAATCCCCAAACAATCAACTTTTTGAGCAGCGGAACGATTCGATCTAGAAAATTTGAAGTGCTAAGTGGATAGTGAGATTTGCATTCACCATCATTGACCAATGCCACAATTGAAAAAATCACAGGACTTCCCCAGATTTGAGCCGAAATTCATCATGATTTCCTACAGGTCCTACAACATGTTCCCCAACAACTCAGGTTTCAGGATCGCCGCCTTGAAAAAAAACCATAGGACAGAGAACCCCCCCAACCCTCCATAGTTTATCTCAAATCCCCAGGATTTTAACATATTTTAACCCAGTTTTAGTGTCAAATTCCCCAGGTGAAACAAGGGCTTTCGCCCGCGCAGGTTGGAGCACTGGGGCCCGGCCTGGCTTCGGCAACGGCAGCTACTGCAGATCGCGCGCGTGGCAGAGGCGGCCGGGAATCCAACGCGATACCTGCAAGACGCGAGGCCTGAAATCGGGACGGGATTGGAGGATCATCTTCCGAGGGGAAAAGTGGCTGGTCAATTAATGGGGATAGTGGGATATAATTATATATATAGTATATATATAGTATATATATATAGTATATATATATTATATGATTTATAATTTATAACATAATATATATATATACATACATATTATAAATAGTTATATGATATACAATGGAGATATTGGATATATAACAGTTCTAAGTTGATGAGATTGTTAGTAAATGGGGTGATAAACCAGTGGTGTATATGAGGAATAACCGTACTGAATGGAGACTTACTAACTAGGCTTCTCTTCAAACCACAAAAACGATTCCTGGGATGATACTCCAGTCGTGGGTCCCAAGTTCTGCCCGAACATGAGTTCGGTGAGTTATTTTCATTTAGCCACAGGTCAATGGTAAGTGGATTCCATGGCCAACCATGGTGGAGCAGATGCTGTTGGTGCTGTTGACTCAAAAACCAATGGGTTGTCCAAAAATGGGGCACCTACATAAAAATGCCATGGTAAAAATATCCCTTCCTAATACTAAACGTCCCCCCCCATTAATAAACACGGCAGGTAGTTTTTAGTATTAGGGTGGTATTCATTATTAGGGAACCCTATTAATAAAATTAAACCCTTAATAATAAAAACTGTTTTTTTTTCCGATCTCAAAATCAATTAAATTTCTTTACATAACGCAATTAAAATATTGCCAAAAATTGGATTTCGAAGCTTCCCCCTAATATGAAATTAAAACCCTCAATAATAAAAACTATTTTTTTCCGATCTCAAAATCAATTAAATTTCTTTATATAACGCAATTAAAATATTGCCAAAAATTGGATTTCGAAGCTTCCCCCTAATAAATTAAAAGCCCTGATATAAAAAAACTAAAAAACATCGGACGGACCCTAATAATAAACACCCCGGGGTTGACTAGTTTTTAGTATTAGCGGGGGAAACCCACAAATGGTAGCTTGATTTTTAAATTGTTTTCTAAAGGGGATCAATTAAAAGTCAAATTGGCCAATCTGAAATTTTCTGAAACTGGAGGACGCCTGTTTTTAGTATTTGGGGGACGTTTAGTATTAGGAGGAAGGGATTATATATATATATTTACATACACAATTTTTCTTCAAGGGTTTCGGATGGTTTATAAATCCGAAATGGTTTAGCAACCAATCATTTCCCCTGGTAATTTCTATGTTTTTGATTGTTTTTGGAGAAACTTCAGGAACGTAACAATGAAGCACCTTCAAGTAGTGAATCTGTTCATTTTGGGAATACATGGGGGGATATTGTTGGGCGGATGGTATGTTGATCCTGAATCCAGAACCCCCTGGTTGGTTGAATGTGAAGGTAAACCCAATGATGTTCATGAATCCCAGCCCTCCATAGAATGAAAGGTCCTCATTCTATGGTCCCAGTCATATGTGATTTCATCCCCTACATCCACCATGGTTTCTGGGATGTGTGAATAATATTTTGTTTTGGGAAGGAACCAATTGACTTGTTGGCTTCAAATGATTTTCCGTTCCCGTTCAAGTCATTGTCCTGTGCCAGGCAGATCCAGCAGTTAGCCACGGCGATTCTGCGTGGTTTAGGCAAGGGCCTCTCATGGCCTGATCAAATACTCATGAGTACCTTACGGTTTCCACGACTCAACCATGGTTTCTGTTTGAGTTATATATGATATCAAGGGGAAGTTATGATAAACAATAGACCCCAGTGATTTGGATGCTTCTCAAAAATTGGGTACCCCTTATCAGCATTTATCAGCCTTGGTTTTTGAATCAAAAAGCGACAAGTTTGATGATTTCGGGTCCTTCACTTTAGGGCCACCCATTTGACTTAGAATTCCCAATCCATCAGTCAGCTCGTGATTGCAACAGATTGTATTGGGATTTTTGTATATTACCCTTTGGTAAACGTTTACATAATCATGGAAAAATCCACCCTTTTTCATAGGTAAACCATCTATTTCTATTGGCCATCTATACCATGGCTATGTTAAATTTCGAGATCCGCCCATGAACACTCCCACCTCCACGGGAGCATCCAAGAGAACCTGTGGGGTGTTTGTTAGGGAGACACAGGTTACGGGGTGACTGATTCGCGAAGCCACTAGTCACCTTCATTTGTTGGGTACCCCAGGTAACCAGAACATTAGTATACATTATATAGTGAATTAGTTCCAAATGCCTGTTGAGAAAACCATGGTGGGTTGAACAAAAAGGTGCCCCAAGCCAAGTTTCACCTCCACCTGTGGCAATATAAAGTGAAAAAATCACCGAAACCAGAAACGAGTGGATGAGGGTAGCACTTGGAGGATTATCCCACTGATCGTAAGTAGTTCATAATCATACCTAGTTCATGCTAGTTCTAATAACCATATAGTATCATATAGTTAGTTCATGCTAGTTCATCCATAGATTGGATAACCGTAGCCTTCTTGGTGAACTTTTTTTTCCACCACTGATCTATTCACCGAAAAGGATCGTGGGACGGTTCCCTCCACGCTGCAGGGGCCGATACCTTTGGCCATTTCAACTCACCCACTGCGCGTGGCGCCGAGTCCTTAGCCGCGCGCTTCCGCAGCATCGTGCAAGCCGCGCAGTACGCGGCATATCATTTGGACGAACAGGCGGATGGAGCAAAAATGACCAAAATGAATTGAGGGACTGGCTGGGGGGTTCAAATATCAAACCGCCAAACCAAGCCAAATATAATAATATATATATATAGAGATTAAAAATAATGTTAGCTCCTGATTAGTAGCTAGGTTCGCTATTGTGGCAAATTTTCTCCAAATTATTCTGAAACTCATGTATTGTTTGGAGGGTTCGCTTTTGTGGCAAAAAAAATTGGGAGAGCCTTTTTTTTGGAACAAAACAACCTGTAATTGCTGAGAAGCAAACTTTTTTCTCAAAAACGCTGAAGCTCAGTCAAGTTTTTGCTCAGCTGTCTATCTGAGCCTGTAAATGCATCTTGCGGGGTTCACTATTGCAGCAAGCTGTGCCAGAGCAGCCCCTGGAAGCCCAGAAGGGAAGCAAGCCTTTTCCAAAAGCAATTGCCAAATTCAAACTCCAAGCCTTTCCCAAAGGAGCCAATCCCTTATTAAACCCTGATTAAAGAACAGCTTTTCCACAGTTTTCCAAGGCCCTGGACCAGGAGAGGCTCCATTTCACTTTAGTAGGTTTGTTTGCTGGGTTCACTATTGCAGCAAGCTGTGCCAGAGCAGCCCCTGGAAGCCTAGAAGGGAAGCAAGCCTTTTCCAAAAGCAATTGCCAAATTCAAACTCCAAGCCTTTCGCAAAGGAGCCAATCCCTTATTAAACCCTTATTAAAGAACAGCTTTTCCACAATTTTCCAAGGCCCTGGACCAGGAGAGGCCCCATTTCACTTTAGTAGGTTTGTTTGCTGGGTTCACTATTGCAGCAAGCTGTGCCAGAGCAGCTCCTGGAAGCCCAGAAGAGAAGCAAGCCTTTTCCAAAAGCAATTGCCAAATTCAAACCCCCAAGGCTTTCCCAAAGGAGCCAATCCCTTATTAAACCCTTATTAAAGAACAGCTTTTCCACAATTTTCCAAGGCCCTGGACCAGGAGAGGCTCCATTTCACTTTAGTAGGTTTGTTTGCCTGGAAGCCCAGAAGAGAAGCAAGCCTTTTCCAAAAGCAATTGCCAAATTCAAACCCCAAGGCTTTCCCAAAGGAACCAATCCCTTATTAAACCCTTATTAAAGAACAGCTTTTCCACAATTTTCCAAGGCCCTGGACCAGGAGAGGCTCCATTTCACTTTAGTAGGTTTGTTTGCTGGGTTCACTATTGCAGCAAGCTGTGCCAGAGCAGCTCCTGGAAGCCCAGAAGAGAAGCAAGCCTTTTCCAAAAGCAATTGCCAAATTCAAACTCCAAGCCTTTCACAAAGGAGCCAATCCCTTATTAAACCCGTATTAAAGAACCGCTTTTCCACAATTTTCCAAGGCCCTGGACCAGGAGAGGCTCCATTTCACTTTAGTAGGTTTGTTTGCTGGGTTCACTATTGCAGCAAGCTGTGCCAGAGCAGCCCCTGGAAGCCTAGAAGGGAAGCAAGCCTTTTCCAAAAGCAATTGCCAAATTCAAACTCCAAGCCTTTCCCAAAGGAGCCAATCCCTTATTAAACCCTTATTAGAGCTTTTCCACAATTTTCCAAGGCCCTGGACCAGGAGAGGCTCCATTTCACTTTAGTAGGTTTGTTTGCTGGGCTCACTATTGCAGCAAGCTGTGCCAGAGCAGCTCCTGGAAGCCCAGAAGAGAAGAAAGCCTTTTCCTGGAACTACTACAATTACTTTAAATACTACAACTACGAAAGGTACAACAAGTACTACAAGTACTACAAGTACAACAAGTACTACAAGTACAACAAGTCCTACAAGTACTACAAGCACTACGTACTACAAGTACTACAAGTACTACAAGTACTACAAGCACTACAAGTACTACAAGTACTACAAGTACTACAAGCACTACAAGTACTACAAGTACTACAAGTACTACAAGGACAACAAGTACTACAAGTACTACAAGCACTACAAGTACTACAAGTACAACAAGTAGTACAAGTAGTACAAGTACTACAAGTACTACAAGCACTACAAGCACTACAAGTACTACAAGTACTACAAGTACTACAAGCACTACAAGTACTACAAGTAGTACATGTAGTTCAAGTACTACAAGCACTACAAGTACTACAAGTACTAGAAGTACTACAAACACTACAAGTACTACAAGTATTACAAGTACTACAAGCACTACAAGTACTACAAGTACTACAAGCACTACAAGTACTACAAATACTACAATTACTACAAGTACTACAAGTACTGCAAGTACTACAAGTACTACAAGTAATGCAAATACCACAACTTCATCGGCAAAAAAAACAGCTTTAATTACAATTCAAATGTAGCCAATTGAAATCCTTACTTAATTGAGGATATGTGTTTCTTTTGGGAAGAACATTTTTGACTTTCCAATGTAAAGAGAGTCGAGATATTGTTTAGGGGGAGGGGGGGGCCTCACACTAATCAGGAACCAACATTATATATATACATGATTTTTTAAGACTTGGGATGATTCTTTGAGATGACAAAAACATTTGTGGGATGGGTTTCAACCGCCAACCGATCTTCCGGACTCAATGATTTCCGACTACTGTATCAAGTTGCCAACGTCAACCCATGTCAACCATGTCACATTTCTTGAACTTCCTCAGATTTCCCAGTACCAAAATCCCATCCTTTCCCAACGTCCGGGCTCCGAAAGGTGCCCGAGTCCTGGCGAATCCTCCTTTGCGCGCGCGCTGGAGCTGGAGTTGGAGGAGGCTGAGCTTGAGACCTTCGAGGCCCTCACTCTGCTGCCGCCTGCAGTGGAGGATGACGAGGATGACGACCTGGAGGAGGTCGCGGGGCGAAGCCGAACGGAACCGTCCGGAGTATGATTTCAAGATTTTTGTAAGTATCTCATAGGATCCATGTATGGTACATATGCTAACATAAAGGGGGTATATTGATGGTAAATGTTACCATAATATATAGCATACATGGATCCTATGGGTATGATTCACAGCCTGTAGAAAATGCGTGGTCCGGATTTTCCCCAGAATAACAGCTTGGCGTGAGAAGAAAACCACGGTCCACCAGGTCTCTTTTTGCAAGGGTTTTCTGGTCAAGGTTTTGTTATCGAAAAGCATGGACTTTGGATGTTGTCGGTTATTTCTTGATGTGTAATTGCAGATAATTGCAGTAATGCTAGTAAAGCAATAGTAAACCATCCCCATTTTTCCCATAGAGAGGTGGTATAAACAATATAAACAATCAGACCATATGGGTGGTTTATGGCATTGCTTTACTAGCATTAATCCAATTAATTTCCATACATATATATGATTATATATGTATACTGTATATACATATATACATATATATATATATTCTGCATGATATTATATATATATATATTTAAATGCTCTTTAGCTATACTTATATCCCCGATTTAGACTAGTGACTAATTCCTGGAATTATAAACTGACTATGTTTCAGGGATTTCTTCCATGTGAGTTTAGTTCCCTTAAGGTGGGACTGTTTGCACATATCTGCAGGTTTTTGCTCTTTGGAGCAGCATTTTCTATAGGTAAATTCAACATCGGCTTGGTTTATGTCCTCGTCCATGGAATTTATAGGGACAACGATGGGACTCTTCATCATCTTGCAATCTTCCCTGGGAGTAGTATGGGTTTCTGGGGTTCTGGGGCTGCCATCAGCCACGGGTTTACCGGTCCGCTCAGAGGTATGAAACTGCCTTGGGGCAAACGTCCCGCAGCTATGGAGCAGCTTGATCCATCTTGATCCATTATTTGATATTCTTTGGTGAAGGAGTGGTGCAGGTTCTGACAGGAAAAAAAATATATGGGTTATACATAATTATACTTTATTATATATATATATATATACGTATTAGATTGTATTCATATAGATGTATACACATATACATAGGGATGGGTGTGGGTCAAAGAGTCAAAGTTATCTGTAAATGGAGATAATTCTCAGCCGGTGGATTTTCCATGATTTTCCATTGCCATGTAGGGGATGTATCCGAAAAAAAATGATTCCCCAGGCCTCATGGTTTAGTACAAAAAAAAACCGCTGGAAAATTCGAGGAAATTCGGTACCACACTTTTGACCCAGACCCATGATTTGTTTGGAATATGAACTTACCATCCCCTCTGAAAGGCTGATGAAATCCTCAGGCTGGGCTGGTTCATGATGTAAATTCTATGATTTCCCCGAAACTTCCGTGCTATGAAGCAACAGAAAAAACCCTGTGAATGAGCCCTATTGAAGCCCAAGTACCCGTAAAAAAACATGAAAACAGCAAGGTCCATTATCCATTCAGGTTTATAATGTTTTTATTTTCCACAGTTTGATAGTTTGTCCAGAAGCATTTCTACATGATACTCCTGACATTCCAAGACTATAGGTGTTGTTCAAGATCAGAAACCGCCAGAATTTCATGGTTTTCTCGGTTTTAGGTGGATCTCTTCCTTGGCTGTAGGGCGTGACCCGGGTTGTTTAAAGCTTCTTCAAACGCCGCAACTGCGCTGGGCGTCGTTCGAATACATCGCAGTGCCACCGTGCCAGTGCCGTGGGGGCCAAGACTGCGCTGGGCGTCGTTCGAATACATCGCAGTGCCACCGTGCCAGTGCCGTGGGGGCCAAGTGGGGGCCGTAAAACACTCACCGTCTGATACATCATCAGTTATCATCATATGTCACCACGAAAACGACGATATTATATAATTATAATTTATAATTCTCACATATCATGACACACCCCGTGCTATCTTTATAATTTTAGAATATTTTGGATATGCCCTCATTGGAGCATGGTCATACTCGCTGGATCACCTTCCCACGCTGGGGGTGATCATCCCCCTGTTTTTTTTGGAGAGAATTTTGATGGCCGAAATAAGGATTTCATAGGATTTCTATTCTGAGATAGATGACCCTAGCCCAAAAAAACCATCTTTTGACATATCACGATCATTTGTTTGAAAACATGTAACCATCATATCATCAGTCATATTCGATCGCTAGCAACTAGTGGAGATTTTTTACACCCTCTGGCTGGCACAGAACTTTTTGATAGGACAGTGCCATGGCAAATGATCCTTAAATGGCTGTGGTGTTGCATCTGTTTTGCCATGGGTAGATGATGAAATCCTTGTAGTTCCTGGCAGTTCATCAAGGTTCCCACCGACCCAAGCACTGCAGACTATGAAGGCGTCAAGTGACTAGTGAAGGCGTGGAACTTGGCGGGTTGCCTTGGCTGAAGAGGCAACGTGCTCTCTGAAACTAACAACTCCATGGAAGATCAAGCAAGGTTGCAGGCTCCCCAAGATTTGTGATTGGAAACCTATACCCCATGACGGATCCATGGTGCTGCTATATATGGTAACATGGATCCCATCAATATATTCCCTTTATGTTAGCATATATAGCATACATGGATCCGTCATGGGTACTACTTGGACTTCTCAGAAAAGGACTTTGGGCACCGCTCGAGTTCTTCGCAAGTCGCTGAGCCGTGGCCCTATGCTCGCTGTGCTCGGACTTGTCTTCCAACCTGCTTTGGAGCGGTTTCTGAGTTGGATCACCTCAAAATTTGGACCCCCAGTGGTTCACCAGTTCACCATGCTTTTCTCGTGAACAGAACCGCATTTTTTTTTTAGAACCTGAGACAAAGTCGAGACAACGTCAATGAAAGGCATGAATCGACCGATTCATCGAAGAACTGCAAACATAGCATATAATTTAAATATATCCGATGTTTTTCTCCGAATTTTCTTTATAGATCTGAAAATCGTATCATACTATCCATGACTATCCCCTTAAATATTGGGGACGTCATCCACCATTTTCAGGGTGGATGACGGCCAGATTTTTTGGGAACTTCACAGAGGTTTCAAACGATCAACTTAATCAACTTAACTGCTTGGTGGTTTGGAACATGACTTTTATTTTCTATTTCATATATGGGATGTAATCCTTCCCATTGACGAACTCATATTTTCAGAGGGGTTGAACCACCAACCAGTTAATATTTGGGCCATTTGGGAGGAGGATCCCCAACGAGACCCAGCCGTCTTTCTCATTGCAGGTTTAGAATGCTTTAGTCAAGTCTTGAGCGAAGATTTGCCGACAAGAACAATATCAAACATTTAGGCATTTGATATCGGTTAAGAGATATTCGATATTACCCTCTGGTAAACTAACATAACTATGGAAAATCACCATTTTTAATGGGAAAATCCACTATACATAGCCATTTTCAATAGCTATTTTGACATAACCAGAGGGTAGAGAGTTTGAAGAAAAGTTGGGAAAACCAGTGGAGACTTCCCTATGAAAAGTTTGGATACCAACCGAACCAAAAATGCCCGATGAACCGAGACTCCAAGAAGAATAGGACCATTGGTGGGGGTGTTGTTGGCAACCTATTGAAGGCCATGAGCTTTAGATCTTTTCAGTGCATGTCCAACTCTCCAAGGCAAACTTGTCGTGGACCGTGCAGGGTTTTGCTTCGGGTGTTTGTTTCACTCATCATGTACCATAATGCGAGGACAACATCACCCAGATGTTGTCAAGAGACCAGCATCCTGCAAGTTGTCCAATGAAAAGCAATGAAAAATGCGATGTCACGGCTGTAATTCAAGCATGGGAATTGGACGACAGGGAGGATAACTATCTCGAGTTGTGACCGAAGTTTGCAGGTATTTGGTGAATTCTGACATACTACCTGGTTATTTAACATAGCCATGGAAAATCACCATTTTTAAGTTCGGTAAACCATCTATAAATGTGCCATCTATACCATGGCTATGTAAGTCAGAACCAGATGGTAATCCAGGTTTTGCAGTCCATGGAGTTTTGCTCCATATGGCTACTGTAGAGTTTTCCCGCGATTTGTCCATCACTTTTCTCATTCAAAAGCCATTGATTCTGCCAGAATTGACCTGTGCTATCCATATCCAAACCAAAGGGTTAAGTGACGCATGTAGCTCCGGAGTGGACCTTCCAAAGCAGCTGTGGATCGGCGATCTTCCGCACCCTGTGGAGAAGATATCCAGGATTGTCAAAGACATTATGAATATGTGGTTCCAAATGTTCATAATATATATACTGCCTAATAGTAAACCCCCCCTAAATATATATATATATTTTTAAATAGGGGGGTCAGCATTCCAATAGTAAATTTTTGGAACCTTATAGCTGGGATCATGATATGTATCTGATAGATTCTCCATGTCCAGCAGTGCCCACTGCGCGCAGAAGTTGGCGAAGAGATTGGCGAAGAGTTGGCAAGGCAGAAGTGGACATGGAAGTGGGGGCAGAGGTGGTGAAGGAGGAAGACGAGGAGGAGGAGAAGGAGAAGAAGGAGAAGGAGAAGGAGGATAACAAAATTGGAGTTGCGGAAAAAAGTTTCCACTATTGCCATGCCTGGTGCAGGTTTGCTATTGCTATTCTGGGGCTTGCAAAGGGGGTACCCTTTGTGGAACTGTTTTCTTCCTTTTTTTAATAAGGGTTTTATGAGGAAATCAGTTTTTTGGTAACTAAAAGTGAAGGCTGCTTTGAAAAGGATTTGCTTTACTTGACTCTTTTGGCAATACTAAAAGTAAATAGAGCTAATTGACTTTTAGTATTGGGGAAAAAATTGGAGTTGGGAAAAAAGTTTCCACTATTGCCATGTTGGGTCCACTATTGGCCATGCCCTCTGGACAAGGTCTGAACATGACTCTTTTGGCAATACTAAAAGTAAATGGAGCTAATTGACTTTTAGTATTGGAGAAAAATTGGAGTTGCGGAAAAATGTTTCTACTATTGACAAGATATCACTATTGGCTAGACAACATTATATAATATAATGTTTATAATTGTATCCAAATGGTTACAGTGTTCATATATACATTATACATTAAACATTATACATTTTACATTATACATTATGTATACAACTTCATGTGGATCCATGTGGCTAGTTTATAGCGACCTGCGACCTCACCGGAACAATGCTTGGCAGATCTAGATTTAGCAGAAACATATTCTACAACGGCGGATCTCCTCTTGTCATGCTAGATTATAATAGATTATAATAGATTATTATATTCTGTATACACTATTAATATTAAAGTGTCTGAAAATGGAGCACACCCCAAAATGGAATGTTAGCAGCGAACATGATGATTAAGTAGTCTTGATTCTTGGGGACCCTATTTCCAGACAAACCTATGGGATTTGTATACATCTACAGGTATGAAGCGTATTATGACTAGATGAGAACACATGATCAACTCTAGCACATTTCTGCTACTATGTTTTGGGAACCCACAAAACACAGATGATAAGCACCCAATCCTTTCGATGTTCTCATTAGCCGCCGTTGGGTACATGTTTATCATAGACTTGTGGAACTGATGTTAACATCCATGGGTTTAAGGGAAAATCTTCACCGGAAACCATGTTTTTTTGTTGTTTTTTTTCCCAGCAAATGTGGGGTTTTCCGGTTTCGTTTTTCCCTTCAACCGATCCAATGAGAACAATTGCTATGTCAGATCAACGCTAGTTTGGTGCGACACCAGGAGTTGGGGATGGATCAAGACCATTTGTATCCATTTGTCCCATATAAACGGAAGGGATGAAAATCCATATACCAACTATTTTGGTGTTCACCATGTTACCAGAGTTTTGACTGAGACCTGCTTCTTAACAATGTGGATATCTTCTCTTCTTGCTATCCCAGTTGCTCTCGATGATCTTAAGAGGATCTGATTCGAGCGATCTGGCGGCTGAATCATTTCATCGTGATCTCACCGAACAAAAACTGA